CAGCGAAAAATTGAATGAATAACAACATAATTAAAATTACAAGTGCTGCCAGTTTTCCTTTGGCGTACTCAGAATTACCCCAGATGGGAATGTGATCTCTGCTGCAAATGATTAATCACAGAGGGATTACATGGGGAAATGTGACACTGGCAAATGTCTGAGATTTATTGGAAAGGGCATCTGCATTGACTTGGTTTATTCATGCTTTGTTGTCAGTCCTGTCCCTTCCAAGGGAGCTGTCCTGGCACTTGCAGAGAGTTATTATTATTTTTTTTAACTTCAAGAGTTACTGGATTTTTTTAAAAGTTTAAATGAACATATAAATAACCAAAATTAATGTAATTATTTACTAAATTGATTGACAAGTTACAAAGTTGATTAACAAGTAGAACTTGTTAATTAACACTGTAGAAATATTAAACACAGATTAACATTGTAGAAACATTAAATCTTGTCCTTTCTGCATGTTAAGTTAGTTCTCTCCTTACCCCTAAATATAATTATGAGCATAATCCAACGTGATGCATTTTATCCCATTTAAAATTAGATAAAATGTGATTTATCTCATGCAGCCTGTCTGGCCTGTTAGATGTGTTAGATACTTCTTGCAGCCTCATCCTTGCCACAGGTTAGGATTTCATGCCTGTTACTGGATTTCATGCTCTCAGCACCCATAAAACAAGATTTTTTTTTTACCCCTTTTTTCAGACAGGGACTGAAGATCCAAGAGTTTGTGTCTTTCTCTTATCTATATAAGTAATTCAATAGCAGAGCAAGGAATAAACCGTGTTTTTCTTTCTGACAGTGTCAGGAATAAATGTGAAAGGTAGCAATGAACCCTATTTCCACTGATCCCTGGGTTTTCTTCTGGATCCCAGCCATTCATAATGGAGTAAGAAGCTCGGAGTGTGAGGGCAGGTGGTGGAAGCTGGGGGAGGTGCTGGTTACACCGAGGGATGTGGGGTCTGCACCCTGCCCTGGGAGGGCTGTGGGCTCCTGCTGATGGAGAGAAGGGGGTTGCAAACACCAGGCAAGTGTTTGGGAGCAACAGGAGAGGGAGGCTGGGCCTTGAGGCCACTGGAAAGAAGTGTCTTGGGTGGATTTGGTGCATCAGTCTGGTTCAGGAGCAGAAGGAACAGGCAGCTGGTGCAGCAGCTTCCCTGTGTTTTGGCTGTTCTTTACTATCAGAGGTACTTGGGCTGTGTTTGGGCACTGCTTAGCATGGAAAAGAGAGGAGGAGGATGCACAAGAGCTTTAGGAGGTGGTCAGCATTCCTGCTCTTGTAAGAGCCAGCCTTTGAGAGCCCTTTCCATGCTTCCACAGAGCAGAGCTCTGCTCCAGGCATGGATACATCTCCTGGGCTCCAGGTGAGGGTAAGAAAGATGGTTTGAGAGAAGCCACTGTTTGCTGGAAGGTCCCTGGCTGGTTCCCAAGCAGGCACCTCTTGTGTCCATTGCCATCCCAGTGCTCCAGGCACTTCTCCATGTAATGCAGGGCTCAGTTTGGTGGAGAACTGAAGCAACTTTATTTTTTTTTTTTGTTCTTTTTGACGCTGTGGATTTGAATCTGAAATGAGTCCGAGTGACACATCTATCAGAGACAACCAGGGAGCCAGGAAGGATAAGACATGGCAATGTCTCCTGAAGATAAATCCAAGTGCTTTGATGACACAGTGCAGCCTGAAATCCAAATTAATGGCCCTGAAAGTTCAGGACATGAGCTCTGAGCCCGTGTTTTCATTGTTAACTCTTATTTCATGTAGTGAATGGTGCTGCTGGGCTCTCCAGTGTACAGCTTGAACCTCAACATCCCCTTCTGAACAGTGACATGGTGCTTCCCCAAATTAGCAGAAGACACTGATTGTCAATCAGTTGGCTTCAGTGGAAATTTCCACTGACTTCAGTGTACTTTGGCTCCAGTCCCAGGCTCGTATCTGTGCCTTCAAACCATTCATGCAGCTTCTCTGCCCACAGCTTTGCAGGTGTTTATGGAAAACACATTTTTAAAGCTCAAGTGAGGGCAGAGGTTGGAGGTATTAAGAGGGACTAAAGGAGTTCAAACTAGTTCACTGATTTCTAGACCACTTTTAGACCAAGAGAAAACCAGAGCTGTGTGTTTGTTGCAATTAGTGTTGAAAGTGGCCCATTAATAGAAAGTCAGCTTGTGTTGGTACTAATGACTTCAAGTCAATCATTCTTTACCCTCTTAGTGTTTATTAAAAATGATTTCCCCCCGTTACTTTTTTTCCCTCCCCTCCCAGATTTAATATTTGAAACCATTTTCTTTAATCTCTAAAGTTTTGTGGTGGAATAATGAAATTTGCTTCATGCCAGGAATCAAAAGCAACTGAAATTAGTTTAGAAAAGAACAATTTCATCCAAAAGGGAAAAGTCTTTGACTGCTTCTTGTCATTTTGTATGTTCTTTGGAATGAGAGAGACAGGACAGGACAGGACATGGTGTATTTTTCCTGCTAAATATAGAAAGAAGACCAAGTTTGGTTTTGCCTTAGGTCTGTGACCCAAATGAAGTTGGAAGTTTGGCTCAACAGTAGCATCTTCAATGATAATAATGATCACAGAACATCCTGAGCTGGAAGGGACCCACAGGGATCATTGAATCCAACTCCTGACCCTGCACAGGGCACCCCAACAATCCCACCCTGTCCCTGAGAGCATGACCCAAAAGCTTCTTGAACTCTTTTAGCAAATAGCATTTGGTATTTTTGTGACCACTTTCCCAGTCTTTATTTTTGATGGCAATACGTGTTTTTCAATCCCCAGCAGCATAAATGGAATGGAAATTGCAACGTTATTAATTTTCATGCATGACTTGCCATGTACCTCAGCAAGTACATTGTCATATGTATACTGTGAATGTAATTATTTCATAATAACTATAAAGACCATCCCTGTCTTGATATGAATAAGTAGGAGGGGAGCCAAGAAGCAGGGAAAATAAGTGATTTTTCCCAAGGCCATGCAGCAGGTTGATCCAAATCCCTCTCCCTGGTGCCACCAGTGATTTCCACATTAACATTAATACACTGACAGGAGCTGGAGAAGAATGGAAAAATGGTGATTTAAGAGATGAAAGCAGGTTTTTTGGCCTGCTCCTACTGATTTCTGCTGGAGCTGGAGGGGGATTGTGAGAGCACCTGCCATTGGGTGAGAGAGTGGGTGGATGTGTGGCCAGCAGGGAAACCAAACTGCTGGAGGATTAAGAAGGATATTTCTGTCTCAGTGACTGGTTTTTATTTCCTTTCTGAGTTACAGCACACAGAGCTCTGGTCCCTTTGCTTTTTGTGGCACTTTGAAGGTGAAAAGGCACAGATGTGGGAGCAGCACTGTGATCACCCCCGAGTAGGACCATTCCTAAAGCTCAGACAGGAGCTTTTCAGGACAGGGATGTCTGGAATCATGAGGCCAAGGAGATAAAACAGCTTAGAGAGAAATGGTGCATTGAAGTCTCCAGGAACCTGGTCTAGTGGGTGGCATCCCTGCCCATGGCAGGGGGGTTGGAAATAGATGATGTTTTAGGTCCCTTTCAACTCAAATTATTCCATGATTCTTTGGCTTCCAGAGAGGCTTGGAGCTGGGAAGCTCAAATTCCTTACAGAGCACCATCAGCAGGTCTAATCCTGCTCCCAGAGAGAGTCAGCTGGTGCACAGTTACTGGTGTCAGTGGGGTTGAGAGCAGATCTTTAGCTGTGCTACACTTGCCAAAGTAAATCCTACCCAGTCCGTGCAAAAGGTCCCTTGGAGGGTTAGAGGTGGAATGACTCCAGCAGAAGGGAAAGAACATCCAGAAGTGCATGTGAGGAGCGGTCAAGAAGGAAGGAATGTTTGTGGGGTCTTGGGGGGGTGCCCTGAAGGAGGTGGTTGCTGCTGGATTGATCTCCAACAGCACAGGGGTGGGTAAAGTCTGTGTGTGAGTGAACATGGCTGTGAAGATCAGCACCACTGATTGCTTTGGGCTTTCCTGGGACACAGTGGCTCCAGAATTGCCATGAGCTTTAGTTTTCAACTCTGCTGAAGCCTCATCCCCTTGGCTGGTCCATATCATCAAACAGCTGCAGATCAGTGCACGGGTCCCTCTGAGGGCAGCTGAGAATAAGCAGATGATGAAACATCTTTCCTGTAATCCCTAAGCCATGTGGGGCTCTTCTGGAGAAGGGTGGCACTGTCTGGATTGCTGTGCCCATCCCCTGGGGCAGTTCCTTCACGTGGCTTTGCACTCCTGTGAGCATAATCACAGAATAATAGAACCAGAGATTCTCTTATTAGGTAGGTCTGGGTTGGAAGGGACTGTAAAGATCATCTGGTTCCAACCCTCTGCCATGGGCAGGGGCACCTTCTACTATCCCAGGTTGCTCCAAACCCCATCCAACCTCGCCTGGAAACCTTCCAGGGATGGGACAGCCACAGTTTCTCTGGGCAACCTGTGCTGTGGCTGCTCCATTCCTGGAAGTGTCCAAGGCCGGGTTGGACAGGGCTTGGAGCAACCTGGGATAGTGGAAGGTGTCCCTGCCCATGGCAGGGTGGTTGGAACCCAACCCAAAATGATCTTGAATGTCCCAACCCAAACCATTCTGTGGCTCTATGATGGAGGAAGTATCTTGATGTTTAGACACATCTCTCAGAATTTAATGCCCATTTGTTTCCCTACAATTACAGAACTTGCCCATATCTTCCAGAGCATTAGTGAAAGGGACCATCATGTTCCTTCTGTATGAACTGCCCAGAGAGGTTTAATTTGCTTCCCATGGGGAAGTGATCTCCCTTATCCACCAGCAGTTTGTTAACCTCAAATATAGGAAATCTTCAAGGCCAAAAACATTCAAAGGCCTTCTCCCCCATCCTGAGAAGGATATTGAAAACCTGGCTGATCCAGATGACAAACATCCTGATACCACGGGAGTGCAGCAGTTCTTTGCTTGCACCCTCTAATCCGCTCTCTCCTGGCACATTTTGTTTCTCCCCCTTTAGGAAGGAAGCCAGGATGGATTACAGCTCCCTCAGCGGAGTCCCCCGGTTCCTGACCCGGCCCAAGGCGTTCATGGTGTCCGTGGGGAAGGATGCCACCCTGAGCTGCCAGATCATCGGAAACCCCATCCCGGTTGTGAGCTGGGAGAAGGACAAACTGCCAGTCCAGTCTGGGGGGAGGTTTAAAACCACGGAGGACGGGGATCTCTATCGGCTCACGATCTACGACCTGAGCCTGGAGGACAGTGGCCAGTACATCTGCCGGGCTAAGAACACCATCGGGGAGGCCTTTGCCGCCGTCAGCATCAAGGTGGGGGAGGAGACCACGGTGACAGAGCAGGCCCCTTACTTCATCCAGAGACCCTCCAACATCAAGGTAACCCTGGGAGAAGATGCCATGTTCAAGTGCAAGGTCCAGGGCAGCCCTCCCCTCTCGGTGAACTGGGAGAAGGACGGGAGGCACCTGCGGAACCAGGCGGACGCCGGGCGCTTCCAGATCGAGTCCGCCGGGGAGTCCAACGCTCTGACCATCCAGTGTGCCCGGCTGGGGGACAGTGGCACCTACACCTGCCGGGCAGAGAACCTCATCGGCTCCGCCAGCGCCTCGGCCGCGCTGGTGGTGGAGACCCACGGCTCCTCCAACCCGGGCAGCAGCGCCAACTTCGACTCCAGCTGCGGGAAGACGGTGTCCTTGCTGTCCCACTTGCAGAAGAGGCGGGAGGAGATCAGGAAGATGGACGTCTCCCACGGGATTCTGGACTCGACCTCTGCCCAGTCTTACTCCGAAGGGTTGTCCGGCATCGCCTACGGGCTCTCCCGGGATTACGAGCGGGCGGCGGGGCTCTCCAAGGGGGCTCGGAACGCCACCTGCGGGGCGCTGACGCGCACGTGCAGCGTCACGGAGGGCAAACACGCCAAGCTGAGCTGCTACGTGACGGGGGAGCCCAAGCCGGTGATCGTGTGGAAGAAGGACAACGAGGTCATTTCGGAGGGGCGGCGGCACGTCATCTACGAGGACGACCAGGAGAACTTCGTGCTGAAGATCCTCTTCTGCAAGCAGGTGGACAACGGGCTGTACACCTGCACGGCCTCCAACCTGGCGGGCCAGACCTACAGCTCCGTGCTCGTCACCGTCAAAGGTGGGTGCTCGTGTCTCTCGCGTGCCTGCGAGGGGACGGCCAGGGCACTTCTGAGCTGGGGTGGGGACAGGAGCAAAACTGCCACCAAACCCTTGTTGGAAGCTTGTCTATCCATCTTTAGATAGCTCCTGTTGGGAGGATTTTCCATATTCTTGCTCTCAGAGGAGTGGGTCAGATGAGAGCAAAGATGAGTGGGATGGGAACAAAACCCTCCCAATGAAAAGGGGGTTATGCACTGGAGTAGATGACCTGGGCACGGAGTTCCATCACCGAGGAGTTTTTAGGAAGGGCATTAGAGGTGCCAGCCAGGGATGGATGATGTGGAACTGGGAGGTTGTGGGGCAGCTGGGGTGAACTCAAGTCTTCTGAGTAGGACTTGAGCAACCTGGTATAGTGGGTGACATCCATACCCATGGCAGGGGGTTGCAAATAGATGGTCTTTAAGGTCCCTATAAGATCTCTAAAGGTCCTATCAGTCTTGGTTTTGTAGTAATCTAAGAGATCCATTACCATGCTCTGGATCAGTGACTGCTAATGCCCTGTCTGACCCTCCAGGCTTTAATCACATCTGGGTTTGTATTCCCCACGGGGTTTGCCCACGCTGGCACATGTGCCTTTTAAACAGTAGTAGAGGAAACTCCTCCCTACAAGCTGAGTGTGCCTGGCTGCCTTGGAGATCCCTTGGGGCACCCACCCCAACTCTAATTACAGTCCATCTCAGTTTTCCTGTACAGTAACCCACCAGCAGCCTTGTTCTTGCCAGGCCTTTAGCCTTTTCCCAGCTTGTGTTCCTGGATAGCCTGTATTCCTTGTCTGCTCCCAGGAAATCCAGCAGGCCCAGCATGCCTCTGTTTGCCGTGCTCAGTGGTGATGAACTTGACTTCAGAGGGTCCCTCAGTGCTGGTGGAGGTCAGACCAAGTTCTCAGTGGCAACAAAAATGTGACACAGAGATTTCATAGAATCCCAGAATGGTTTGATTTGGAAGGGGTCTCAAAGATCATCCAGTTTCAACCTCCTCTGCAGGGACACCTTCCACTAGACCAGGTTGTTCCAAGCCCCATCCAACCTGGCCTTCCTGGACATTCCAGGAAGCTCTAAATTTTCAAGCTGCTCTCCCATCTGGCAAGGGGACAGCAGGCAGTTTGCAACCCAGGCAGCACCTGTAAATTAGCTGCCAGAGGCTAAAGATTTTGCCACTGTAGTGGTAAAACAGGTTTTAAAAAACAGTCAAACGATTTTTTCCCTGGCAGCACAAGATATTAGAAATCCAAACGAGCAGGAATCTGTGTTCCGTGCTCGTCTTTAAGACTCTCAGCTTTTATTTGCTTTTCTGGTTTCCCTTTTCTGGACCTCTCTTTTCACCCTGCCTTTCCTGTCAGTGGCTCGGTGTCCATCAGTGACACCTGATCCGTGGAACTCGCTGGCACTTGTCCCACCCATTGCTGCCCTCGGAGGTGCTGAGTGGTGTTGGGAAGGGCATTTGTCCTCTTCCATAAAGCTGGGATTACCTCAGAGCTGGAGACTGATCCTGGCCCTCGGGTGGGTCATGGCTTCGAGGGTGCCTCAAGCTCAGCTCCTTGCACAGACAAACAGCCCCTGCTCTGCCTGTGCTTATGTCATTATTCTCTGTGGGAATTAAAGGAATTAATTCCCACACCTCCTGTTCCAAAGGAGATGGGAAAGCATGGGAAGCAGCGGGTCTGGGAGCAAGCACCATGGGAAAAGGTTTATTTATTGATCAATGTCCACTGTCCAGAGATGCCTGTGAGTCAGAGGGATGAAGTGGAAATGTTTATGGATTGTTTTTTTTGTTACCCTGTGCCATGTCTGGCTTTCTGTCCAGGCCAAGGCTACCATGGAAAATCTGCACATATTGGTTATAATTAGGCCCTGATAAATGACTCTCCCTTGTGTCACCAGAAGTGCTTCTGAGCCCTCCCAAGACAGCTCAGAATGATACAGCAGCAAAGGGAGCTTTTAATTCTGTCGTTTATGTCACTGGTGATGCCATTTGCTCACCTGCCATGGGGTTTAGGGAGGGAGATTATCTTGCCACACGACCTTCCCTTTGCTCAGTCGTGTAGAAGAGGCTGAATGCTCCAAGCAGCCACCCTTAGAATCATAGAATCTTGGAATAATAGAATTATAGAATATCCTGAGTTGGAGGGGACCTCAGTCCAGCTGCTGGCCCTGTAAGGGACAGTCCCAAGTGCTTTTGGTCTTTCTGCAAGTAACAGCATATTTAGAGAGCCTGTGACACTGCATGCACAGTGTGTGTCCGTAGACACACGTACCAGGAAACACAAACTTTGTGGGTTTGAATATCCTCTGGCATTTTGGTTTCACAGAATTTTAACGCAAGAATCTGAGTGAGAATTTTTATGGGTCTTTTAAAGATAATAATAAAAAAACCCAGACTTCTTAGCCCAGCATCATGTCTGTAAGGTGACTCTTAGTGGTCTCTTGTGGCATAGGAGTGGGCACAGGTCAAACCTCCAAAATCACAGAATCAGAATGGTTTGGGTTGGAAGGGACCTTAAAGACCACCTCATTCCACCCCCTTGTCATGGGCAGGGACACATTCCACTAGACCAGGCTTTTCTGTCCAACCTGACCTTGAACACTTCCAAGGATGGGACATCCACAGAAAGCCTCCTACACTCTGTCAGTCTAGATCCTGGGGACCTGAGGACCTACAGGACCCAGGTTCCCAACATGTTTGTGAACACTTTGCTGAACTTGTGCCCTAAAGATCATTGAGATGAAAGAAAAGAGATTTTTGAGCTGTTCCTAAATGAGATTTAGTGAATCAGACTTAAATCTCAAAGGAGAGAGGAGAGAGTCACCCTTCCAGTTAAGGAAAACTGAAACTTGGTTAGATTTAGAAATGTGTCACAATCCATACTCTGAGCTGTAAAAGAAGTTGGGAAATTCTTCCCGAGATTAAACCTTTAACAAACCAGAGAGTGGGGAGGATGGGAGGCACATGAATAAACCAGCTTGAGTTTCCTGAAGGCTTTGGAGGTTTCCCCAGGCTTGTAAAGTTAGTGAGAACAGCATTCATGTCTCCATCCTGGGCCAAGCAATGTTCATCCGAGTCCCTGAATAAAGTAATCAGATACTGTATGGAAAGGTTAAAGGTTGCAAGCCAAACAGGGAGAAACAGGCTGGTGCTGAGGCCACTTCATTCTCCCTCTGATCTGCAGTGATTTTGGGTGACCAACATCATGAGAGTCACACTGGAGATCTCAAGGAGAGAACTGCAGCTTGAGAAAAGTGGAGTTAGAAAGGAAACTTGGAAAACACAATAACTAGGAAGACCAAGGGCACGAGAGGATGGAAGCTTGTCTATCCGTCTTTAGATAGCTCATGGTGGGAGGATTTTCCATATTCTTACTCTCACTGGATTGCAGAGGGAAAACTTGCCCCTGGAGTAATAAATGGAGCACCTGTGAGGACACCAGCAGTAAGCAAGAGGGAACGTAGGTGAGTGAGAAAGCGAGGCCCAGCAGACAGATGTGCCTCGGGAAGGTTAAGAAAACATTGGCTTCTCTGCAGGCTGCACCTATTCTTAGCAAAATATGCGTTAGCAGGATTTACTTCTTAAAAATAACATCATCTCACTGCCTGTTTGCTTGTTATGGGCCAGACAAAAAAGCCTATGACTCTCTGGAGAAATATCTCCTCGAGACAAGCGGCCAAATTCATCCCTGAGCTGATTTCTTGCAGTTTCCTGCAAACTCCACGAGCTGCTCTTGCTCTGTGCTCCCTCAGGGTTTTGCTTTGCTGTGTCTACCTCACATTTTCCCCAGTAGGTAGGTTTTTTGCAGCTTTCTTTTTTAATCTCTTACCTTAATTGCATCTCTCTGACCCGGGCAGGGGGCTGATGAGTTTGGATGCCTGCTCTCTAGTTATGTATGGTTCTTCTGCAGACCCCTGACCAAAATTAACTCCCTCTGTCTTCTCAGGTACATGCTGGATCATGCAAAGAGCATGACTGAGGAGGAGGCTGGTGGGTTTTGGAGCCACTGCAGCAACTCCAAAGCAGAAAAAGGAGTGGGCTGGGTGCATCCCAGGCTTTAATTCAGTTTATCAGCTGCTGCCTCTCTGAAGCTCCATTCAGAGTGAGATAAGACACGTGTGCACATGTCAGCAGGACAAAAGCAAAGTTGTTTTCGGAGGGTGTCTGTGACCCCAAGCTGCCAAAGATAGCCTTGTACTGACTTTTCCTGGCTGGGAGAGCAGTGCTGCTACTGCAACACACACACGAAAGGGTCAACCAACCCTTCTGTGTTCGTACATTTAAGAGCTTTTTCCTAGAATAGCTTTTTTTTTTTTTTCTTCACCTTAGGTACTGCTTAGTGCCTGTAAAGGGAGAGGAGTTAATGATATGCCCAGTTGCTCCCAGGATGGGAGTGCACTTGTGTTCTCCTCAGGTGCAGCTCGGATTTCTTTCTGGCCCCTGCGCATTCCGTGTGTTCCCAGTGTCAGCTCCAGTCTCCCTCCCATCTCACACAGCAGCACTGCATCCAGCTCCCAGAGCCTGCCACGATCCTTCTGATCAAAGCTTTCCTGCTCTCATAGAATCCTAGAATGGTTTGGGTTGGAAGGGGCCTTAAAGCCCATCTCATTCCAGTCTCCTTCCCCCATCCCAGGTTGCTCCAAGCCCTGTCCAACCTGGCCTTGGACACTTCCAGGGATGTGGCATCCACAGTTTCTCTGGACAATCTGTGCCTGTGTCTCACCCCCACAGACAAGAATTCCTTCCTAATATCCCACCCAACCCTGTCAGTGTGAAGCCATTTCCTCTTGTCCCATCACTCCAGACCCTTGTCCAAAGTACCTCTCCAGCTCTCATTTCCTCTTTAGGTACTGGAAGGTTCCTCCTGCTTGTCCTGTTTCATCCCCCCTTAATGGGAGCATGGGGTGTTTCCAGAGGGTGATGCATGGGATTGCAGGGCAGGAGTCTGAGTTTCCTGTTGTGTAAAGGAAAAAGGACAATTGCCATGTGGAGTGTGGGCAGGACAGGTCTGTGGAACCACAGCTGAAGGCTTTTCAAGGCAAGACTTTGACTTGCCTTAAATTGAGGTGCATTAAGGCAAAACATATATATATATATATATATATATATATATATTTTTAAATTACCAAATTGACATGGTCAGTGAGTGTCATCATGTTCCTGAACATCCTGTGTGGATTCCTGGTTTTAATCTCAAGATAACAACCAAGGTAGTCGATAGCATTGCCCCCTCCAGGTGTCCTGTCAACCCCTCACAGTCTGATATCTTATTTGAATTGAAAGAGGGGAGGTGTGTATCAGGTATTAGGAAAAAATTCTTTGCTGTGAGTGCGGTGAGGCAGAAAGGGGTCACAAAAACCAGCTGGGAGCTGGCACGGTGGTTATCAGAAGGTGAGGGTACATATCAAGACATGATCTCTCATGAAGGATGAGTGGTGATGTATCAGCACTGGCTAATCCAAGTCTGTGACCTGACTGTGGCACCAGTCCCGTGGCTGTGACCACCAGCTGTCCAACTCCCCTTTCTCCACTTTTGGTCTGGGGTATCAGGATGATGTCACTGCTCAGCTGTCACTGGAATTAGACATGGTTCAGTTCATAAAATGACTTCCCTCCCTGTCATGCAGCTGTTCTGTGTGTTTGATCCACACTCTGGTTTCTCCCTAAGCCGGAGCTCTGCAGCCCCACTGCTGGAGGGAGGCAGAGGCACTTGGGAGGCTTGGGCTCATTCTCTAGTTCTTTGTCTTCTGTCATTGACAAAAGCTGATACAGGGTCTTTGGTGCTGGTGGAGAGCACAGAAAACTCCTCCCTCAGTTACTTCCGTGCTTTCCCCACATCAATCCCGTGCTCAGCCACCTCCCATCTGTCTGTGCCCTTTCAGATGGCTCTGCTGAGTTCACTTCTGCTGCAAGACCCCAAAAACATTGGTTCTTGCACTGGCTGAGCAGCTCAGCTGCTCACACTCACCGAGAATTGCTACCCTGAGCTCTCTCCTATGACCGGATTGTTTGTTATTGACCCAACTTTTGCAGGATCACTTTTAAGGGCTTTTACTCCAACCTGGCCTTGGACACTTCCAGGGATACAAGGGCAGCAACAGCTTCTCTGGGCAACCTGTGCCAGGGCCTCCCCACCCTCACAATGAAGAATATCTTCCTAAAATCCCATCCAAACCCACTCTCATCACAAACTCTTGTTCCTCCCTTTCCGTTTTCACCCTCTGAAGAACCCGCCATACCCTTCAAGGAAAAACTGAAGGACCTCGAGGTGAGGGAGAAGGAATCTGCCACCTTCCAGTGCGAGGTGCCCGTTCCCGGGACAGAGACCTCCTGGTTCAAGGAGGAGACCAAGCTGAGGCAGAGCAAGAAGTACAACATCGAGGAGGAGGGCACGTACCGCCGGCTCACCGTGCAGAACGTCACCGCCGACGATGACGCCGTTTACATCTGTGAGATGAAAGAAGGGAGCAGGACCATTGCAGAGCTGTCTGTCCAAGGTAAGGAAGGCTCTCAGTGTTGTAGATCGGGCAAGTCTTGCCCGCCATAGTGTGAGATCCGTGCATGACACTCCATACTCGACCTTGTGAGTGGCATTTGCCACATCCGTGTGTGCAGCAAACGAGAGCGGAGTCCCTTAGGGTGTGAGAGGAATCATAGGTTATCCTGGGTTGGAAGGGACCCACAAGGATCACCAAGTTGTGCTCCTGGCCCTGCACAGGACACCCCAATAATCCCACCCTGTCCCTGAGAGTGTTGTCCAAAACCTCCTGGAGCTCTGGCAGCCTTTGGGGCTGTGCCCACTGCCCTGGGGAGCCTGGTCAGTGCCCAACCACCCTCTGGGGGAAGAACCTTCTCCTAATATCCAACCCAAACCTCCCCAGGACAACTTCATGCCATTAAATGAAAAGAAATGGTTGGTCAGTGGGTCCCTGGAGCTCCTGCCAAGGTATATCTGGGACACAGGGTCAGAGAGCAGGGACAGACTGAGTTTCTGCACAGGATATGTCACCCAGTGGGGACCTTTGCTGAAAGGGCCTTCTGAGGTGTTCTGAGCTGTAGCCCAGCATTGCAGACTTTCCTCAACATGACCACAAGCACCAGATGGGTCCCCTGCCACTGTCACACACATCTTGTGTGGTGTCCTGTGAACACAGGGGTGAATCTTGTCTAAGAGTGGTGCTGACCACGCTGGGAAGAGGGTTTAGCAGCTGTGGTTTGTGGTCTGATGTGTGGTGCAGGCTGCAGTCAGCACCAGGGTGATTTAGATTGGAAACCAGATCCACACTCCAGATCCTTGGCAGCTGGAGCTGTTCTCTGGATGTGGATATCCAGGTTTAAGTCTCCTGAGTCTGGTGGTGGTGTCAGACTGAAGTGGAAGTAGGTGTAGATTTGGGATGGTGTAGGTGTAGATTTGGGATGGTGTAGGTGTAGATTTGGGATGGTGTAGGTGTAGATTTGGGATGGTGTAGGTGTAGATTTGGGATGGTGTAGGTGTAGATTTGGGATGGTGTAGGTGTAGATTTGGGATGGTGTAGGTGTAGATTTGGGATGGTGGAGGTGTAGATTTGGGATGGTGGAGGTGTAGATTTGGGATGGTGGAGGTGTAGATTTGGGATGGTGGAGGTGTAGATTTGGGATGGTGGAGGTGTCTCACATTGAGTAGACACAGACAGCAGAGTTGCAGGCGTTGGAGACCTGTCATAGCTACAGGATTGCTCTTGTCCTCACTCACTGAAAGCCTGACCTTACTCCCAGTAAAGCCAGAGGGATTTCTTCTGTACACAAATTGCTGCAAGACAAGCTGGGTGATGTATTCCTTGTGCAAATTCCTTTTTGCATCATCAGCAAAAGGCTGAGAGTGCCCACAGGTGGATGCAGGAGGAAGAATTTAGTCTGGAGACGTGGGATAGTTCAGACAGGCACTAATTGTTGCACCTTCCATTAGGTCTAGACCAGCCAAGCTCTGTTAGTGCGTTTGGCCCCAGTGGGACAGCTGGTATTTCTTTACTTGTTTGTGCTGTAATGGTATGTTCCATTAAAGAGAGAGTGACTGAGCCAGGTGGAGCTCCCTGGAGAGAAAGGAGGCAAAGCCTTCCTGGGGGAGCCTTGTGCCTGCCCTGAGAGGAGAAGCTTGGAGAGAGAAAGATGGGTTTGGGAGGATGTGAGAGCACATGGTTGGATGTAAAGGGCTGTAGGGGATGGGGACACTGCTGAGGGCAGTGGGGCCAAGGAGGAGGATGAGCAGAGAATGATGAAACCTGTGCCTGACCTGTTGCTTCATGAGGGAGTTCAGCACTGCTTCTCATTAAACAGCTCTGGGTGAGGGCTCTTTCACCTTGCAAAGACTGGTCTGGAGCTGGAGCCTGTCACCATCTGTCAGCTGGGGTTGGCTCCTGAGGCTTTGTCCAAACTTTCCTGTGAGTAGTCACATCTTGTAACTCTGAGGTTATTCTATTATGTGGTAATAATCACAGTCATTTGGAAAGGACACAAATAAGTGCAGTTCATTCCACATGAATTTCCGGGTTGATTCTAAGAGAACTCTGAGGGTTTTTGTGTATTTCCCGTGAATTCAGGTGACTGATGCATTTGTCATCTTGGTTATGTAACTTACTGGTAACTTTTGAAGGAGGCAAAATCCCAGAGATAGGCAAGAGACCTGTCTGGCTTAAGACTGACCTACTTTAGCAAAGCTTTAATTTGAATTCCCAGCATATCTGGGCATTGAAAGCTGTATCACTGTCAAATCTGCTCTTGGCAAGGCCACGTACACCTTGTGTTTACCCACGGCAGACTCTGTGTGGTAGATGAGAAACATGAGTGACTGCAGTCAAACAGGATTGTTTTTCTCTCTTTGAAGGCCAAAATGAGCCCTTGGGGTTATCTGTTCTGTACCCTCAGAGCCTGGGAATTCATTTAGGTGTGTCTGCATAGTGTCTATAATATTTTGATTAGGTGTGGACTCGTCCTGTCACGGTGGAGATGGGCCGGTGTTGCCAAAATCTTTAACACCTGCTGTTTGCTGACCAGGATTGCTTTCTCATTTTGAAGGGAACATAATTAAAAAGCTTCCACGGAAGACTGCAGTGTTCATCCACGACACAGCCACCTTCTGCGTGGAGCTGGACAACGACTGCCAGAACGTCCGGTGGCTCAAGAACAAGGAAGAGGTGAAGCCCAGCGACCGCATCTCCATCACACGCTCTGGCAAGCAGCACACCATGACCATCCGAGAGTGCAAGGTGGAAGACGCTGGGGAGATTGCCTTCCTGGCTGATGAAAGCAGGACTTCCACCCAGTTCACTGTGACCAGTAAGATTCCCGTTTATTTTGGCCTCGGTGCCTTCCCCAGGGAGCAGGTGCTCCCGCGTTGTTTTGGGAGCCACTGTGGTGTGATTTGGTTGTCCAAAGACAGCAGAAGGCCTGATGTCTGCCCACAAAAAGCCAACAGCCTGAAACATGAGTGTTATGAGATGTTTTGGAGGGATGAAAACACAGAGAGAAGAGTCAGAGAACCACAGGATGGTTTGGGTTGGAAGGGACCGTAAGGATCAGCGAGTTCCAGCCCTCAGCTGCAGGCCAGGACACCTTCCACTAGACCAGGTTTCTCAGGGCCCCATCCAACCTGGCCTTGAACACTTCCAGGGATGGGGAACTCACAGCTGCTCTGGGCAAGAGCAGTCCTGGGAAAGGGCATGGCACAAACCTGTATCTTAATTGACAGAGCAGTAGCAGCAGGGGCAATGTAGTTGAGATTGGGTCTGAAATGAGATTTTGGTGAAGTTGTCTAATTTTGTTTAGCCTTATTTTGATGGCACTGCATCTGTTCTAGTAATAATTTGGGAAGAATGATGCTTTTTTTTCTCCCCGCTGCCACTGACTGCAATCAGTCAGTGGCAAAACAGAATCTTTGATTTAAAGATTAATAACTGCTGTGTTATCTAAACTTGGCTGGCACATTCCGATGCCAAGGAACTAAAATGAGAAAAAAATTCCTAAGTGTCAAATTTGTCTTTGTGACAGTTTCTAAGGTGTTTGGAAAGCTGTGACATCCAACCAATTCAATGGGAACAACAAAGTTCAGTTTGATTTCAGGCACTGCTGTTTCAGTTACGGAGAAAGTGTTGATTTGATGGAACAGGAAAAAGGTAGGAAGCTGCCTTCCCACAAAGAGGTATCGCTGAGGAAAATATTACATGACCATTTCTGATGGTAAGGTCAAGAGATCTCATTCCAGGGCTTAATACTCAGCTTAATGTTACCCTAGTGGGACCTTTGACATCTAGCTGTGACCAGAGTTACTGACAGGCTGGTAACTGTGCACCCCAAAACACTTCTGTGTCTATTTATGTAACATCTCTGACCATCTGCTTGGAGAATCCTGTGTACTGTGCTCGTGTCTTCTTCAAATTAGCTGGAGAAAACTGGTGTTGGCTGTTCAAACAGCATTTATAACACACAGGCAATGTTTGTATATCATTTGCTCAGTGTCCTGTGTTGTTACTATACCCGTTTTAAAGGTGGGTAAACTGAGGCAGGAAGAAGATCAGTTGTCCCAGAGCTCAGATTTTAGTTTAGGCTCATCCTACAGGCTCCCTCCACAGCTGTGAATAGCTGAGGATGTGCAGTGTGGGATTGTTTCACCCATCTCCCACACCTTCTTTGAGCTGGGATGGGTTGCTCCCGAGAGTGCTGTTCTCCATGGGATTACAACTGGAGCCTGGTTGGCTGACTTAACCCAGACACCTTTCAAATAGCCAGAATTAAATGAAATTAATCCTTTGCCATGTCAGTAGAGGTGTAACTAGAGTGTATCAGATAATTCCCAGTTTCTGATGATATCAGTGGCAGCACGTAGTGAATAACCCTGATGGGACTTGAGTCTTCTCCAAAGGATTCAAGAGGAATGAGAAGGCTGAACATAAATATTCATTATGCAAATACCTGCAGGGAGAAATTTGTGGCCTCAGGTACCATAAAATAATCGCATCTCTGCAATTATAGGGTCTCACAGTGGGGACACTGTCCTTATGTCATTTCCTTTTGAAGTTAATTCTCAAAATCTAATTCTGCATAAATTAGTAGAACAGAGATCCCCAATGATACTATCAATTAGCTGTAATTAACACAAAGTTACAACAGATCTTCTGAGTGGGGATAACATAAAATACAGAATCAGGACAGAGAACAAACTCCCACAAGGAAGAGGCTGCAGAGAACATCCAAGCCTGTGTAACAGGCATCTGAAATGTCCATAATTCCAAGAGGTTTGAACAGCCTTTGGTGGTGGTTTTACCCATCTTCTGAGCGAAAATGAAGAGCTGAGTGTTAGTCTGCTTTCCTCAGGAGCTGTGTAGGCAGCAGGGTGGGTCTGTATCTAGCACTGAAGACTTAAGTCTACAAAATGTTTGTTGAAGATTGTCTGTGTTGACAATTTTAATATTGTGTAGAAACCACACGTTTCCGTGGAGGTGAGAATGTTGTACGTTAAAGGTTGGACTCGACGATTTCAGAGGTCTCTTCCAGCCATAATGGTTCTATGCTTTATGTGTAATGCACCCCAAAAGCATCTTCTATCCGTTCCCTCGCTTTTCCATCTCACATCAACGTTTTAGGGAGTTTTATTAAGCAAGAGTAACTTTTAGTCCAGCGTGAGCTTTCTGGGCGACGCACAGTGGCTTTTCCACTCCGACGTAAACTTCTTCCTCTAATTTTATTTATTTATTTTTTTTTTTCCTTGTGCAGTGCCCAAAAAACCTCCCACCCAACCCCCAGCCGACCCTGTGGTGAAAAATAAAACAGAAACCTCAGTGACCCTGGCATGGTCCCCTCCCAAGATGGACCGTCCCATTCCAGTCGACGGATACATCGTGGAACGCAAGAAACTCACTGGCTTCACCTGGGTGAGGTGCCACGAGTCCCACGTCCCTGTCCCAGAGCTCACCGTGAGCAACTTGGCAGAAGAGGCTGATTATCAGTTCAGAGTGTCTGCAGTCAACACCTATGGACAGAGCCCCTACCTGGAATTCCCCGGGAGCATCCACCTTGGTGAGCACGAAACCCGGTCTGGGGCGATCGGACGTGTGGGTGCTTTGAAAAGGTCTCCCATGACTTTGAGGATGGAGCAATGGCACAGAAAAACCTTTTTTCCCCCCTTCACTGCTGGTTCTCCTACTTCATGTCAACCCCTGACCGCCACCAAAGTTGGGTGGAAATTGGGTTTCTGTGGAAGAGCTGTGAGTGTGCTTATATTCCAATATCTCAGCTGTGTGAGAGGCAGAGCTCTCTGCAATGAACCCTAAACCTTTTAAGTCTTCTTCTAGGCTTGGTATGAGAGTAAAACTTGAGGTGGACTTATGATATAATTTTCAGTATATGTGTGATATGTCCATCTTGCACCTAGAGAATATTTATGGGTGATGATACCATCATGAAGACCAAGTTCTAGCCAGTGTCTCTTTAATCTGGGAGTTACTGGGAGAAATATTGGGGGTTTACTTTATTTCTAGGGTGCCAGTGTGTTTCTTCCTTTGATTCACTGCACTAGACAAGATTTGGAAGACCTCGATTATGCTGTGTCTTGTTATTGTGTCACCCTTTCCCTCCCTTGCTGCCTGAAAATGCCTAGAATTGTAGATATTCCTAGACATTCCTAGAATGTAGATATTCCTAGAATATCTACAAGTGACTAGTAGGAATATCTAGGAGTGATTCCTTAGGATCCTTCTGAAATCTAAGAATTGTACTGGTTATTAAATTAATAACACTCTTATAGGGAAACCCGGGTGTTTCAGGCTTATGCCTTTGTATATCTTAGGGGATAAAAAAAATCAGCAAAATATGCCTTTTCTTCCCCCTGAAAAAACAGGATTTACCCTAATCCAGAGGTCAAGAACTTGAAACTGTAGGAAACAAATCCTACAGACCGAGCATTAATTGCCTTCTATATAAGACTGCATGATTTTATTCTGGTGTCTTTTTTACCCTGAGAACTTTCTTCTTAGGATGAACTGTCCTCCAGCAGGACTGTCTTGTGTCTTGTTCTCAGAGATGTGTGGTGTTGTTCCTCCCTAGAACCAGTGCTGGCTGTGAAAAGCCCCCTGACAACAGCTGAGGCTGTACCTGGAGGGGATGCCCTGTTTACTGTCGACCTCACCAAGACGTGTTCCGGCACCTGGTACCTCAACGGTAAAGTCTTACAGGAAAGTGAGACCTGCATCATCAAGAGAACCCAAACCACTCACACCCTCACCATAAAGAACGTCACCAAGAAGGATGATGGAGCAGAAGTGAAATTTGTTGCCAGTGATGTTGAGACCAGCACCAAGATGAGAGTGAAAGGTATTTGTTTTCCTTTGTTCTTCCAGGCATGGGGCTGTTGCTGTGACTCGATGATTAGAACTGGGGCTGGGCTGTGGGAAATACCTGAAATTGCATCATGTGAACTAATGTGGGTGCTGGGAATGACATCACCATCGTCATTCAGAGTTCAGAGTGAGTCCATCTAGCCAGCTGGTGGTATCAGGACTAGACTGCTCACAAATTTCTGTCGTTCACAACCATCAGTCAACGGATTCTGTCACCAAATCTATCACTGAGTCACCCTAAAGTGGAAATTTCAACTCCAGGTTCACCTGGACTTTCTGACTAGTAGCCTTTCAAAAGCAAAGGAGCATTAATTACTAACAAAGCTTTTTCTTGGAGGTCTTTTAGTTCACTGTGTATAGGATGCACAACTTAATATTGTGTAAATCATTTAAGAACCAGAGTTGGGTGCTTCCTTTATGAAATGACAGTAACATCTGTATCTACCCACATTGCCTGGCAAAACATGATGAATAGACATTGATTCTGGAAGGATGTGTTTGGCTTTAGGTGAAAATCTCTGCAGAAGCTTGTTGGGAGTATTATTAATCACTAGAAAAACATGGTTTGGGTTTTTATTTCTTACTGGTTCAGTTAATAAAAACACGTCAAGTCCTCTGAACTGGAAAAAAATGCTCAGCATTGACATGAGTGAGAGGGCAGGAACAGGATTTAATACTTTTAGAGATTTCACAGTCTAAGGAAACTCGTAGCAGGGAAAAATTATCTCAATATAAGCTGAAATAACAACTTTTGCCCTGGCAGGTGCCGCAGTGAGATTTACCAACAAGAGCAAAGAGGTAGAAAAGGTCTCTGCTCGGCTGAGGGAGGAAGCCAAACTGCAGGCTGAGCTTTCAGACGCAGAGGCCACAGTGAAGTGGTTGAAAGATGGGAAGGAGCTCAAGGCCAGTGAAAAATATGAGCTTCAGACTGTGGGGAAGAGGCACATCCTGAAAATCCGCAGCACTTGTGAAGAGGATGCCGGAGTTTATGAGTGCACCTGTGAAGGGGATAAAATGCTCTTTCAGCTTTCAGTGAAAGGTATGTGAGTGCCTGGGCTGCTTAATGGCCTGTCCCTGCCCTAAACTAATGGAGGTATCAAGGGATGCAAAGAAAAAGCTCCAGAGGGAGTTGTGGGAATTCCCCATCCACATCCAGCCTGGACAGTGTCCGTGGTTCCAGAGCAGAATTACTGGGGATTGAACACAAGATACAGCACTGATTTAGTGCTAAGAGCTGTGTTTTCACTCCAACTGGCATCTCGATATTCATGGGAACTTAGTGTTGTTTTAGGAAGTCGAGTGTTGGGTGGGGAAGAAGTGCTGCTGTGATGAAGGGATTCAGCCTCAGGGGCAGGACAGGACATGCAGGATCCTATGTCTGCCCTACACTTGCTGTGTGACATCAGAAGACAGAGTTCAGCTCTGATTAAAGTTCTGAAGGACTTTAATCAGATCATCTTGGCATTGTGGGATTTTTTTTTTTAAATTTTATTATTATTTGATGATTTTTTGTTTGTTTTCTCTCAATACTCTGGTGGATAAAAACAGGCCTTTCCAGGGCACACTGGGTGGCTCGGCTCATTCCTGTTTCCAGGTGCTCAGATGGAAGGCTGTACAGATGAAACAGCAAAAGGGAATTTCATTTTGATGTTTCTTGCTTGTTAGATTTGAACCAGCACTGGTTTACAGCTGCTTTCAAGCTTTTATGAACTTGTTTATAGCAGAGTTTGCTCTGCCTTAGAAGGGACCACATTTGGGCTAAAAAGCCCCAGTGTATCCCCAGACTGTTCCTCATAGGGGTCATTAAGATATTTGAGGTTCAGAGTGTGCAGTCTGACTCCAGGACAGTCTAAATATCATTTGGGGTGAGTTCAGCAGATATTTTGCATTGCTGCCAAGTTCACTCTGTAAAGCCATTTCATTTCCATGTTCTGTCCCATAACTCACTCCTCACCTTCTTCCCAGCAATGATCACACTGTTTCTACATGGAGTGAATTTGAGGTGCTTCATCATCATGTTTTGTTGTCACGTCACCCTCCTTGGTCTCTGTAGAAGTAACAAACCCCCAGAGTAATGTGTTTGTTTTTTTTTTTAACATTTGACAACTTGCTTGGTTATTCTCAAAGAGCAAACTCAGGAGAGAGGAAAAAATAATCTAGACATGTGACTAAATCTATATAAAGAGTAATTTCAGTCTACACTTGGCACCTGCTCTCAATTTTGGTTTTCTTCTCTGTCTCTCTGCCTCTTTAGCACTGCTTTTCATGCTGACAGCCCTACCCACAGCTTTAATTGAATTAGTTGATGGATGTTTCCACGTGCTCTGCGCTGTTATGTGACTATCAAATGAGTAATCACTGTCATTGTTTTAAAATCTCTGTTGTCAAGCTGTAACTGTAACTTGAATATCTGCAGTTTACAGCTTGATTCCTGGAGAATCCCCTTTGGTACCTCCCGCCCTCGTAGGCTGAGGGTCACAAACGCTGGGCCAGTGTTTTATTTTCCATCATCACCACCTTTTATCTGTCCCAGGGAGCTGGTGAATCCCTTGAGGAGCAGCTCAGCTGTATCTGCCACACGTGGGCATCACGTGGCTGCCCAGGGGCCACTGTGCCGAGCCACGGCCGCGGTGTCACCGGCTGGGCCTCCTGCCCAAAAACCAGCCCCAAAATGCGCTTGCCATTTATCACTGGAGCCCCTCCACTGCCACGAGGCTCCACGTGCCAGGCATCCCCTGACACATGACCTCCTGACATGGAATGGGACACCTGAGACGGCTCCCTCGGGCTGCTGGGGTGGTATTTTTCACTCCGGTTTTCCGAGGAAGGGAAAGGTGCATGAATGGACCCATCTCTCCCCTCCTCGCCCCCCTCAAAATTTTAACCTGTGGACTGAGTTCTGGCACTTCTGGTGAAGGAGGAGAGGTCTCAGCAGTGTTTGGTCCCTGCAGATTTCGTGGGTGTTTGGGTAGAGGAAGGACTGGGATGTTTTCTCGCTGAAGGGAAAGCTCCGCTCTTATGAGCAGTTGGAGAAACGAGTTGGAAACAGAGGCCCCAAGGAAAAAGCAATAAAAGAAAACAGTTTTTTTCCCTGGTTTAAGTGCTTCTTTGCCCGTAGATATTGCTTTTAACAAGCAGACTTGGCAAACCCCAGACAAACAGGACTGGTGGGGACCTGGGGAGGCCAAATGTAGGTTCCTGTCCCTGCCAGAAGCTGGTGACTGAACTGAGTGCCCTGAGGACCAGAACTAGAGAGACCCCTGACTGCACAGGCTACCCCCCTCTTCCCCCCTCTTTCTCCCCCTTTTGCCTCTTTTCCCCTACCAAGAAAACAATTACCTAACCAAGGCTTTGATTTCAGTAGCTTTGACTGCACAGTCTCAAAAAAGTGACTCAGTTGTGTGGGTTCTTTTAAAATAAAATGTTAAAAAGATGTTTGAAAATTAAACCCATTATCCAAAGTAAGATGGAACTGTGGTTTCAGGGTCGCATTTTTAGCTTGGATATCGGTGGGGTTTGGAATCTTTTGCTTTGAGGCAATTGGTGACTCAATTATTTCACTATACATTAATATGATGCCAGAATTATTGTTTATTTTCTATGCTTCAGTTAATTTCCAGGAATAAATTTCTTTTCGTTTCAATCCTGTGACATATCTAGATATATTTTTAATTTAATGTAATTTATTTTGTCTAGACTACATTTTAACCTCTTCTAGAGCTGATTTATTTGCCAGGTGGTTACAGTGCAATGAATAACTTTCATGGCTTTCCCTCCAGTTTCTTTTATTTCTCTCCTCACCTCTCTCAGATATTACCTTTAAGCCCTATTGCCTGGGGCTTCCTCTCCTCCTGTGTTGGAGATGTGCTCTGGTTTTTTTGGACACATGATAATCAGGAATGTGATTGGAAATTTGGCTGCTCCTGCATTGGAATCTAGTAATTAGATCCATAATGAAACATGCAGTTTGGACTTAGGATAAATGAATACCTAATGTAGATGTAAATGTTCTTATTTATTGGTGTGCACACATTTCTTTACCAGAGCTCTGTGTCTGTTATTTTGTTTCAGCACTTGCAAACTTCATAAACAAAGAGAAAAGTGGAGGACTTGTCAAGGCCATCACTGGAAAACAGGCTGAATTTGTTTCTGAGACCTCCGAGGCCAATGTCATGGTGAAGTGGTACAAAGATGGGAAAGAAATCACAGCCAGCAAGAAATTCACCCTGGAGGACAAAGGAAAGCTGCACAAGCTCGTGGCTTCGGCTGTGACAAAGGAAGATGAAGGAACTTACACGTGCAAAATTGGAGATGACAGCCTTGTTTTTGATTTAAAAGTCTCAGGTAGGTTCGTGATGCAAGTGTGGGATCGGAGTCTGCGTGAGAAATTCAAAGTTTTGGTCATTTTACTTGTCCTTCCTTGTAAATTGATGGATTTTTGGGGTCAAGGCTGCACACCACTGTTTTCAGAGGCTCTGACTCTTGTCGTGGTCCTTATGCAGATCCACAGTAATACAAAAATGATGTGATATTTTAAAGTCAACACAAGCCTTAAGTAGGGCTGGAGTCACAACTCCCCTGGCTCAGCAGCTGGGAGTCTTTATCCTTTTAGCTCAGCACGAGCCTCACCTTAGGGCCACCTCAGACAGGAGGTCCAAAATCTTACTCTGTCCTCCTTTGACAAGTTGAACTCCTGCTTTTGAGAGGGAAGCATCCCCTGCTGCTCCCAGAGGACACTGTGATCTCCCTGTGGTACTGCGAGTGAAGCTGTTAGTCCGTGTCACGTGCCCATCACAGAAAGCACGTGGTTGTCAGGTCAGGCCCAGAAGAGAAATGCTTGTCACCACTGCATTCCAGAGCAGGATGGAGCCAGGGGTATGAAATGACACAGGAATTCATCCGTGAAATTCAATATCTGTGAAATCCAGCTTGAATCAATTTGCGTAGCCTGGTGGGAACCTTTCTTCTAAAAGTGGTTTTCTGGCTTATTATGCCTGGAGCCTAATTTTTAACCTGGTCCTAAGTGAAGTGAAAGCTTCTCGTGGCATGTCTGCATTGCAAGCACAATGAAATTTTAGAGAAGCATCAACTGAGTACTTGTGACCTGTAGCAGCACGTCCAGGTTACTGTGATGCTAAAAACTCAGCAAAGCCAGTTAATTTAGGACAGCACTTGTCTTGAGGGATTGCTGCAGGATTTACTGAGCCAGAGGGATTGCTTCCAGTTCACAGTTGGTGTTTGCTCAGGTATTGACTCTGCATCTCACCTCCAGTTCTTTTTGGCTGAGGATCCAACATGATGGAAATTCACTCAGAGTGTAATTCCCAGTTCCTGACTTTACCCATTGATAAAGTGACCTAAAGGAGCCAACCAGGCTCTGCTAAAGGCAATTTGTATAAATTGATTTATGCTGTCTGATTAGAGCATCCTAAGGTGGATTTCTGGAGCTGCCTCAGTCTGAACATCAGGTACAGAGGAAGCCTGCAGGATTACCTGAGCTGGGTACCTACATTTTGATGATTATGGTGAATCTCAGGCAAAGAAAATTGGGATCACCTCAGTCATAGACTCCCAGAATGGTTTGGGTTGGAAGGGACCTTAAAGATCATCCAGTTTTACCCCCTGCCATGGGCAGGGACACCTTCCACTAGCCCAGGTTGCTCCAAGCCCCATCCAACCTGGCCTTGGACACTTCCAAGGATGGGGCAGCCACAGCTTCTCTGGGCAACCTGTGCCAGGGAGGGGCCTCCCCACCCTCACAGGGAAGAATTTCTGCCTAACATCTAACCTAAATCTACCCTCTTTCAGTTTAAATCTAAACCTGCCCCCTGTCAGTCTGAAGCCATCATCCCTTGTCTTGATAATTACGATTTTCAGTGAAATACTTGCCTGGCATGGCAATTGTCCTTGGGATACTCAGTGACTGAAGGCAACAGTTGCTGCTAAAAGAAATGCAATACTGAGCTAAGGCTGGCTCGAGCTGGCAGCCCTCAGCTTGCTCTTGAGGCAAGAGCTGCCCTGGTGGAATGAAGGGTATGAAATCCCTGACATGCCCATCAAATATTCCTTGTTATCTTAGGGACGGGGTGTGTAGAATAGGTTTGCTCACATTTCACATCAAGATGCTGTCTCCACTTTGATGCCTTCTCTTTTACTTTTGCAAATACACTTGATGCAAACCTGAGTTGCTAAAAATGATGTGTTTTTGGTGCCTTTGTGACACATGTTCTCTGTGGGTGTGTTTGCACAGCTCATACCTGTGCCATCAGCAGGGTTTGAGCTGAGGCATCAATGCAGGAACCTCAACTACTTGAGCTGTGTGGGCAGTTCTGAGTTCTCTGCTGGGAACATCAATTCCCACAAAAACATATGAGATTCTTGACTTCTCTATTCATAAAATCATAGAATGGTTCGGGTTGGAAGGGACTTTAAAGATTATCTCGTTCCAACCCCTCTGCTGTGGGCAGGGACACATTCCATTAAACCAGGTTGCTCAGAGCTCCATCCTAAATGAAGGTGAAGAATATTTTATCAACTAAATTATCCCATATATACCCTGGTCTGGGGAAGAATTAATCCAGGGGGCTGATATTGTGATCAGGGAGCTGGAATGGTCTCAGAAACATTTAAAAAAGTCTGCTCATCACTTCTAACTAGATTTTCTGAGACTTTTTAAGTCTTAAGTGTTTTTAAGTCTTTTCAAGTCTTTCCAAAGCTGTTTCTGTATTCAGGCATCAATATATCCCTAAGACTTTGCTTAAAATCAGAAACAAGGGGTGGTGAATAAAGTGCCAGCAGCTGGAGGGCATCTGGACTTGATTTAAAAGATCCATGAGGATGTAGGGGAGATGAATGGGATTGCAGTGTAGCAGAGAGCAATTATCTGAAGATCAGAGAATGAGTTTGCACCATCTGTTAGGGAGTCAGGCACCAACATTTGTGTGTGTGATGATGAAATAATGATCAGTGATTTCTGTGTCCTCCCTTTTTGCTGATAAACCTGAACCAAGGCACGAACTGCTTTCTGTTTTTCGCTCCAGATGAAGCTGTTACTTTTGTCAACAAGCCCAAGACGACTCCAGAAGTATCAGTCAGTCCTTCTGAAACCCTGGAGCTGGTGTGTGAGGTGTCAGCTGCCAGCGGAGCTGTGGTGTGGAAGAGGGATCACACCGAGGTGAAGCAGGACCAGAGGACAACAGTGGTGTCCCAGGGGACACAACGAAAGCTCATCGTCAAGAAGGTGACGCAGCAAGACCAAGGGAGCTACACCTGCGAGGTGAAGGATGACAGAATAACATTCCAAGTCAAAGTCAGAGGTGAGGAAACGCTGGAAGTGCCAAAGATAAGGGAATGTTCCATTCTGAGTCAGATCTTAGGTTCAGAGGATCATCTCATGGGTCTCTCTGGGGTGAAATATCTCAGCCAGAGGGCTGATTTTTCAGCCAGATTTAATGACAATACACACAGTTCTGCGTCCATGACCAGTTGTGATCACGAAGAAATGCTGGGCAGGGATGGAAATTCCTTCTCTCACAATTGGCTCTGCAGAAAAACTCCCACAGAGGCACAGTGTGAGGCCATAGCAGAGGTGCAGGGATAAGTAAAAGGGAAGGGGGGAGGTGCTTGAAGAGCTCTGTTTAGATCACATCCCTGGAAGTGTTCAAAGCCAGGTTGGATGGGGCTTTGGAGGAACCTGGTTGCTTCCACACCTAGTGGAAGGTGTCCTTGCCCATGGCAGGGGGGTTGGAATGAGGTGAACTTTAAAGTCCCTTCCAACCTGAACCATTTTGTGATTAGTTGGAGAATGACTGAATTTGAATGACCCAAATAGGCAGAAAAAGAGCAACGGTGCCTGGATATGAGGATACAAGGGCTATTCACTGGAATCTTGGAGAGACATAGGAAAAGAGGGAGAAGGTTTCAGGCAGTGCCTGATGGTGCTCTAAGATCCAGGTTCAAATTTGTGCTAAAACTGTGAGGTTTTAACACTACATCAGAATTCCCATAAAATTCCTATATCTATTCATCTCTTAGCAAAATACAGATGAAGGTGCTTTCTTGTACTAATGGGACGTTATGGAGATGGGGAAGGGCCTTGAGGGGCCGTGTGAGGACACTGAGGGCACTTGGTGTGTCCAGCTGGAGAAGAGCAGACTGAGGGGAGACCTCACTGCAGTTCCAATGTCCTGGGGAGGGGCAGAGAAGGGGAAGGGACTGAGCTCTGCCCTGTGGGGACCAGGGACAGCAGCCAGGGAATGGCTGGAGCTGTGTCAGGTTGGATCTCAGGATAAGGTTCTTCCCCCAGAGGCTGGTTGGGCACTGACCAGGCTCCCCAGGGCAGTGGGCACAGCCCCAAGGCTGCCAGAGCTCCAGGAGGGTTTGGATGATCCTCTGGGACACAGGGAGGGACTCCTGGGGATGGACCTGTTCAGGGTTGAGGGTTGAATTCAATGGTCCTTGTGGGTCCCTTCCAACTCAGCACAGCCTGTAATTCTGTGATACCTGTAAGAGACAAGTGTAGTGGAAGAGGAGGAACTTGATTAAGCTCTGGAGAAGACAACTGCAAAAAGCTGTGTGTGACTGCTGTGGTTTTCTGACAGAGCCAGAAGTTGTGTTTACAAACAAGGACAAAGTGAAGAAGGAGGTGAAAGCTGCACTCTCAGAAGATGCCACGCTGAGCTGTGAGGTGGCCCAGGACAAGACTGAGGTGAAGTGGTACAAGGATGGGAAGCTGATCACCTCCAGCAAGAAGTTCAAGGTGGAGTCCGAGGGCAAATCTCGCTGTCTGGTGGTGGGTCAGGTGGAGCAGAAGGATGCTGGGGAGTACAGCTGCGAGGCTGCTGGCCAGAAACTCACCTTCAGGATCGATGTCACAGGTGGGAGACATATTTTGTTTTTTATTTAATTGAATTTTCTTTGAAACTGAGTGAAGGACTGGGCAGATCAAGAGTTTACCTGTAGGTACCAGTAGTTCTGGGGTCCTTAGTACAAGAATGACAAGGAGCTACTGGAGAGGGTCCAGTGGGGGGCACAAAGATGATGAGGGGTCTGGAGCATCTCTCCTGTGAGGAGAGACTGCGAGAGCTGGGCCTGGTTAGTCTGGAGAAGACTGAGAGGGGATCTCATTAATGCAGATAAATATCCTCAAGGTGGGTGCCAAGAGGATGGTGCCAGTCTTTTTGGTGGTGCCCAGCAACAGGAGGAGGAGCAGTGGCCATTAACTAAAACACAGGAAGTTTCACTTCCACTTGAGGAAGAAATTCTTTGCATTGAGAGGGGCAGAGCACTGGATCAGCTCCCCAGGGGAGAGTGTGGAGTTTCCTTCCCTGAGAACATTCCAAACCCACCTGGACATGTTCCTGTGTCACCTGCTCCAGGTGACACTGCCTTGGCAAGGGGGTTGGACTGGATGGTCTCCAGAGATCTCTTCCAACCCTAAGGATTCTGTGATTCTTTGATGCTGTATCCTGATATCAGCTCCTCAGCTCCCTGTGTGTGTCCTCAGGCTGAGATGAAGAGACTTTTCATCAGCAGGCACTGTGTTAAAGGACCTCTTCCAATCTGATCAGCATTGCTGGTATTTCTCCTCCTGTTATGGATATTCTTCTATGAAAGTCACTCTTTCCTCTTTTATTGCAAGTGAGAGGACAAGAGCAAATGGCTTTAAGTTGCTCCAGGGGAGGTTTAGATTGGATATTAGGGAAAAATACTTCACCAAAAGGGTTGTCAGGTATTGGAACAGGTTGCCCAGGGCAGTGGTGGGGTCACCACCCCTGGAGGGATTTAAAAGCCCTGTAGATGTGGCCCTTGGGGACATGGTTTAGTGATGGACCTGCCAGCACAGTGTTAATGGTTGGATTTGATGATCTTCCATGCCTAAATGATTCTAGGATTTCTTTGGTCTCAGTATATTTTGGTAAATTTTATTTCAGGCCCTAGTCAGCCATGGAATCAGCACCATTCTGAGTGATTATTTCTGAATTGGATGATAAGAAAGAGTGTGATTTTTTTTATTTTTTTTTAAGATTAATAACACTCCACTGTCTTTACAGCCAAATCCCTCTTCGTTAACACTACAATTCTAGTCTCAGAGCTGATCAGAACAGTGAATCTATTTTTCTCCTCTGCTTTCTTACAGCACCAAACCCCCTGGGACCAGAGTCTGGCAGGGGTTTGGCATTTTATCAGCTGTGTAGAAGAGGAACTGTGTTGGGAGTCTGTTGACTCCACCTTCTGTGGGGTACCCAGGGTGTGGACTGGGGCACTTTGGCTCTTTGCCATGAATTCTGTAGCTCATCCTTTTCCCTGAGAGAGCTGCCAGTTTCAGTGAAGGATGAGTTACAGTAAGGATAGAATTGAGAGGCACCTTCCAGAGAAAATTCAGCATGAACAGTGATGGAAAGATCATCAAAGAAATCTAGAATGGTTTGGGTTGGAAGGAACCCTAAAGATAACCTAGTTCCAACCCCCCCTGCCGTGGGTAGGGACACCTTCCACTATCCCAGGTTGCTCCAAGCCCTGTCCAACGTAGCCTTGAACAATTCCAGGGATGAGGCAGCCACAGCTTCTCTGGGCAAAATTGCTATAAACCAAATACACGATCAGCTGTTTAAACTGGTTCATAAATTCCTGCAGAGGTATAGATAGAAAACACAGGAATTTAGTGCTTTTCCACTGGAATTTCTGTCTCTGAGGGCTGTTCTTAGCTGTCTGCCTCAGAACCCAGAGGTTTTCAGCCCTCTCAGACCGGATGACTTCCCGGCGGCGCAGGGTAACACAACACCCTCCCCCTGTGCCGTAAGAGGAGAGATTGCCTGGCTACCGTTGCTGTATTCCCCATGGGAACAACTGTAACATGACATCCCGGTCCAGCACTGGCTGGAAAACGATCCAGTGTGAAAGTCAGGAGGGATTATGAGTACTCTGGGTGGTTGGATCTTTTGCGGCAGAAATCCGTCTCTTACTCCGTTATCCCGAAGTCCGGCGGCTTTCTGGGTCTTAATTTATCCCGTTACCCTTGCACTTGGAAAGCTTTTCAGAGGGTTCCTGTACCTCAGGGCTCCACTGGGAGCAGAAAGCCCGCCCTGTTTAAGGGCAGGTTGAAGGTTAGACCCTCAGTGTTGAGTTTTGGGATGCAGCTGTGGCTTTTTTGCATTAACATAAAAAGAACGGGGTACTGCACACCTTGGGACTGGGTTGGACGTGTAGAAAAAGAGCTGATTCTGAAATCTTATTATTTCAAGATTCATGGTATGTAGAGAAATCCGTATTTTAAAATGGAGAAAGCTCCATGTAATGAAAATGGTTTTCCTCAGTTCTACTGAAACTTCCCTAACCAGTTTCGGCTGAGGTTGGAAATGTCATCTGAATAAACTTGCTTAAGTTTAAAATAAATTTATAAGGCAAATTACCATTTTAGTCCCATTTCCTAATCACTATAAAAATGGTTTATATTGAAGCTCAGGAGTGAAGAGGACAAGTGAGATGGAGAAGGAATGTTCCTTCCCTGCTAAGTTGACACTTTAAACATAGCACCCATGGACACAGACTGGTCTGTAACTCATTTAGTGCACCCTGCACATTCCAAATCCAGGTCGTAAATGGACATTAAATCTTTATAATTTTTGAAACCAGTTTTGAATGCAAGCCCTGGTGTGTGGTTGAGCTCTTTTAGATACCAAAATGCTGCTGCCACGTGCCTTTGAGAGTTTTGCATCACTCAGCATAGGCCACGTGCCTTCTAAATGGCAATGACACCTCCTTACACCCCTGCCACAGCCAATATCAACAGAGGAGCTCAAGTTTAAAGCCTATAAGCCGGATTCCTGCTCTGGTTTGCTCCCTGCAGGATATCTCTCTTTCCATGGGCTGTGCAATGTTCATAGCAAGGCTGTGATGTGGCTCCAGGACGGTGGGTAGTGACACAGTCAGCAGTGTAGGATCTTGACCTGAGTTTACCCCTTCTCCTCACCCTCCCAGGCAGCTGCTGCCACTCAGAACACAGACGTGATGAGATGGGATGAAGAGGAGAAAGTCGGCAAGGAGGAGTAAAGGATGGCCCTGGGAGGCTGCAGAGAGTGACTGGGAGAGGAAGGGAGGGACACAGGTTATGGAAGGGGCTCACCGTGGCTGCCAGGGAGAACCACGAGCCTTTAAGGTCACAGAATCATTGAGGCTGGGAAAGACCTCCAAGGTCATCAAGTCCTACCTGTGAACAATCCCCACCTTGTCCCCCAGCCTGGAGCACTGAGTGCCACGTCCAGCCCTTCTTTGGACACCTCCAGGGATGGTGACTCCACCACTGCCCTGGGCAGCCCCTTCCAGTGCCTGACCACCCTTTCCAGGGTGAAGAAATTGTCCCTAATATCCAATCTCAACCTCCACTGGCACAGCTTGAGGCCATTTCATCTCATCCTGTTGCTACTTACTTGGGAGCAGAGTCCGACCCCCACCCAGCTCCCCCCTCCTGTCAGGGAGTTGCAGAGCCAGAAGGTCCCCCCTGAGCCTTCTTTTCTCCAGACTGAGTCCCCCCAGCTCCCTCAACCCCTCCTGGCACTCCAGCCCCTCAACACATTTTTTTCTCAATGTCACCTTCACCAGATGACCCAAATACCTCAGTCTGGGTGGATGAATTATTTTCCACGTTTGCACTGCAGGTGGAATGCACTGGGAAACCCACCCACTTGCTAATCCAGCATTTCCTGTGGAGCTGGTGCTTCTGTTCAGTAAAATCATGGACTTCAGTGCTCCAGTAAAAACCTGGGAACCCAAACAGTCATAGGTTGCCTTTGCTGTGGGATGTCCATCAAGTGGGCCCACCAGAAATATGTTACCCTTCTTGTGCAGTTATGTCTTGTGGAAAATCAGTGGGGAAAAAATGTAGCAGCTCATTTATTTAGGGTCTATTTCTCCTTCCACATCTCAAATGTACATTAATATAAAAGCTAAAGGTGACCACATCAGTTTTTGGTTAAAGGAGAACCAGGCAAAACAATCATTAATTAATAAAAGATTCAATTTCTCAGTCAGTGCTACTTAGTAAGGTGACACTTATCTACCTAATTAACTGGTAAATACACAAGATATTCTTCTGATGCCAACTGGACTTGTTGAGATGGAATTTCGAAGTGGTGCCATGGAAGAAAGTGATTTTAAACCCTTGATTCTTGTATCTTTTGTTGAGTATTAAAACAAGATTCCCTATGGCCTGTTTGCTGAAAAATCAGAGATTTTTTTTTTAGGAAATAAAAGTATACTTCAACTTTTGTAGGCCAGTTTTATATGCTATGTAGGTCAAGTATTTTTCCATATTAAGAACTGTGTGTTTGTAATTTTTTTGGGATTGGGTTACACGATATTTTCTGAACAACACCCAGTCTTAATCTAAAATACCTGTTAAAATCCTGTAAGTAATGTGATAGTGGAGGTGACAACTTGTAGTTGTGCTGTATTTGGCTCGTTCCAAACGTGGGGAGTAGGAATATCATAAAGACACAATGGAGGAATATTATCTTTGTCTTCATTACAAGGAATTTGAAAATGAGGTGGTCGAGCTGTTCGTGAAGATGAGTCAGAGAGGTATAACTGCATGGACTGTTTTTTGAGGGTTTTATGTGATAAAAAGAACTGCAAAGCTATGTTACTTACAAGAAATTATTATAGAATCAAAGAATTATTTAAGTTGGAAAAGTCATTTCAGATCATCATGTCCTGTGGTTAACCCAGCGCTGCCAAACCCAAGTTCCTGCAGAGCACCTACATCAAATACATGTAATATCTTCTTGCCACAAGTTATTTACATCTTATGTATATTTTTAAATTGTTTCCCTATTTTAGAGGCAGAAGATGCCTTTGTCCACAAGGAGAAGGTGCAGAAAGAGGTGAAAGCTGTGCTATCAGAAGATGCCACGCTGAGCTGCGAGGTGGCCCAGGACAAGACTGAGGTGAAGTGGTACAAGGATGGGAAGCTGATCACCTCCAGCAAGAAGTTCAAGGTGGAGTCGGAGGGCAAATCTCGCCGTCTGGTGGTGGGTCAGGTGGAGCAGAAGGATGCTGGGGAGTACAGCTGCGAGGCTGCTGGCCAGAAACTCACCTTCAGGATCCATGTTGCAGGTGAGGGATTGCCTTATTACACCTTTTTTTTTTGCTGTAGCTGTGAAGTTTCCTAGTGACATAGGTTAACTTTAAGCCTTGCTCTGTATGGGTCTGCAGCAGAACTTAAGTGGTTATTCTTAAAAATCAGTATTAAGGGCATGTGTTTGGATGCTTTGGGAAAAAGCCCACTAAGGCCGAGTAGTCTTTTCCCTGATTTTGACCAGGAAGGGTGATAAGGAAAAAGAACACAAGAACAAGACAAGCATAACACAATCCTTCCACTCTTTAAGGGTCTGTAGTTGCATTCTTAGAATTTGTAGTTTCTGTCTCTGCTGGGACAGAGTTTTTCTGTCACATCTGTACAAGAGATGTGGCTTTGCTGAGTTTTGCCAACGTGACTTCATGTGGAATTGCACCACACAGAGAGGTTCAAGTGTCAGTTCAGATCAATATTCAGAAGTCTGTGTGTGCTGGTGAATCATCAGTGCGCCCATTTCTGTCCTTGCTGCCAGTTATTTTTGTGGAAAAAAAATCACGCAGTACTTCCTTTCTCATCTTCCTTTCTTCTGTCCTGCTTGACAGTGTTTCAAGGGAACAATAACTAAATTTGTTGTAGATGTTTCTTTCCTGACTGTGGACCACAGGAAAACCTCAAAGAAGCATTCAATTAAAGGCACATCGATTAAAAGCACATCCCAGGGATGTGGGGCAACACAATTGGATTTGGTGCAAAGATGTGTCCTTTTTCTCGTGAGATTCGCCCAACACAGGAATCTAACCATGTCTTTTTAGAAGTGTTTGCTTTTTCCCAGCCTGGTGGCCTGATCACACCACTGAACCTTTTATTTTGGACCTAGCTGTGAGTGATTTTAAGTATCTTCCACGCCGGAGGTGGTTTGGGGCTGGCCTGCTCCCAGGTATCCCATGATGTTACAGCACTGGGACTCATGTGACTGCCAGCTGTGGGCTTTGCTGAGGAACAAACTATTGGGTTTCACTCTGCTTGCTCTGCCACGTCTGCATTCTGTGATATACATTGCTGGGGGATAACCCTGCAAGGAAACTGGAGACAAATCTGCCTCGTTATCCCTCGTACCAGAAAAACTGTGGTAATACTTATTCCATGGCTCAGTTATGTGACCTTTTTTTTTTTTTTTTTCCCTCTAGCTCTATGCAGGTTGTAGGAACAGTACAGGGTAAGACTGAGGTTGCCATTTTATTTCAAACAAGGAATGCATTTGATAGAAGAAACTCTTAAAAAAGTTGCAGCAGATTATAAATCAAAGTGTGAAAGGCAGAAATTAGCAAAGGATCTTCTCACAGTGTTTGAAGGAAAAGCTCTTTGTAGCTTCCCATGGAAGGATCTTCTCATCTGGGTCCAGGAGGCCTTTTTCCTTCACAGGAACTGAAGTGCTCCTGGTAATTGTTTGTGTGCAGCTGAGCGAGTGGGGAAAGATGTTGACAGCAATAATGGAAGGTTTCATGGGTCTTTTGGGTTAAAACCCAAAGATTGACCTGCTTTTAGGGCTTCTGAAAGAGTCATATTCGTGACTGTGAGGGTTCACTTTTTTTTTTTTGGAAATAGCACCATCCTCTGCAGGTTGATGTGGTGGGTACCTCACTCTCACCAAACTTCTCTGCATCTCACATCTTTTCTGTAAACAGGGGTAAGGAGAGTGTTGTACCTCAAAGCATTTTTCATATCACAGGCTTTGAGGTACTTGGGTACCATGGAAAGAGGGACAGGCATTTTGTCTCCAGTGTGTGACTGTTGCCCATTGCTTCCAAGGAGAGGCCATTTCTCAGATTTAGCAAATGGGTAAATATCAGAAAGTAGAGAAGAAAAGGTCCTCTTGCCACTGAGAGATTTGCTGGTCACTGTAGAGGCAGAAATGATGGGATTCATCAAGGTCCTCCTTCAAGACTGCTAAGGAAGAATGCTATGGAACTAGAAATAGAAAATGGATCTTCTGATCCATTCTGATCTCTTGCTTTAACCCCAGATAATCTTTGTTATCCCCTTGTTCCTGGCTGAAGATGCAACTGAGCAGAAATACCAACGTGAGCTTGTGTAAAATACAAATTACCCTGAGGGAAATTCAAGCAACTGAAAGCTCTCACTGAAGAGAATTACCTGGGATGGAGCACAAATGTGAGCCTAGGAGTCCCTCACTCAGCCTCCTTCTGTGTGATAGAATCCCAGAATGGTTTGGGTTGGAAGGGACCTTCAAGATCATCTCATCCCACCCCCTGCCATGGGCAGGGACACCTTTCACTGGACCAAATTGCTCCAAGCCCCATCCAACCTGGCCTTGAACACTTCCAGGGATGGGAAGTGTAACGTCCATTGCTTATAATGAAGGGGAAAATATCTGCCTAGAGAGGGTTAGAGCCAAAATGAAGAAATTGGCCCATAGGACAGCACTTTTCAGGAGCATTGGCTTGTTCTCTTCAGAAGTGTCACAGGAAGTGCTCTGAAACTTGTAACCCACGCTTTTTGCACCACTGTCAATTCCTAACCCCAGAGACACCACTTTCCAGCAGAGTTCTCCTTTTTTCATTCCTTATTTGTGCTCTGTCTTTTAAAGGATTTATATATACAGGGGATTATATATATTTTTTGCTGGCCTTAGTAATCCTCTCTTTTCTGTTCTTCTGCTGGGTAAGATATAAATTCTGAGCATTTTAGTGGGGAGGTAGCAAGTTCCACACTGAGTATTGAATAAATTGTTGATCTGTTCTTCATGGATCAGTTCTCATAATTCATGCAAGTTTGGTAGTTCCAAAGAAGTTTATTACAGAGATTTTTTTTTTATTCCTTTATTTACTGTATCATCTTAGGATCCCTGTCTCCAATGTTCTTTCTCATGTCCAGCTTCTAAAATTATGTCCTTGGAACTTATCAAAACCAAGCCTAAAATCAAATTACTGTTCTTAATTCAGTGTCTGTTTGATTGGAGTATCTGGCAGTCATTCCATCTGGAAATCCAAGATGCTCCTGGCCCAGCTCCACTGGAGGAGACCAAGATGATGAGGGGGCTGGAACACATGTCATATGAGGAGAGGCTGAGAGAACTGGATTTGTTCAGCCTAGAGATGAGAAGAGAAAACAAAAGGGAGCTTTAATTACTGCCTGCATCTGTTTAATAAGAGGATATGGAGTCCACAGCTCTGTGTCTTCTCAAAGATCCAGGGTAATGGGAGGAAAGATAAAATATACAAGTTGGAAGTTGTATGGGAGGTTCTGAAAAGATATTAGGAAAAATTTTCACCATGAGGGTGGCCAAGCTCTGGAACAGGAGCCTTGAGGTTGTGGGGTCTCCATTGCTGGAGATACTCAGGACTCAGTGGGACATGACTGTGCAGAGCTTGGTGTAATTTCATCTGCTCTGAGAGGGGAAGTGGGACTGGGTGGCCTCCAGAGATCACTCTTAACCTGAATTACTTTATGACTGTGATTTTGTACCATTAGTAGCATGTGCTCTGTAGAATATGTCTGGGAAGTGATGCTGTTCCATAAGGATACAGCTCTATATAAATGTCTGTGAAGGTACTCCACCTGTTATGCATTTATTTCATATTATTATTGATTTTTTCCTAAATATCACTTGGGCCCAGCCAGGGGGTTGGCATTGGCAAATGAAGGATCCTGCCTGGAGTTTGTCCTATTTACTGTGACTGTGCAGCCCAGACTTCCCTGCAAGTGAACAAAACACACCCTGCTTTCCCAGGAGAGCCCATCCTGCTTGACCTGGAGAGAGGCACCCTCCAGAGGGCCTGCAGGAAAGCTGGTACCAGCCTTAAGATCAGGCATGGAAGTTCTTCTTGCTGCCCAAATGAGCAGCAGCTGGAAAATGTGATACCTGGAAGTAAATTGTTCCTGCCAGTGCTTCGTCGAGCGTTCGCTTGACTCTGACTCTTTCAGCCTTTTTTCTTTCCACAGCTGATTTATTTAAACTGTGATGCACCAGGTGGTGTCTCACCAAAACCCCAACACCACGTGATCTTGGAGGTGAAGCTTCCATTTTCATGGGCTTTTTCCTACTTTTTTTTTCCTGCTTTCCAATCTTGCAGATGACGTGTTTGAACACAGAGACAAAGTGCAAAGGGAGGTGAAGGCAGTGCTGAAGGAGGACACCACTCTGAGCTGTGAGGTGGCCCAGGACAAGACTGAGGTGAAGTGGTACAAGGATGGGAAGCTGATCACCTCCAGCAAGAAGTTCAAGGTGGAGTCCGAGGGCAAATCTCGCCGTCTGGTGGTGGGTCAGGTGGAGAAGAAGGATGCTGGGGAGTACAGCTGCGAGGCTGCTGGCCAGAAACTCACCTTCAAGATTGATGTCACAGGTACGAGAAGACTCTTCAGCCCCATCATTCCTATTTCTAGAATATTTAGAAAAATCAATATTATTTTTAAAAACATTTTCGTGTTACGCTTCAAATTTTTGGCGAACGTCGTTGGAATGGCCCAGCTCTGATGTAGAAATGGGGCAAAAAGTTAAAAATACAGTTACCTTCATATATTCTATGTCAAAGCTTAGAAATCCTTAAAACAGGGGTCCTTGGAAGCTACACATCACTGCAGGAAAAGTAGATTGTACCTCTTCTTCCTCACACGTTGGTGCAATGGCAATAAACCTGCACCACAGCTTGTTCTCAGTGCAGGGTCATGGTGGAGAGTGGTTGGGTGTGTGCACTGTTTTATTTCACTTGGAAGGGCTCGTTTCAGCCTGAAGGGACAATATGGCAGCAGGGCTTGATACATATGAAGCCTCTAAGGTGTCAGGTAAAAGGCAAATTGGGGAAAGAAGGTGTCTTGGAGACTCAATCCAGACACATCTCCCTGCTGGGGCTGTAGAGAGGTAGAATGGATTCAGCTTTACAACTCCCTCAGAACTTCCTGAAGCACTTCTGAGTGGTATGACACATGTGTCCTGTGGAGAACAAGAGAATTTCACCTACTGGATGTAAGATGAGCTGAGGTTTTTCCTCAAGGTTGCGCTGAGAAGTAATAACACTGTCCTGGACATGTCAGTCCTGGTCTAGCACCTTTCTCTCTTAACAAAATGATCTAAGCAGCAGCAGAAGCAGCTACTGAGAACCAAAGAAATCAATTATATGGGGCTATGATGCAGCACAGGACAGCTCCTTCCTCTAAAAATTTGTTACTTTGCACTCAACTTCAACTCAAATGTGTCCTGCCTTGGCTGGACCCTGCCATACAATGCTTCTGTGAACCTTTCAGAGGATCTTCTGGATTTCAGAAAACCAAAACAGACTAAAACCACATAAAATCCCCACCACAAAATGGTCTGTGTGTTCTTCCAATAGTTTTAGATGTGCATTGTCAAGTCAGGGGTTGTTTTCCAGGGTTGCCTGTAAGCCATGACAAGGGGACTGGGCAACAGCTTATTTTGGAGAAACTCTGAACTTCTCTCTCTTTTCAGAGCCAGAAGTTGTGTTTACAAACAAGGACAAAGTGAAGAAAGAGGTGAAAGCTGCACTGTCAGAAGATGCCACTCTGAGCTGCGAGGTGGCCCAGGACAAGACTGAGGTGAAGTGGTACAAGGATGGGAAGCTGATCACCTCCAGCAAGAAGTTCAAGGTGGAGTCCGAGGGCAAATCTCGTCGTCTGGTGGTGGGTCAGGTGGAGCAGAAGGATGCTGGGGAGTACAGCTGCGAGGCTGCTGGCCAGAAACTCACCTTCAGGATCGATGTCACAGGTAAGAAATACCTTTCTGAATGACAGGAGAGGACAATAAAGCAATACCTGTGATATCTATTCCACCCTGACTCGGTTGCTGTGCTCTGGGTTTTGTTGCAGCCCATAGGGTTCACCTGATGTTCTGCACCTTATTGCCTGGATTTGTAGAAATGCGAATATTTGGCTTTAGATGGCACAAAGACCTATCTCATTTTTAATTGGGCTGCATAATAATAGTTGCAGATATAAATATAATGATCAACATATTATTTAACGTAATATTCAGCATATATTCATGAACCTGCATGCCTGGGATGCCAGGGAGTGATTCTTTGTGCATTGACCCCCTTGAAAGGAAAGAATCATTCAAAAATCCTTTTTATTAGACTTCCAATCCCATTTCTGAAAACTGAGAGGCTAGAATAGATTTTTCCATGTGAATATTCAGCATCAGCACGTCTCAAGATGGGTTGAAAACATCCTGAAAATTCACCAGAATTATTTTTCTGGTGAATTCGGATTGTTGTGTGCTTGAGATCTCAGCCTTTTGAGATGCCTTACTAATTCTGCCAGGTGACAAATGCCCTTTTGCTGTGAAAGATTCCAAGAAATTGGTGTTTTGGAACAGGATTCACAAGGTGCCCAAACTGCTTTAAGCATGTGGTGTTAAAGGACGTTTTGATTTTGTAACAACCTTAGGGACCTTGCCAACCGTGATCCTGACCCCCCTGAGCCCTGGAGAGAGATCATATTTCCTTTGTCTCTTTGACAGTCACGTTTCTGGGAGTGGAAGAGGCCATGAAGAGTCTGTTCCAGAAGCCCAGAGTTATTTATTTTGTCCTAGATCTCAAGTAAATGGAATTTGGGAGGTTTTGATGATATGCAGGACAGACGTTTTTGGGAATATTTAAATTAAATATTTTTTTTCATGGTGACTTGCAACCACAGGGTTGATGTCAAGGATATTTTGGTCCCTTCCATTCCTAGGCTCTTGATTCCCAGTTTCCACATGGCAACTCAGTCCCACAGAAGGGTTAATGTTGCCTAGTGACAGCAATTGGTTTTGGCGAGTGACAACCTAAATATTTTCCAGACCTGCCTACAGAAGTCTGTAAGATCAACCTCATTTTAGTCCCTCAATCAATAAATAATCAATTATTTCCTTCTTTTTCTGTGCCCAGAGCCCAAACCTGCATTTATAAACGAGGAAAAGGTCCAGAAGGAGGTGAAGGCTGTGCTGACAGAAAGTGCCTCCCTCGTGTGCGAGGTAGCACAGGATGCAACCGAAGTGAAATGGTTCAAGGACGGAAAACTTCTGGTTTCCTCCAGAAAATTCAAAATAGAGACCGTGGGCAAAACCCGGCGCCTGGTTATAGAGCAGCTGGAGAAGAAGGATGCTGGGGAATACATCTGTGAGGCTGCGGGCCAGAAGATGACATTCAAACTGGAACCAACTGGTGGGTACCCCCTTTGTGGTGTTAAGCACCAACCTGTGAGGAAAACTGGATATTCCCTACCCAGCAGCTGTGGTGCAGCCACCATCTCCCCTGGAGCAACGTCAGTGAACCCACAGGGCACATTAATTTTCAATCTAGCAGTGCAGAGGGGGGAAATCTGGACTTTTTTTTTTTTTTTTTGGCGTGTGCCCCAAAAACGCCAAGTTTTGTGGCAAAGTGTTGTACAAGATAGAGAAGAGGCCAAGAGTAAGGTGCTGGAATCACAGAACGGTTTGGGTTGGAAAGAACCTCAAGGATCATTTTAGTTCCAACCCTCCTGCCAGTGGAGCAAATAGAAAACAGGCCATAAATTCAGGCTTAGCATATTAATATTCCTTATTAACTTGACTTAAAATTCCAAAGATGTGAGAGGGATGAATTATAGAGGTTACTGTACTTTTAGAAAGAAGCTTGTTGTGGGCAGCAGATAAAATACGTATGTTTGCATTTCCTTTCCCTGCTTCTCCTCTAAGCAGAAGCTCTGAGTTACCTGAGAGATCATTTTGTTTCTTCCCACTCAGCAGAAGATGATACCAGCCACAAATCTTCACCCATATTCCCTGGATTATTGCAGGCTGTGGATGAGCTGGCGTTGAGTCAGGAGGAGAGAGCAATAGAATATTGCTGCGTTAAGGATTCGATTAGCTAAGTTCTTAATTTTCCTGTTTCAATGTCTTTCCTAGAACCAGAGGCTAAATTTGAAAAGAAAGTTGTCCAGAAAGAGCCCCTCATTGTTCAAGAACATGAGAGTATCACACTGACAACCTCAGTGACGCCTGAAACTGCTGCAGTGAAGTGGCTCAAGGACGGGACAGAAATCAAGGCGAGCAAGAAATGTGTGATCAAGAGTGAGGGGGCGTCCAGGACCCTGGTGGTGAACCTGGCTGAGAGCACAGACACTGCTGTCTACACCTGCCAGACCAGGAATGACAAGCAGGAGTTCAAAGTGCAGGTGAAAGGTGAGCAGAGAGCAGAACACGGGTCGTGCCCTGACCCAACAGCGACACTTCTCTCATGGTGGGGTGGAGGTGAAGCCCAAACTATCCCTAAAGCTGTTCCAACCTCAAGGCTTGTTGCACCCTCTGTGGATGCCCCAGCATGGGCCAGCAAGGATCTCCTGCTTCAAAATACCCACCTTTTGTCCTTTGCTGGCCTGTTGGGGACAAGGAAGCTTTTCTTGATGTCTACTCCCCTTCTCTTTCTGTCTCCTCTTAACCCTGGGACGTGACAGAGACTCAGCTCTTCCCCTCTGTGCTCACAGGAAAAGCTGGTGAGGCTGCAGAGGGATGTTTTGTGAGGAAAAAATTGGTGATTTAGTCACAGAGGGAAACAGGACCTGAACTGAATCCTCCTCAATTCATGGGATGGAGCACCTGGGATGCTGTTCCCTACTCAAGGCTGTAAATTGGCAAGCAGGATGAAGTAGAGCTGATCCACAGATGGAGATGAGAGGGGTGATGTCCCAGAGCAAAGCCCTGCTCCTTTCTCTTCAGACACTTAGCCTAGAGATGTCTGGAGCTGAGATGCACTCCCTCGGCTCCCTGAGGAGTCATTGCAGAGGGGAGGTTGCTGATGGGTCGTGATGCTTCCAACCTCTTGAAATGTCTCTTTGGGATGAGAGAAATCACACACTGGATTTCTCCAACACCACTGGCTGTGTCTGCAGTGACAGAAGAGACAAAGATGGCTGGGGCTTATGTATCCATACAGATTTTAGCATTTAGTCAGGAAAAGCAGGCTCTGCTGTAAAAACACCACATGGTCTCATCAGGTAACAGAAAGAAAGGAAGGCAATAGTCAACCATGTTTGAAGACATTGTTCTTGCTTTACAGAACAATGGTGATATGAAAATACCACATCAGAGGAATCTCACTGAATTCCCACTTTCCTGATTTGTTTCTGTCTTTGATCCCCAAATATTTTCTAGGGCAAGTCCGTTTGTTTGATTGTTTCCAAAGTTGTCCAGAACCAGTCACTTCAAACAAAGTTTCATATATTTTCCTTTCTCAACAAGGAAGTTTCATATATTTTCCTTTCTCAACACTCTCCCTTCTTCTGGGCCCCAGAAATCCCGGTGAAGTTCGCCAAGAAGCTGGAAGCTGTCAAGGCTGAGATTGGGGGCAGTGTCTCCCTGAGCTGTGAGCTGAGCCACCCCCGGGGGAAGGTGACCTGGCGCAGGAACGGAGTCGAGATCCAGCCCAGCAAACGTTTCCAGGTTCACGAGGAGGGGGTCAAACGGACCCTGACAATAACAGGGATCCGGGCCGAGGATGAGGGGGAGTATTCCTGTGAATCCAGAGACGACAAGAGCAGCATTGCCATCACCCCCAAAGGTACATGTCTAGTGGTGACAGTGTTGGAGGGATCCTTGGGTTCTGTCCTCAGCCATTACAGCTCTGCAAAGCTGAGTTTGCTCATGTGTCTGTGTTGTCTCATGTGTTGAGAGCAAAATACAAACCTCCCTTTTCCTCTCAGTGTCACTGGAACCTCTATGGAAAACATAATGATTTCGAGACCTGTGGAGCTCGGGTCTGTTAATATTGACCTTGACTGGAATTCAGTATTCCAAATCTAAGATGGGTTCCCCCCCCCCCCTCTTTGTTTGCCTCTGGCTTCTGACCTCTTTATGTACAAAACTTACTCAGACATGAGAAACATCCAGTGATGACCCATTGTTGTGAGCACTCACAGTGAGTAAAGGTGACCAGTGGCAGAACCCGAGGGGAGTGGCCTGGAGCTGTGTCAGGGCAGAGTTAGGTTGGATATTAGGAAAAGGTTCTTCTCCCAGAGGGTGGTTGGGCACTGAACAGGCTCCCCAGGGCAGTGGGCACAGCACCAAGGCTGACAGAGCTCAAAGAGCTTCTAGATGATCTTCTGGGCCAGTGGGTGTGACTCTTGGGGACAGTCCTGTGCAAGGCCAGGAGTTGGACTGGGTGATCCTTGTGGGTTCTTTCCAGCCCCGCATATTCTGTGAAACATTAATGATTCCTATAAAATCAAAGGTTTTGGCTCTTTGAAGGTGCTCATGCCACGCCTGAAAGACATGCTCTAAGTGTTTTATTCCTACCCATCAGCTCCCAGAGTGGTGAAATTCGTCACCAGCCTCAACAGCGTGGTGTCTGAGGAAGGAAAGGAGGCCGTGTTCAAGTGCACCGTCTCTCCCAGCGACGCCGTGGTCACTTGGCTCAGGAACGGCGTCAAGATTGAAGCCAGCAAGAAGTATGTGATCTCCCAGAAGGACACCAACCACAGCCTCACCATCACTGACCTGACACTGGAAGATGCAGCTGAAATCTGCGCCAGTGCTGAGGGTGTGGAGAGCACAGCCAACCTCAGAGTCCGAGGTGAGAGGTGGTAATGCCCCTTTTTACAGGCTGCCCTGCCCACGGGGTTGGAACTAGATGATCCTTCCCAACCCAAACCATTCTATGATGATGATTATTTTATAATAATGTGTAGTAGGGAAATTCTGCCTTTGCATCGTTGAATAGGGATGCTCAGAACACTTTGGGACTGGAGATAGATGAGCCACCGTCCTGATTTTCCTCTGAAAACCTGTTTTCTGGATTATCTACTTTCTTACTAAAATCTCTTCTCCTTTGGCAGAGGCCTCAATCTCGTTCAAGAAGAAACTGGAGCCCAAAACAGTTGAAGAGAGGGAGACAGTGACCTTGGAGGTGGAGCTGACCAAGCCTGCAGAGGTGAAGTGGATGAGGAACAGCATCGTGCTGAAGCCCAGTGACAAGATAGAGATCAAAGCTGAGGGAACAAAGCACACCTTGGTGGTGAAGGACATCTCCTTTGCAGACAGGGGCTTCTACTGCTGTGAGAGCCCTGATGACAAGACCCAAGCCAAGATCAACGTGGAAAGTAAGTTCAGTGATCTCCAGTTCTATAAATACCCTGGACAGGGTTTGGAGGTGGATTCTGGTCTCTGCCATTATCATGGAGACAGAGGGACACAACCATGTGCTTGGCCAACAGCCAAATGACCAAGTGGAGGTGAAAGAAAGGGCAGCAAACAGAGAATGTCTGGCTGACTGCTCTGGCCTGCATCTCATCCCACCAGTTTTCAGTCATTCTGTTGACCACCAAACTTCTTACCCATTCTTCTCCTTCCTCTGAAATTTCCCACTCTAGTGGCCTCTATGTTTTTCCTTTGGAAGGTTTTTTTAGCAAACCATTCCCTCTTCAGCCATTCATTGTCTTAATTTTCCTCTGCAAGCGACCTCTTTCAGAATGTCTCTTTATGTTCAGTCAGGGTCAGAAAAACAAATTATTGGATTATCTCTGCTAAACATGCATTAGGAAGGTTGAAATATTCCCAGGAGACCCTTTGAGAATTGAAGGTTCTTGTGAATAATTCATGGCTTTTTAGAGGGCTGGGTTGGGGATTTAGGTTTTTTTTTTTAATGGATGTTTTTGGTGGTTTGGTTTTGTTTGTTTGTTTGTTATTTTTTGTTTGTTTGGTTGTTTTGTTTAGTTTTAATTGGCAACTTAATTACTTCTAGTGGTGAAACAAGTTTAAATACTAAATCCATTTTACTGGCTGATAGGACATGGATGTCTTGTCATAAGAACAGGTAAACCACGGGTGCTTTGCCCCCCCCAAGCTGTGAGGTGTCAGCACACTTTGCACCATGTCACAAATTTCTTTTCCTTTTGCTAAAGGCTTTTCTCTCCCCCTGCTCCTTCTTTCCATTGTTTTATCCCAGTTGGAGAACTGCACAATATTGTAGTGCATTAATTTTATTTGTTTGGTTTTTTGTTTTTTTTTTTACTTGGACCTTGATAGGAAAGGGGCCAGATTGCCCTTTTTCTGTGATATTTAGTTGACCTGTTTGTCAACCAGCTGAAAACATCCATTTTAAAAATAGCAGCCATGTGTGGTCGTGGGCAGGTTTTATTTCCTGTAAAAGTGGTTGTTTAATTGACAGATACCAATTAATTGGCAAGCACCTGCATGGGGAATGGGGAAATAACCCATTTTGGAAATCCTTGGGATATTTCACAGCTGTCAGTTGTGAGATCTCCAATTTTTCCACGGTGTTTTCCAGTGAGGCAGATCAAGCTGGTGAAAGGCCTTCAGCCCCTGGAAGTTGCTGAGAAAGGCACTGTCACCTTCGAGGTGGAGGTGTCACACGAGGACGTGGAAGGGACCTGGCAGAGGGACGGAGTTCGGCTCAAACCCGCACCCAACGTCAGCTTTGGCGTCCTGGGCAAGAAACACTCACTGACTCTTTCCTCGGTGGCCCTTGAGGATGCAGGGGTCATCTCCTTCAAGGCAGAAGGCATCAATTCATCAGGGAGACTCACTGTGACAGGTACACTGACCCAAAAGGCTCAGGCTCTGCTTGGGGTGGACATAGTTGTTCTTCTCCTGACCTGGAGAGCAAACTCGAAGAGGTCAACCAGCCGTCCTTGTAACTGCAAGGGGTGTTAAGCACTGGACCACCACCAGTAACATACCCTTATATCATCAGCATTATTGTAGCATCACTGTCCACAGAACAACACGTGATAAAGTGCCCAAAACGTGATGATTCTGTTGTCACGGGTTTTATTAACCATGGAAGCCAGGCCTTGCCTACCCATTAGTGCTCGTGTCAGACGTCCTCCTGTAAACCTCATTCCCCACTCATTGGATCTGCTCTTTGTTGTTTTGTGGGTTTTTTTTTTTCTCAGAATTGCCTGTGAGAATCAGCAAACCTCTGGTGGATGTCAGTGTGACTCAGAAACTCAAGGCCACATTTGAGTGTGAGCTGTCCAGGCCCAACGTGAATGTGAAGTGGTTCAAGGTACAGTGTTAATGGATAGTGATATTTTAATTCCCTCCTTCTCTAGAAGGGAATGAGAGCCTTTATTTTGACTTCCAGGGGATGTGAATCTGAACCTTGGCAATACAGCTCTTGGCATTGCCCTCTTGTCCTTATGTTGATTTACTCTCCCACTTTATCACTGTTTTTTATTTACAAAGTGTGTTTTTTGGGTTTTAAAGTTAAACTTCTTTATTCCTGTACAAAATGTGAGTGCAGCTGTTATAACAATGCAGTTTTGTGCTTTACTTCATGCCTAGCAGTTCTCACCCAGCATTTACAAGGTCTTTTGGAACTGTGATTGAAGGGAAGCCTCAATTTCCTTTGTCAGTGAAAGTCCAGTTCCCTTTCCCTTGACATTTTGTGGATCAGCTCTTGCATTTCATGTACCTTCCTTGGGCTCAGCTGATACTTTCCTTAATTTGGGATAACAACAATTCTTCAAGATAATCATAGAACCACAGAACAGTTTGGGTTGGAAGGGATCCTTAAAGGTCACCTAGTTTCAACCCCCCTGCAATGAACAGGGACATGTTCAGCCAGATCAGGTTGCTCAGAGCCCTGTTCAACCTGACCTTGACGAATGGGACATCCACCACCTCTCACCCTCGTTGTAAAAAACTTCTTTCTTATATCTAGTCTAGATCTACCCTCTTTTAGTTTAAGATCATTTGTGTCTGAAGGGGCTTACTGCCAAACCCTGTGCAGTGTTTTAAGCCTTCAGATAGGTGTCTGAGACCATCAAAAAGTTGTGTGAGTTCTTCAGCCACTCCAACTCGTTGAAAGCTTTTGGCCATGCTGATGTTTCACCACATGTTCCATTAAGTCCAACGAGGCAGGTGAACAAAGCACAGCTCTGAATGTCTGTTTTGCTCACTGCAGATGTACAAGAGTTGATGGTGATCTGGTTTGGCCTTTTCCCCTTCTAGGATGGGAAGGAGATCCGTCAAAGTCAAAACGTGGGGTTTGTTTCCCAGGGAAATAAGAGAAGCCTCATTATTCACAAGTGTGAATATGAAGACCAGGGAACCTACAGCTGTCAAGCAGCTGAAGACAAGACATCAGCTACTCTAAAGGTTCATGGTATGTCTGGCTGAAGTAGGAAATTACATTTACTGCAGTATTTTTGGCCACACAGTGAGAAATTCTTTGTGGACAGTTTATGTGTTTCACAATTGCCCATTTTGGTTAAGTTTCTCTTCCCAGTGAGAAAGTGCTGGCACAGCTCTTCTGTGCTTGCTTTATCATTCCAGTAAAAAAAATATTTAGTTTTCCATTTATCTTTAGTTATTTCTATTCTCTGGAATTTCAGTGGTGTTTCTGGATTGACACATTAACAAATCCTGGACAGCCTGGCACAAAGCAGGGATTCAATGGCTGGTGCTGATGTGGTTTGGTTTAATTTCTGCCATTGTCACGGGGGGACTTTACCTGAACAGGGACTGGACAAACTTTGGGTATGAGCTAAAGAGGTGCCCTAATTTTTAGGTTGTAAATGCTAAAGAGATGTATATTTTTTCTGCCTGCACCTCTCCTTTATGCACCAAGCAGCTGCTCAAGCACCAGGAGTATTTGGTCACCAGGCTCTGAAACACCAGAGATAAGCTGGTGCTGAGGGCAAGTTACTCAACAGACAGGTTTACTGTGCCCTGGCAGAGGTTATTTCCCAGAGGAACATCTGAAAAACAGACCTTGCTGAAAGATAGAGCATCCTTCTTATTGCTTACTAGCTGCTGTCCTCATGTGGCCGTTTGGGTTTAGCAATATCTTCTCAAACATATGCCCTGTTTCCTTGCTCTGTTGAGCTCCCCCTTTTCTACCTGATTTTGTGGTTGGGAAGGGTGGTTGTTTGCATTTCTCTGCTCCTGAGGCTGATCCAAGGGGTATCAAGGCCTTCCCTTTCAAAAGGAAAGGGCTGCAATAGCACAGAAGTACGGATCAGTTCTGATAAAATGAGTGCCAAGCTGCAAAGTTAAAGAGGATTATACTGAGTTCAGAACACTGCAGAAAAGGCTTTTCCTAGGTGAAACAGGAGAGCATGAAGAGGAGCACATGAATGAGACAGATTTATAGTGACCTTCAAAACTGTAGGCTTGTGTTTAGTTTTTCCCTGGCAGATTTTCTTGCATTAATACGTTTAACTTCTTTTAAAAGCTGTATGAAGTTCCAGCACTCACAAAATCCTTTTACAGTGAGCTGGTAATTCTACCTGCCAGTTCAAACATAAAATATATTCACTGTCTTGAGGTGAGAACTCCCCAGGAAGGGAGGCTGGACTAGAACAAAACACAATCCCATTTTTTAACATGCAGTTATGCAGAAGGTAAACACCCCACCCTCGGGTATGGAGAAACCCCAAATAAATATTTCTCTCTTTGGTTTCACAGCCCGAGATATCAAGATTGTAAAGCCACTGGAAGATGTGGAAGTGAATGAATACGAGAGTGCATCCTTTGTCTGTGAGATTTCACATGATGAGGTCGAAACCCAGTGGTACAAAAATGACAACAAGCTGAAGACTTCAGACAATATCAAAATGCGACAGGATGGTAAGAGGGAAAAGAGGGATCTCCTTCTCGAGTGGGGGTGTGTTGGGATGGGAGACTAGAAAAAAGGGTGTGACCTCCAAAATCAGGTTAAGAAGGTTCAGCAGAGAGTCCTGCTTTGGTTTTGGGGCTGCAGCTGTGCTGGGATAGTGTTGTGGTTGGGAATTTAAACAAGGCAGATTTGGTGTCATCCCAAATGACAGCAGTGGGTAGGAATTCATATCATCGGACAGTGGGTGGGATTCTTCTGCTTCAAGCACTTTCTCAATGATGTGAGGGTCATGTTAAGTCAGCCTTTGGAGGAGTTGAGCTTGAGTTATCCTCTGGTACAGGGACACGGGGGAATGGTTGGCCCTGCAGCCTTGAGAGCAGGTGGTGCTGAGCTCAGACCAGATGGGGGATGCTCAGCCCGGCAGACCTCCTTGGAGGGTGAAGCTGTTTGCTCCAGGGAAGCTGAGCAGTGTCTGGTTGTGTGTCTGTATTCAGGGAAGACCTACTCGCTGACCTACGCCCGTGTCCACATGGAGGATGCGGCAGAGATCAAATTTGTGGCAGAAAAGGCAGAATCTCGCGCTCAGCTGACCGTGAAAGGTAATCGCGATTTTCGTGCCAGTGCTGCTCGTGCTCTCTCACGTTACAAACCAACCAACCTCCCCGTGAAGAAAGCTAAACAACACCTGCAGCTCCCAGGGAAGGAAAAACTCCTGCCTACCTTACTGCCCATCAGATATCAGCCTGGGAATTTACTTTGGCTAAATAAGAGTTCACTTTCTCAGAAGGCTGGTTTTGTACCTTTTAGACATTAAAAGTTGTGCGAGAAATTCAAGGGACAAAAAGCTGTTGCTTTTCTCCTGCATTTTCACTTTCTTGTGTATGTTATAATAGAAAACAGTATTTTTTGTGTGTGTTTAACTAAAACAATGTGGGAAGAGAGGGAGAGAGAAGGAAGACATTTGAATTAACCCACTGATCAGGAGCTCCGTAAATAGGAGATCAGTCCCTGGCTTTGCCACAGCACTGCTGTGTAGTGTTGAGGAAATTACCTTTATCTCTGCAGTTCAGCCACTCAAGTGGTAAAATAGGGAGGAAAAACTTCCCTTTAATCAGCTCTTTACTTACTGTGTGTTAGTTGAGTGCTGAACATACTGGGGATCCCTGTGAAATAACTGCCCACAAAAGAAATATTCCTAATGAGTTTTTAATTGGAAACTGTGCCGATAACTCCATTTTTTTTTTTTTAACTTTTTTTTTTTAGAGCTGCCTGTAAAAATAGTGAAGCCTCTGAGAGACAAGATCGCCCTCGAGAAGCACCGGGGGTTCCTGGAGTGCCAAGTGTCTCGTGCCAACGCCAAGGTCCGGTGGTTCAAACGGGACGTGGAAATTCGCCCCAGCGACAAATACGAGATCGTGAGCGAAGGCGTCTACAGGAAACTCATCATCAACGACGCCGACTACGAGGATGAGGACACCTACACCTGTGATGCCTTTGATGACAAAAGCAGTGCTAACTTCTTTGTTGAAGGTAGAGAACCCTCTCTTTGCCCCTGGAAGGAGGATTGGCCGATTGCCTTTGTGTTCGGAAACACGATACCATGGAAAGAAAGTGTTTTTAATTCAATGTTGATTTATTATTAAGTCCATTGGTATTGAACCCTTTTAGGATTATCAGCGCAGGAAGATCCTGAAAAATTAATATATGGTATATTCTCCTAAGGAAAGTGATGAAATTCCTGTTCCAGAGAAGTTTATCAAGTGTATTGGAGGAAGTTGGTTTTTCAGAAAAATGTTGCAGTTCCTTATATCGACATCTGCATTTCAATGAACCTTTTTTTTTTTTTTTTGCATTTTGTAGTGCCACAAGTTTGATACCAGGATAGAAAGGTGGCTTTAGAAACAGGGCTGGGAATCAGGAGGTATGGATTCTTGAGGCAGTGGTTGCAATCTCACTGTCGGGCCCGTGACCAGACAGATTTAGTTGTTTTTATGTAAATATATACATATATGTATAGCTGATTTTATATATATAAAAGGATATTTTAAGGCCTTTTGAGATAATAAGTTCAGTGTTGAAGAGGAGGAAAGACGGCATCAGTGTTCAGGTTGATAATGGAAAAGTTTTCATGACTCCTGAATCCCTGCTCTCTCGTTCCATGCAGAGCAAGCCATTAATATCGTGAAGGAGTTGTGTGATGAGGATGTGACTGAGCCTGAAGAAGCCAATTTTGAATGTGAGACATCCATTCCATCCGTGAAACCCGCCAAGTGGTTTCTACGTGGAGAAGCTTTACAGCCTGGCAGAAACTTCATCATGCAGCAGGAAGGCACCATCCACAGGCTGACAATAGTGAAAACAAGTGCTGATATGACAGGAACCATCCAGTTCTCCATTGGCAAATCAAAATCTACAGCAAACCTGCTTGTCAGAGGTATTGTGACATGTCCTGGCTTGAATTAGAGCAAAGATCTTCCCTCTCACAGCTCCTGGAAAGCAATTTGTCATACATGCTGTCTAATGTGCAGTATCCACTGGGTTCTTGGAAATGTGTGTGTACCTGAAAGATCTCCTTAGTTCCCAATTGCAATTCACTGGGAGCAATGTTGGATGCCCTAAATGAGCCAGCAATGTTTTAGGAAGGGATCTGATTAAATGACTTTGGTGTCCTTGGTATTCAAACCTGATATTAAAATCCATCACGCTAAAACTGGTTTGAGATTTATTTTTGTCCTCTTGACTTTACCAAAGAGGACAAAACAGATGAAATTTGCCAGGAGAGTTTATTTTGTCCCATTTCTGAACTAGACAAGTTTGATAGCTCATTTACTTAATTCATGTTGTCATTGACTTGATCCAGGACAAAGCTTCAAGGCTTTTTATCCTCCACTGTCACCATGGCAAATATGTCCAATCACATCCTGAAGTCCTTGTTTTGTCTTTAATTTGCTCTTACTTGAGTAAAAACTTCAATTAGAGAGCAATTCTGTGGACACTGAACCAGAAGTGGACCATGAATTTGGTGGTTAATATGTGATATTATCTTATAGAATGAAATTTGTAGGATCTATAGATCACCGTGATGATGTAGCTTGAAAGCACATCAGCTCTGTGAGACACTTGAGCGGTTTGTAAAACACTTGTGAACATCATACATGAGATTAATCAGCATGAAATACAGATTAAAAACCTCCTTTTTCTCCAGATTGATCCTTTGTTCTTTCCCAACCCTGCAGATTACCACATACAGATTACCAGGAAGCTGGAGGACAAGACAGTCCTGGAGAAACACTCGGCCGTCCTGTCCTGTGACTTCAGGCCCTCTCCAAAGATTGTGAAGTGGTTCAAGGACCACGTGCTCATCGAGCCCTCTGAGAAGTACAAGATCAAGCGGGAGCAATACTCAGCAGAGCTCAAGATCTTGAAGGTGAAGCCTGAAGATGCCGGAACGTACAAGTGCCGGGCTGGGAACGCAGAGACCAGAGCCACGCTCACCGTCAAAGGTACGAGAGGTTTCCAGCAGCAGGGCTTGCCTGTTGCATGTCTTCAGGGCTCACTGTTTCACTCTGGGTTCCTCTTCTTGAGGAGAGGTGGATTCCCACATTTACCTTCTCATTTTATGTAAATGCAATGTCTTCGGTGAACTGACATTCCATGATACTGAAATCCAGCCCTTACCATGAAGTAGGTGATGCACGTGGAAAAACGCCAGCTGGGTAAGGTAGAAATTAGTGTTTGTCAAGGCACATTATCTTCTATTTCATCAGAGGAATTAGACCTCTGGTGCTTCTAACAAAAAATGTTCTTTATGTTAAACTGCTACAGGCCGTTAATTCTGGTGGTCTTGTCTGTGGTTTTCATTTCCTGACCACTGTGTCAGCTTTTATATTTACTATACGTTTTTATATCTGCAACAGATACATTTTATAGCTGCTATTTTATATCTGCATATATTTGTTATTCATAATGACGTTCTCCTCCCTCATCTGGGCGTAGAACTGTGTTTAGCCAGTTCTTCCCCTCTGGTGAAACTAAGAAAAGCTGTTCACTGCTTTCGGCAAGACTTGTTGATGAGCCACAGAATCATTTCTAAAAGCCCAGGGAGCACCTCTTGTTTGCAGTTTGGCCTTGCAGAGGTTCTTCACTTTCAAACACTGAAATGGGCTTCCCAGGGCAGTGGTGGAGTCACTGTCCCTGGAGGCATTTAAAAGATGTGACACCTGGGGACACGGTTTAGTGGTGGCCTTGGCAGTGCTGAATTAGCAGTTGGACTCGATGATCTTACAGGTCTTTTCCAACCCTGATGATTTTATGGTTCTATTCTATCTGAACAACAGAATTATTTAATACTCCAAACCCCTTCTCTGAGTTGTCTAATCCTTGAGAAACAGCATTCCCTGAGCGGAGAAACTGCAAAGAGAAACCTCTGGCCAAGGACTGGGAAAGAAAAGAATCAAACTTGTTGCTTCTTAAACCTGAGCAAGCTGCTTAATCTCTTTGTACTTTTCCTTTGTGGCCAAAATCATTGCCTTCATCATGTCCTGTGTCACAGTTTCACTGGAAGAGAGTCAAGGACAATTTGATCATAACATGTTTGTATGTGTGCAGTGACTAGAACTCAGGGGCTGGAGCTCTGTGGGATACTTAGACATCTCTGTAACATCATTTTAGAAAGAATGACTTATTTTTAAATTAAAAAGGGAAAGGAAAAAAAAGACAAAACCTGATTTATGTATAAAAAGAGAACTGAAGGTTCTAGACAATATAGTCTTTTTAATGGATTTTTTTTTTTTTGTTGGAGCAAATGCAAAACCAAACAGATGAAATGAGGTGATCCACGGTGTGAAGGAGACCAGACTAAATCATCTGATAAACCCTAAACAGTATGAAATTGTCAGTGGTAACAGCTGATTTATGATAATGGTGGTGATGGTGCCCCTTGGTCTCCCGCAGCCCGGAACGTGGAAGTCCTCAAACACCTGCAGGACGTGGAAATTGAGGAAGACAGCTCTGCCGTGTTCTCCTGCGAGCTGTCCCACGACGACGAGGACGTGGAGTGGTTCCTCAACGGCACCCTCCTCTACACCAACAACTTCAACGACATCAAGAACGTCGGCAAGGTCTACACGCTGACCATGAAGCAGGTGAAGCCTGAGGACGCTGGCACGGTGACAATGAAGTCAGACAAGGTGTCAGAGAGCGTGAGGCTGAAGGTCATAGGTGGGTCGTGATCTCATTCCTCCTGAATGCAAATAAGAGATGCCAGTGAGATATTATTTGCCGTATCCACGCAGCAATCCTGCTTAAAAGCTTCATCCCTCCAGGGCTGAGTGAAAGGCATGGAGGGGTTTTCTTCCGGTGTGAATTTCTCTTGTGGTTGGTGATTTTTCTAAGGAAAATTGTTTTGATGTCCTGCCAAAATTTTCCATAGATCTTTATCGTCCTTTATCATGTCTTCTGTACTTGTAGGTCTCTTCAATACTATATAGTTGATAAACTGTTGTTTCCAAAGATTTACGGCTGCAGGGACCTGAGGTTTGGTGTATCCCCAAGGGTAGGGCATGGTGAGTTGGGGGAGGTTTAGGCTGGATATCAGGAGGAAGTTTTTCACCCAGAGGGTGGCTGAGCACTGGAACAGGCTCCCCAGGGCAGTGGTCACAGCCCCAAGCCTGTCTGAGTTCAAGAAGCATTTGGACAATGGCCTCAGGCACATGGTGGGATTGTTGAAGTATCCTGTGCAGGGCCAGGAGTTGGACTCAATGATCCTTGTGGGTGCCTTCCAACTCAGGGTATTCTCTGATTCTCTGATTTTTAATGCATCATTTCTGGAGCTGAACTGAATCAGCAAAGATAAGACAGTTTGCTGCTGTCCTTCATATGTCTTAAAGTTCAGTCACACAGCTGAGTTTCTGTGGTTTAACATGTTCTTGTGCAGCCTCATCAAGTTTGACACTAAGATGAGTGGTGGGGTTGGGATACCATCCACAGGGACCTGGCCAAGCTCGAGAATGGGCCCATGTGAACCTCTGAAGGTTCAACAAGGCCACGTGCAAAATGCTGCACCTGGGCCAGAGCAGCCTCTGTGTGAATCCAGGCTGTGGAATGAAGGGATTGAGAGCAGCCCTGCCCAGAAGGACTCGGGGGTGCTGGTGGATGACACTGACTTAGGTTCTGCTTTGGTGTCAGCAGCATTGCCATTACTTAATCTATCTTTCAATATTTGACAACGACTGAAAGTGTTTCAGCTTAGATATCCTGGTTGTTCTCTGTTTTTCCTGTTTAACCTTCAGAGAAACCTGCTGTCTTCATGAAAGCCTTGGATGACGTTTTTGGTGAGGAGCGAGGTGTGATTAAACTGGAATGCGAAGTCTCCAAAGAGAAGGTCAAACCTGTTTGGAAAAAGGATGGTGTGAAGATCCCTTCTAGTAACAAGTACGAGGAGATACAGTCTGGGAAGACCCTGTGCCTCCTTATCCATGACCTTGAAAAGACAGATGCAGGTTTATACACCTGTGACATTGGCACTGATGTTGCCAAGTCAAAGGTCAGCGTTCAGGGTAAGTATTGTAGACAATGGCCAGTCAAGGGGTGCTGGAAATATGGGTGGGACTGGTAATTTGGTCTCACATCTTCTCCTGCCTAATCCTCACATAACATTGCAATGTTTGAACAATCCCTGTTACTCGTTGATTTAAGCATCTCTGGTGTTTCTGTGAAAAATCAAGTGTCGAGAATATAGTGACAATGTTTCCTTCTTGAACATCCATAAGGTGCAGAAATCTTCCCAGAAGAGGGAATGATTTCTCAGAAAAAAATCCCAACTAACAACAAAAAAATCAACAAACTCCCCTCCAAGCAGCCTGTGTTTCGTATTTTAATTCAAAGTCCATTGCGGGAACATAAAAGTGGGACAACGTGGTCTGTTGAAGAACCCAGCAGTTCATCCTGCCCTCTAATCCTTGTGTTTGCCTAAAGGAAAAAGAATCATTCGTGGCCTCCAAACTCACACTGATAATAAGAAAAATTTCGAGTTTGTCTGATTTGAACACGAGGAGTAACAAGTTAAAAAATCCAAACGTTTCACTTCTCATATAAGCGTGGAGAAGAAGCTCACACATCATCCCAGAGGCTTCTTTTCTGACACCTTTTCTTCTTTGTACCGCATTGAATCCTGATTCTTCCCCACTGAGTGAGCTGTTCTTCATTCAGTCCTTCCATGGCAGAGCCACGAGATTCACATTTCCCTTTTTCTGTAATTTTGTGCTGATCCTGGGTGGATAACACCCGAGAAATCCTTCCCATGTCACAGACACCTGTAAGGAACGCAGGGTTGTCCTGCCAATCCAGCAGCTAAACCACTCTTACTAAGAGTTAAAAACATCACTACTCAAAACTATCATAAACCCTTTTTCCCCTTGTATGTTAACCTGCTTCTCGTCCTCCAGAACTGAACATCGGCATCACCAAACGGCTGAAGAACACCGAAATCCAGCTGGGAGAGGACTGCACCTTTGAGTGCATTTTGTCCCACGAGAGCATCGATGACTTCAGCTGGACGCTGAACGGGAGAAAAGTGGAGAGTGGGGGGAGGTTTAAAGCCTCCAACGCGGGTCGGAAATACACCCTCAGCATCCAGAGGGTGACTCCCGACGATGCGGGGGAGGTCGTGTTCACTGCCCGAGGTCTGACCTCCAAGGCTTCTCTGGCTGTGAAAGGTAACGAGGTCAGAAGGCTACTGGGGGTTGATTTCCTGGGCGTATTTTCATAGGGTTTGTCAGCAAGCACTTGTTGTGATGCGAGTAAATAATAACCTTCATCGTGAGCCTTGAAGAAAGGAGATTTTTCCTCAAAAACAAGTGGAAGGCTGAAACTTTTAATAGATATTTGAGAACTGGCTACGCTGGGTAGTGTGTACAGGTAATTACAAGCCAGACTATCTTCCACAGAGATAATCACCCAAGGGTCCCTGGGTGGTCAATGGAGAGAAGAAATAGGTGGTTTTCAGACATAGTTCATAACCTGCAATTAGTCCTTTTTCATAGAATCAGAGAATCCCAGAATGGTTTGGGTTGGAAGGGACCTTAAAGATCATCCAGTTCCACCCCCTGCCATGGGCAGGGACACCTTCCACTAGCCCAGGTTGCTCCAAGCCCCGTCCAACCTGGCCTTGGACACTTCCAGGGATGGGACAGCCACAGCTTCTCTGGGCAACCTGTGCCAGGGAGGGGCTTTGAGCAACCTGACCCTAGTGGAAGGTGTCCCTGCAGGGGTGGAACAAGATGATCTTTAAGGTCCCTTCCAACCTAAACCATTCTGTGATCCCATAATTTGAATTGCAAAAACCTCAACCGTATAGTGATAATGATTTTCACTCAAACGTCCTTTTTTTAATTTTTCCTCTCCAGAGAAACCAACTGAGGTTACAAAACAGCTGGAAGATAAAACATCACAAGCAGGGCAGGACATCAACCTGAGCTGTGAACTGTCCAAACCTGATGTGAACATCAGGTGGTACAAGGATGGCAAAGCAATCCGAAAAAGCCAGAAATATGACTTGCAGCAAGAGGGAACACGGGCCACCCTGATCATCCATGACTCCACGGTCAAGGACAGTGGGGAATACACCTGTGAGACAGAGAGCTCCAAAACAACAGCCAGGATCACAGTGCAAGGTCAGTCGAAGAGTGAAGAGGGGCTGGCAGGGACAGAGGTTGGGGTAAATATCTACAACCCGCTGGAGGTGTTCTTCTCTTCTGTCTCCCTAAACAGGATCAATTTTCAGTTTTCAAAAAACACTATTGGTTAAAAGCTTAAAAAAAAATTAGGTATGAAAAAACCACCTTTTTAGGTACTGAAGAATCTTGTGTGCTGTGTAATGACCCAAAGAGAAAAAGCAATTTTAATTAGTCTGTTGTGAACATGGGACATGAAAACTGTACATGTTCTGTAACATGAGACCTCAGTAGTGCCTGGACAATGGCATTAAGCTTTGCTGGAGAAATTTTACCTGATCTGTCCTGACAGGATGTTGACCTGGTGATTTTCTTGGATCCATTCCATCTGATAGGATGAGAGGAAATGGCCTCAAGTTGCACCGGAGGAGGCTTAGATTAGATACTAGGAAAAATTTCTTCGTGGAAAGGAGGGTATTAGCATTTAAACAGGAGAATTGTGGAGTCACAATCCCTGGAGGAATTTAAAAGATGTGTAGATGTGGCACCTGGGGACATGGGTTAGTGGTGGACTTGGTAGAGTTAAGTTAATGGTTGGACTTGATGACCTTAAGAGTCTATTTCAAACTAAATGTTTCTGTGATTCTTTATTCTGTAATTCTCCAAATGGGGGCAGTTGGGAATCCAAGACCACCCTGCATGCTTAGGACTAGTTTGGGTAACAAACCAGTCTCTGTCTCTCTCATTTTTTATTTTTTATTTTTTTTTCTGATTTGTTTTTTTCCTTCCAGAAAAACCTAATTATTTTGTCAAGGAGCTTTCGGACCTGAAAGTCGATGAGAGTGGAACCGCGGTTTTCACGTGCCAGAGCGAGAGAGCTGCACCCTCTGTGGTCTGGAGGAAAGGCATCGCTGAGCTCAGGGCCGGCAGGAAATACGAGATCACACAGAAAGGACAAGACCTCCAGCTGACCATAAAGAACCTGGAGAAAAGCGACAGTGACACTTACAGCTGTGACATTGGGGATGCCCAGTCCAGAGCCAAGCTGGTCGTGCAAGGTACGAACGGGAGGGATGTGACTGTACATCCCATTTCTCCGTGGGAAACATTATATGCACAGGCACACCCGTTTCTCTGCATGTGGGTGGCAGATCCGTGGATTTTTGGGTCTGGCTCGCTCATGATGTAAGGAATACGTAGGCAAAAATATAGATGTGGAGCTGGACAGGCCAAGCAACTTGAAGCAATTACACCTGGAGTGTTTTGGGTGTGATTTAACCCCAAAATGCTGGTGTAAGGAGGAGGTGGTGTTCCTCTGTGAACATACGATGGACAGGGTTCAGAGGGCCTACTGTTAGATGGGGGTAAAATCATTCTGCATCCAGGCTTTTCTTTGTATCCCTTGATGCCTCTTCCCAGTAGTGATTTCTGAGAGGTGATGGGTTAATAGTAATCCATAGAATCACAGAATGGTTTGGGTTGGAAGGGATCTTAAAGATCATCTCATTCCAACCTCCTGCCATGGGCAGGAACACCTTCCACTAGCCCAGGTTGCTCCAGACCCATCCAACCTGACCTTGGACACTTCCAGAGATGGGGCAGCCACAGCTTCTCTGGGCAACCTGTGCCAGGGCCTCACCACCCTCAAAGCCAAGAATTTCTCCCTAAAATCTGATCCAAACTTGCCCTCTTTTAGTTAAAGCCATTCCCCCTTGTCCTGTCCCTCCAAGGACCTTATCCCAAGTCCCTCTCCAGCTCTCCTGGAGCCCCTTTAGGCCCTGGAAGGGGCTCTCAGGTCTCCCTGGAGCCTTCTCTTCTCCAGGTGAACCCCCCCAGCTCTCCCAGCCTGGCTCCAGAGCAGAGGGGCTCCAGCCCTTGGAGCACCTCCATGGCCAGAATCTTTAAGTGCTTCGTGTCCCTCTGCACCTCAGAGGTGAAGGGAACAACCCAACCTCCCCCTGAAGAGCACCACCAGTACAGCAGGTTTTTTTTGGCTCTCTGGGCAGTGAATGAGCTGTGGTGGCCAATGCTGGTGGCAGGGCAGTGTTTGAGGGGAGGGAGGGAGGTCTGGTTGTTACTGTTCCTCACAGGTCTCCAGATGGGAGAAACCCCTGAGAGGAAATTTGGTAAAACAATGAAGAGAACAGGAGGAATGATTCCAGAGCAGTCAGATGGAGATGCAGTGGCAGTGTCCACTTGCTAATTGTTATGTTTTTTAAAGACAAGGGGGTGAAGTCAGACTCCTCCATCTCTGATCATCTGCTAGAGCAGATGTTGAAAAGCAAAGAAATGTGTTTAATCCACCTCATAACATCAGGCTCTGAGCTACCTGAATTCATTGTGACCTTTCTAACAGCACCTTTTCTGAGTGGAGAAAATACTTCACTGCCAAGAAGATAAAAGTAAAAAATCCCTCCCTTCACCAGTTTTGTAAGTAGGAGGAACATCACAGGTGTTTTTGTATACAGCAATAACCTTATTTTATGTATATTTATAGTTAGGTTTATCTTTATATATATGTATTTCTATACTTATATATTTATTTCTAGTTAGGTGTATATCTATTTATACAGGCAGGTTTTTGGGGCAGATGTTTTGTTTCTTTTTACCAAAGCTGCAGTCAGACACACTCTCCCCTTCCCACTGTGCTTATGGTTGGACTGAGCTCAGAGAAGGTGGAGGCTCTGTGGTCCCATCCCATAGAAATGAAGTTATATTTGCTCTAGAAAAAAAACAGAAGTTGTCATGGGAGGGATTATCTGCTCAGTGATGTCTAGAGCCCAGTAATGCTGTCAGAGGCTCATCCTTTCAAACTTTCCAGGTAGTTTAATTAGGAGAAGGTTTATAACATTGGATCTGCATTCTACTTGTTCTGCTTTATGTTTTCTGGTGCTTTAAAGTTGTCTTCATCCTATTTTGGTGTGTGTGTCCTGTATATATTCTCTTCCTGTTGAGTGGGTTTTGTGTATCAGGGGAATTATGTTTCAGCCTTCTGTATCATGAACATATTTCTTTCTTGAAAAAAAAACTCACATGGGAAATCCTGGGTGTTTTCCATATGGCTTTTCATGCTAGAAGCAGAAGATTCCAGTAATTGATGTATCTATGTTCCTTTCAGGCCAGAAAGTGCTAATAACAGAAGACCTGGAAGATGTCACTGTGTTAGAAGGAGAATCTGCCACGTTCAAGTGCAGAATCTCTCCCGTAGACTGTAGCAAAGTGCAGTGGTTTTTGGATAAGACCCCACTCCATACCAATGAACTTAATGAGATCCAGTCCCAGCCTGGGGGATATCACCTGCTAACGCTGAGAAAGCTCTCACTGAAGGACTCGGGGGTCATTACATTTGAAGCTGGTGATAAGAAAACATCTGCCAGTTTGGTTGTGAAAGGTAAATCCGTCATAAAAAAAAACCTGCAGGAGAGGAAAATAACGAGCGGAAATAAGCGGGGTTAACGTGGGTAGGTGGAAAAAAAAATAAAAAAGAAAAAAGAAAGGACAAAAATGCTACAAATTTAGCCCCATCATATGTCTGTCTGTCTATGTTCAAGAACAGAATTACTTATATACTTATAAATAATGAAATTACAGCTGGAGAATGAACACTTTGTAATCCTGGACAACCCTTGGAGTGTTTATTGGATCTTAGGTGGGAATGTTATTCTGCAGTGATGGTACATTGGAGGCCTTGTTCAGTTTTCCTTGAGTGGGCTGATAAGGTGCTGATTAACGAGGAGGAATCAATTAATTCGATGGAAAAAAATTGAGTGCAAGCAATAAGTTTTAAATTTAGTTTTTCACTGTTTGAAAGGCAACATTGCATGTTGTTCTCTGCTGTGCATTGTTGACAATGGGTTGTTTTCTCTGGAAAAGTTAAAGTGAGTTAAAACTGCAGTGTTAGTCTGCTTCTATGGCAAGGAAACAAAATGAATGCCAAACAGCCCAAGAATGTGGGATTAGAGGCAAGTTTTCTTCCTGGAAATGTAAATATTTCTGTTGCCCAGAGATAAAAAACACTGTCTCCCCCGTGTCAGATCACAGCCTCATTTTTCACAACCACCTCGTTTATTTCAAAGAATATTTTTCTTTTTTTTCAGAGTTTGAAAAGGTACCCAAATTTTTCCAACCTACAGAAATGAAAATAGATTATTATGTTTGTGGTTGGTGGGATTTTTTTTTTTGGTTTTTTGGGTTGGGTTGAGTTGGGTTTTTTGGTGTGTTTTCTTTTTTTTTTTTTGTTTTCTGAAGGAAAATGAAAGGTTTTATTTGCAAAAGACTAATATGTAATGTTGTAGTACCATAACCAGGCTTTGGTCTCCTGATTGATTTGATTTTTAGGAATTAAAAAGCATTAAGCTGGGAGGGATGAGATTTACAGTGGTCAATTTAGCTATTGGTATCTACCTTAGGTTACTTCTATAAGCTGTGCAGAAAGATAAGCACTTCCAGGGAGTTTCTCTGTCCTACTGTCCTATTTTGGAACTAAATATTTGGTTTCTGGAGGTGTCTGTCACCTTCCAGAGGCTACAGAAACACCCTAAATGACCTATCTGAGCTATCTGTTTGACTTTTAGAGGACTTGTTCTACTGAGATCTGCTCTAGATGAGAGAAATTTGTATTGCACCTCAATTCATGCAGAATTAACTTTTCCACATTCATGTAAAAGGTTCAAACTAATCAGCTACCACGGGAAAAGGCTTAGAAAAATTGTGCTTCAGTCTTATTGCTGTTTACTGGGAAGTGAGAGAGGTTTTATTTATATTCCTCAACAGGAATTTTGTCTTCTCAGTTTCTCCCAGATGTCAATGGGTGTTTAAACAACAGTTTGTGGCATCACTGGTGCTTCCCAAGGACTTAATAGTCACGAACACCAAATTATTTGTCAATAACCTTGACCTGCAGCTTTGATACAAGTAATCCTGGATGCAAACCTCATGGATTACTTGTGATCTGAGAATCCACACCTCTTCTGAAACATCTCAGATGAGTTTTATGTGATTCTAGAGAAGCCCTGAGCGTTCACAAAGGAGCTGATTGATACTGGAGAGTGTGAGGGAGAGGATGTGATCCTTCACTGTGAAACCTCCAAATCAGACAGGCCTGTAAAGTGGTGCAAAGGTGGGAAGAGCCTCAGGAATTCTTCCAAGTGCAACATCATCTGGTTGGGATTTGAAGCCAAGCTTGTTGTTCACAGGGCAGAAGAGACAGTGGCAGATATGAGTGTGAGGCTGGAGCAGCTAAAAGCAGTGCAGTTATTCCTGTCAGGGGTAATAACTTGGAGTTATTAATTAATGTTATAATTTTGGAGTGATGGTTTGGCTCCTAAATCATCACCTAACATCTAGCTCAGAGTAATTAATGGAAATGAAGAAAACATGAAACTCTACTGAAAAGGGACTTCGTGTCTTTGCACTGAGATGTTTTCATCAAGTTGCCCAGAACAGCACCCAGAGAGGTGAAAGAATTGAAACAGGAAAATCCTTCTTCTGACCTGGTTTTAGCTCTGTGCAGATTAAGTGTCTAAGTTCTCTGAGAATCATATAATCCTGGAATGGTTTGGGTTGGAAGGGACCTTAAAGATGATCTCGTTCCAACCCCCAAGGAGAAAGCAGTGGGTCAGCAGAGGACAGGTATCTCTGCAGGAGATCCACCCAGCCTAAGAGGTAATCCAGAGAAAGGATGAATCACCTCCTGAATCTGTCTCCTAAAAATGGACAAAGCCAAGGAATGACACATGAGAGGAAGAAACCTTGTGTTCTTCTCCCCTGTGGTAAAGGAGAACAGCAAACTTGCAAAGTGCAACTTCTCCTGGGGAAGGGACTTGAATAAAACAAGATTGAGCTGAACCACTACCCCAAAAGAGGGAGTCTATGAAAACTAAGGACCTTGATCTTCTGCAGTAATCTCCCAAGAATCATAGACACTTAGTACAAGAGTGCCATTAGAACATCTTCAAATGTGTATTTTGAACTAAAAAAAAATCCAAATAATCTTTAATCCATCTACCTGAATCCCAGAATATAAAATGGGAAGTATGTTGATCCTGCCCTTGTTAACGAGCTCTTAGAGGAAAATGGGTGTTTGAATCCTTTGTTTCCAGTGCAAGTGGATTCAAATGTGTAAATTCATCAAATTTCTGATGGCTCTCTCCAAGGAGGGAGGTCACACTCCTACATTTGTCTGGGTAATTACTTTAGGCAGCCAAATTTATCAGAGCAATGCACTCAAAGAGTATGATCAGGCAGGAGGTGCCATCCTGTTTGATAGGACAAGGGGTGATGGTTTTAAACTAAAAACCATTTAGATTAAAACCAGTTTAGATTATGTGTAAGGGAGAGTTTTTATTACAATGAAAGTGGTTTAAAACACTGTAAGAGGTTGCCCAGAGAGGTGGTGGATGCTCCATCTCTGGAAACATTCAAGGCCAGGATGGATGGGGCTTGGAGCAATCTGATCTGGTTGAAGATGTCTCTGCTCATTGCAGGGGGGTTGGGTTTGATGACCTTCCAACCCAAACTCTCCTATGATTCCATGATCTAAAGGGTTGTTATCTAAGCTGAAGCAAAAGTTCTCTTCTTAGATGAGCCTTTAGTGCAATTCTCTGAGTTAGAACTGGGCCTATCTAATAATCACCTCACAATTGCTCCTGCCTGTCCCGAGTCATTGCCCAAGCCTGAGGTTTAGGGGGAGCTCAAGTTTCTGTGCCTTAAATCACTTGTTCATCTGGGCAGGTTTGAGCAGGTACAGAAGGCTGCTAAAGGCACAGGCTGTGTTTAACCAGACCAGTGGATACCCTGTGTGGTATTTGGCACTTGGAATGCAGGATCAGAGCCTGCACTGGGATTAGAGGATTCGGTGTGAACAGAGAAAAGCATTTGGGTTGTTGGAACGGTCAACCTGAACCTCAGAGCGTGGAGTTGGGAGGACAAGCTGCTCACAGGGTTTATCCAGAGCACCAAGAAACAAACCAACTTAAGGTTGAGGTCTGCTGTGCAAGGAAAGAGAAGACCTTGATGATGTAGTGAAGAAGAGGTGGTGGTTAAAGGTCCCAATTTTCTCTTTCTCTACACAAGGACTTTTTCTCAATATCCATTATACACAAAGGAAAGGTCTGTGTTGGCTTCAATAGGACCTGGACCTCACCCATGGTGAACAATTCTCTGTTAGAAGAAAATTACATTGGTAATGTTCCACCACAGCCCCTTTTTTTCCCCTTCACTGAGAGGGGTGTGGGGTTGAAACACATGGATTCAGATCACCAGGAGATGTGAAGGAGTCAAGTCACAATGATGTCTACAACAAATTGCACCTTTGGAGCTTTCCTTTAGGGAACCTTTCTGTTAGAGTCATGTCAGAACAGGAGAATGCAAATATAGGGAAAAAATAGGAAAAAATAGGAAAAAATTCAGTAGTCATGTGACACTGAGTGTCCCAAAGTAGAAGGAAAAGGGAAACAAAAGAACAAGCTGTAGTTTTTCAACAGCCACAAATTAGGTGCATCTCGAATCAGTAGCTGACTTGCATATTCATAAGACAGCAGAATTCAGGAAGGATTATTTTTTTTTTCATTATCTAAAGGGAGAACACTTCAGTTGAGGTGTTTTTCCAGTAAGTTCCTTCCCTGCCCTAGCTCAGCTTAAAGCCTTAAATCCCAGGCTGTGACAGACCCTGTGGAGGAAGATCCCCAGGGCCCCTGCCATGTTCAGCTGTGCTTCCCCCTCCGTGTTTGCTCCATGCTGGTTTTAAGTCTGTGTTCATGTTGGGTAAAAAATACATTGTGGGTTTGTTTGGGTTTTTTTAATCATGATAAATCAATACTGCTGGTTGTGACAGAAAGTGCTTTGCCACTGCTGTGTCCTCTGTGCTGTGTGTGAGTTGACCTCCTTCCTGAAGTTTTATGAGTTTTATGCTGGTGGTCCAGCCCTGAGCACCCATCTGTGACACAGTTTGTGCCATTTATAGCAGTGCAGCGTCTGCCACTGATGTTAATAATGAAAGCAGTGATAGCAGCAATGTCTTCAACAGTGCAGACAGTGGTTAAAAGGAAAATAAACATATGGCCTCAATTTTTTTTTCTGCTGCTGTGAAGTGCTGGCAGCCAGATGTGAGATGTCAGAATCTGTTTACTGTTTGCCAGTGCTTTTCCATTCCTGCAGTTTTCTGTCTCAAGAACAAAGTCTGATACTAAAAGGGGGAGGATGATTGCCAGTCTCACGTGTTTCCTTCAACACCTTTTTCAGAAAAGCCACTCCTTTTCAAGCAAGAGCTCCAAAACGAAGATGCTAGAGAAGGAAAACAGGTCAAGCTGACCTGTGAGCTCAGCAAGCCTGGTGCCCCAGTGAAATGGATGAAGGGAGACACTGTCCTCCATGCCAGTGAGAAGTATGAATTTAAGCAGCATGGAACTGTGGCAGAGCTCATTATCCGAGACCTCAAATCCACGGATGCTGGGGAATACACCTGCAGCTCTGGGGAGCTCAAAACCACTGCCCGGGTGAAAGTGAACGGTGGGTAGAGTTAGAGACATTAAACACTTCCTTAATCGAGTGCTTAATAGGTCTATTAAAAAAAATATCACGTAACACTTCATTTTTTTTATGTTAATGCCATCTTTAACACGTAGAATTTAAAGGTAATATTGCACACTTTTTATCACCTGTGTATATTTAATTCACGTTGTCTCACATTCTGTGTTGGGGGTTTTAAATCTGTAACTTCCCACTGGGCAAAAACTAATTAAGTGGAGTTCAGAGGACTATTTTTCTATACCCTACGTGCTGTATTTCCTGACCTATGAGCTGTTTTACATGGCTGGGGTTAAGAATGGAGTTACACATGGAGACCAGTAGTGTTGGAGCACGGGAATGTGAAAACATAAATGCAGTCCATGAAAAATTGCAGGTGGCCAAGTGATTAATTTTTAGACCCCCAAACTCCCACAAACATCCTTTTTAAAGGCTCTCAGGTGCCATCTGCACTCCCCAATGGCCTTTAACAAATACAGTAGCTTTAGTAACATAGGAAAAGTAGTATGTGCTGGAGCAGAGAGTGGGAGAAATATAGGATATTAATATTGTTTCAGATCCCTGTTGGAGCAGGGAATTCATTAGGTGATGATGCCCAGGGGATTCTGAAAGGGTCCTTACTAAAAATGAGGAATAATTTCCCCCATATTCCCAGGAATCCACAGTGAGATGATAACATCTGGAGGAGAGATTTATTCCTGCTCCCAGGCAGGATCATGTTGATGCCACACAGCCAAGGGAGGCTTAAGGGCTGCTCTGCTCACTTGGAAAAGGGCTGGTTTTAAGAGGTGACAGCTCTCGTGGGGGCATTTGTCGTAGAGCCAGCTCAAGAGGGCATGTCCTAATCCCTGGATCTGTGTTCCAGCTGTGCCTGTCCTTTTTAAACAAGCCCTGGAGAACACGGATATGGAAGAAGGGAAATCCGTCTCCTTGCGCTGCGAACTCACAAAAGCCGATGCCACCGTGGTGTGGAAGAAGGGAGGAGCCACGCTCCAGGCAAGTGCCAAATATGAAATGAAGCAGAAGGGGACAGTGGCAGAGCTGGTGATTCATAATGCAGAGCCAGAAGATGCGGGAAGATACACCTGTGACACTGGAGACCAGCAGAGCACAGCCCAAGTCAAAATCCATGGTAGGAACGAGACACCTGCTTGTGACCATTTGTTGTTGTCCTTGCCATGGTCCTGCTACCTCCTGCACATTTAGAGTTCGGAAAAATAGGGATGAGTACAAACAAAAGGGTCTGTTGTGTTTTCTGGGATGGTAACTTCATGCTAAAGCATATCAATCAAATATATTTGATAACAAAATATCTTTTTTTTCCTTATGAAATATCTCTTATGCTTTGGATAGAGACGACTGTCCAAGCTCTAAGCCAAGAGGTAAGAAGGGCCTCAGCTACACCTTTTATTAAAGAATATGCAGTTCTTTTCTCCACTTTCTCAGCAAGTTTTTACTTGTCTGTGACCGCCAGCGTTTGGGCAGCAGAAGGGTAATTGCTTTGACATTCTAATTATTGGTAAATAGTTGCTCTCTTTTCATGTGGTCCAAAACTCTTGGTGTGTTGTCGTAAACACAAATGGAGTCCTGGAAGTGCAGGTAGGTCAGAGCTCAATTGCTGTGCGTGCCAAGAGAATTTGTTTTGGCTTTGGGTCCCGTATGAGGTCACCGGATGGTGATGATGCTCCCAAAGTAAACTGAGAATGCTTCATTCCTCAGCTGCCTCTGTGCTCTTCAAGGAAGAGCTGAAGCCCGTGGAAGCTGTGGAAGGTGGGACAGCCACCCTGCAGTGCCAGCTGAGCAGAGAGGCCCCCGTGGAGTGGAGGAAGGGGCAAACTCTTCTCCGGCCAAGTAACAAGTACAAGATGAGGCAGGAGGGCACAGTGGCTGAGCTGCTGATCCATGATCTGGACCCAAAGGATGCTGGAGACTATTCTTGTCTAGTGGGGAACCAAAAAACCACGGCAGCCTTGTCAGTGAATGGTAAAAAGGCAGAAATAACCTGTGAAACTCTGGAATGGTTTTGTCCACCTCTTCCCTCCTCCTCTCTGTACATTCCCTCACAGCACTCATCTCCATGTCCTGCTTCCACTGCTTTCATCCATCCTCTTTTTCATGTTGCCATGTCACTCCTGTCCCCAGTCTTCATCCTCAATCAGCTTTCATTATGCCCAATGTTGGATATGTGTGTGTGTGTGTGTGTTGTCTTCTTACCTTTCCTCAAATGAAGAGAGCTGTCCTGCACGTGTGTTTTCCTGAATTAACATGGAAACATAAGATTCCTTGGGATTTTCTGTTAAGGAGGGTTTAATGATGAGGATGAGTTTGTCATTTACATGCATGATCCCAATCAAGACCATGAATCGATTCCCACAGAACAAGTTACTAGAAAATTTCTTTCACCATCCATGAAAAAAAAAGACGGGATGTGCTTAAGGACAGAGGGTGTGTTGGAAGAAGGCTTGGGTGGATACACAACAAATAACGAGTGAGCCTCTGAGCAGAGATCTGAGCAGGGTCTTGGGTTGCAACCCCTTTCCATTCTGCATCTCCCAGCCCTGCCAGTGCGTTTCAAAAAGGAGCTGAGGAACGAGGAGGCCACGGAGAGCGGGACGGCGACGCTGCAGTGCGAGCTGAGCCGGCCCGGGGGCTCGGTCCAGTGGAGCAGGGATGGGAAGGTGCTGGAGCCAAATGGAAAGTACAAAATGAGATGGGAAGGGCGCTTTGTTGAGCTGGTTATCCAAGACCTGGACTTGGCGGATGCTGGGAGCTACACCTGCACGTGTGGAGACCAGAAGACAACGGCTGCTCTGAGAGTGAATGGTAACTGTTCTACCCATGTTTCTCTTTAAGCCCCAAACACACCTTAAATTGCAGCGTTTTCTGGTCAGCCAAAGCTTGGTCAGTGTGGTTTTTTAGAGGTTTTGTGTTCTTGGCTCTGTGGTACCAGTCATCCTGTTGGAGGATATTCCCTTGTGCTTTTTTTGCCTTGAGGCAGCACATCTATGATGTATATTGTTTTCTTTAATTTGTTTCTCTCTCCTCTAGGAGGTTTCACCCCCATTTCAACAATACACACCCAGAAATAATGCATTTTTGGTTAAATGTATACACTGAGCCCAGTAACTTGCAGCACAGTCCAGTTCATTCCATTCCATTCCAGTGCTGATTCCCTCTCTGTTGGTATTGCATCCCTCAGCCTTGCCTGTCCTCTTCCAAGAAGAACTGACGAACAAGGAAGCTACAGAGGGGGAGGCAGTGACTTTGCACTGTAAACTGAGCAAATCGGCCCCAGTTGAGTGGAAAAGGGGGAATGTGGTCCTCAAGCCAAGTGAAAAATACAAAATAGAGCAGGAAGGTCCCTTTGCAGAGCTGAGGATCCAGGATTTGGGATTGGCAGATGCTGGTGATTACCACTGTGTGTGTGGAGACCAACAGACCACGGCTGCTTTGACAGTAAATGGTAAAAAAGAATTTCTCAGCACGTGCCCAAGTAAACCTGTGTGATTCCAAGACCTCTTCCTCTTTTTCTTCTGCTTCCTCTGATCCCTGTATACTTCCTACCCTCCCCTCTGCTGATTAATCTTCCTCTCCTGTTTTCCTTCTCTCTCTCTCTCTTTTTCCTTTCACCTGATGCCCTCTTGATGTGCTGTTTGTCTTCCTGGGTGCTGAGTGAGCACAGGCCCCCAGCTCAACACAACCTCCCTAGTCCAGAATAGCTACTTGTTTAGAAGTTTTCCCACGGGGATTGACCTAAAAGTGGGAATAATATTTACTTTTTCTGACTTACACTGTCACACTTGTTGCTCCTAAGGGGAACAAGTTTCCCTCAATATTTGCTGCTACACGAGGACAACCTTCATGAAAAATAGGCTTTTTTTTTTTTTTAATACTCCTGCTACTCCCAACTCCATTTTGACCAATTTTGGCTTAGCTCTTCCAAAGCAAATACTTTATCTCTGCAGAACACTGACAGCATGTTTGTGACTGCTCTGCTTTAAGGGGCTCTATTTATTTCAGACAATGCCATAAATCAGGCACTTCTGTAGAGCTGCTGCTCCTCTCAAGGGAAAAAAAATGCTCTGGGTCTCATATTGAAATGTGACCTCTGATTTTATGGTATATAAAGGAAAGGATAGATGGCTTGGAAACTATTTTTTCAGATAGACTTGTTTTTAAAGAATGTTTTAAAGCATGAGGAAGAAAAAACAAAGTAAAAATCAGACTGAATTGTCTTTTGAAGCATTAGAGATTGGAGGAATGAAATCCTGGAGGAGATCAAGAAGGTCCTATGGCTTCTGGGAGATAAGAGAGTGATTAGATCTTGGGTCAGGCTTTCTCAGGGTTGATGCCATGTCCATGTTGCATTTACTCTGCAGTCCTGCCTGCTCTTTTCACCAAAGAACTGACAGACCAAGAAGCCACTGAAGGTAAAAGTGTCTCCCTGCACTGTGAGCTGAACAAGGCAGCTGCCAAGGTGGAGTGGAAGAAGGGATTCAAGACCCTCAAGCCAAGTGACAAATACAAAATGAAACAGGAAGGTGTCGCTGCTGAGCTCACAATCCAGAACCTGGACACGGCGGACGCTGGGAATTACTCCTGCGTGTGTGGGGACCAGCAGACCATGGCAGTTTTGACAGTTCATGGTAAAACAAACAAAACAAGGCACACTCTGGAAGTAACTATCCTGTTTTCTCTGCTCATTTGGACAGGTCACACTCCCATCTCCTCCTTCTGCCAGAGCTTTATCCACAGTTCCATCAGCTGGAATGTGTGGCACAAGAGGGGTATCGGGGTCCGAGCTCAGAGTGAGCCAACCAGGGTTGTGTTCACACTGTTTTAATTAAGGATCCATCATTTTGCTTTTCCCTTGAAAGTTCCTTTATCAGACTCCCCGTTACGCTCAAGCCAAAAATTGTCTTTCCTCAAAGGGGTTATGACTTAGGGATTTTTTTTTTTAAGGTCTCATAAAGTTCCAAAAGGTGAGGTTGTTCCATGGAATCTTATGCCCACACTTCATTCCTGAGACAACAAGGTGATTTTACACTTACAGCCCAGTTGTCATGGTATTCAGTTGGTGTCCTGTGTAAAAGCCCAAATCTTCTAAGGGAGGACAAAAGGGAGAGCTTTGATTTTTACTGAACCTGACATCTTTGAAAGGGTATGTCAGTTCAGGTGAAAATGCTTGTTTTCTCACCCTGTATTGAAATGAACAACTTCATTTCAAACTGACATTTAGAATGAAACTCCAGTGTTTCATTTTTATTTTTTTCTTTAGATGTGAAATGTCTCTGTGTTTGCTTGAGGATGTGAAAAGACAGCAAACATCCTCCCCTTACGGTTTAAAAAGTCATATGAGAAAACCATTTTTTGTCCCCCAGAAATTTCAAACTAGTCTTTTTGCTTGAAATTTCACAGGGGAAAAAAAAAAGGGTTTTCTACTTCTGTTTGTATTGATTTATGACTCTAAGTACATGTTAAATACTTCTATGGATTGCTGGAAGCTTTAAATCCTTTCCTAGTAATGACATTTCTTTCCTAATACTGATTCACGGAGACTCTCGAGAATCTGTGTTCTTGTATCAAAAAATCCGTTCAAGATAAGAGGGAAAATGGGAAGTGAAACATAATTTTAACTCTTTGGAGCGTTACATCTCACTGCTCATGTTGCTGTCCTTCAGCTCTGCCTGCATATTTCAAAGAAGGGTTGAAGAACAGGGAGGCCACAGACGGTGGAACAGCCACCCTGCACTGCGAGCTCAGCAAGGTCGGGGTCCCCGTGGAGTGGAAAAAGGGGGACAAGACACTCAAACCCAGTGAAAAGTTCAGGATGAGACAAGAAGATACATCTGCAGAGCTGCTGATCCGAGATCTGGAGGTGGAAGACACAGGAGAATATACCTGTGTGTGTGGAGAGCAGAAGACCTCGGCTGTCTTGACAGTCCACGGTAAAAAAGCCATTCTGGGTTGTGATTCCGGTGTCTCCAGGACATCCCTTTTCTCTCTCTTTCCCACTTGCTTTGATGTTTTGATTCTGCAGCATTTTTTCTTGGTTTGCTGGTGGTGTTTCATCCTGTCTCCCACTGTCTGTCAGTTCAAAACTGGTGGCTTTATAGCAAAGTAAAGAAGAGTTATGAGAATTTTTCATCTTGGGCACTTAAAAGACCTCAGCAGCAAGATTATTCTTAGAGGGTTTGTCCTTGTGTGTCACTGCTGTCAGTGGATTTTGGTGCTTAAACTGGAGGAAAGTTCTTTAAAACTGCTGAGCTCAGTTAGTGAGAGGTTTTTCCATTCAAGAATGAATGACTGTCCTCCTCTTTTGCAGGACTTTGATATATCCTGCTGAGGATAAATTAAATATACCCCACCCCACAGCATTATTCTGCAGATCCTGACTTAGGGGGTAGTGGGACAGATTTTGTTCCCACAGATTTTGTCTCTGCTTTGGTGAACAACGATGAGCTCTGGTTGCCCCTCCAGAAGAAGTAATTCATGTACAATCCAATAGATAAAAGAACAGGTTTTATTTGAGATATATCTTAAGGGATAAGGTGGTTGTAAGGACAGGTGGAAAACTGTGGAGTCAAAACTCTTCTCCTAGATTTTCTGCACACTTTTGCTTCCTCTTCCTTCTTCCACCCGGAGTTTATTTCTGTTCCTCCCCTTCTCTGACCCAGCACTTCCATCCCAGTGCAAGTCTCTTTGTTTTTACTTCAGTGGCAAAAAGCAACTTAAATGCTGCTAAAAAAAGCCCTGTATCCCTGACATTAGAGACATTTATGTCCTTGGAAATTGTGGCTGAAAGGTGCACCTGAAGTTATGTTACTAATTTAATTTCTGAACCAAAAGGATAAGTTACGGTGTTAGGAAAGGGAGGGATCTCCAGATGGCAGTGCTGTCACCTGGGTTGAGGACTTCCAACCCAAAATCAGGTCTTTGATGTTCAAGATAGATGATTTCAGACTGAAATAGGTGAGAGGACTACTGGAATCATCTGGGAAGTGATGAGCATGCTGATAAATCAGTGTTAGAAGCAGGTCATGGCAGTAACATCCCTGAGGGATCCTGCAGTAGTTTTCTAATAGATGCAGTTTTCCAGACTGTATGATTTGTTTTCCTGTGTAATGATGAAGGACCGGCCTCAGCACCTAGCTCTGAGTTCCTCAAGGTCTGGTTGATGGTTTTGATGCCCTCTCTGTTTATATCACACCCCATAGCTTTGCCTGCACTGTTCAAAAAGGATCTTGTCCCTGTGGAAGCCACGGAAAGCAGGGCGGCTGTTCTGCAGTGTGAGCTGACCAAACCCGCCCCAGTGGAGTGGAGGAAAGGGCAGGAGGTGCTCCAGCCTAGTGAGAAGTACAAAATGAGGCTGAAGGACACCGTTGCTGAGCTGACAATCCATGGCCTGGAGGAACAGGATGCAGGAGATTATACGTGTGTGTGTGGAGACAAGGCAACCACAGCTTCCCTGACAGTGCATGGTAAAATACCTGGGTTTAATAGGAGTTTTCTGTGTAGTCATCTGTGGCCTCATGGGGGATCACAATCTGGTCTTGGTCCCATCTATTAAATTGTTACGACAGCTGTACCAACCACTGGGAATATCTTCCACTAAAAGTCCTTCCCTTGGGATCATGAATAACATCTTTTCAGTTCCTGCTCTTTCCCGTTGATGGAATCTGGAAGCAGACAATGAAGAGCTTGATGAAGTCATAAATAGCACTTGGATTATTTCCACTAATTAATTTCTTTAGGGCATATCACTGAGATTTCACTTGTTTTTTTCTGGAATGGAATTGAAAAGTTATGAAAGCATTGCAGCCTGTAATTTTAAATGACACAGTGTTCATTTTAATTATTAAGCTGGTTTTAAGAAAGAGCTGTGCATAGTTCCTTGAGATCTTGGGATCAGTTTTGTGTTGTTATATCCTAAACTGCCTTTAAAACATCCCTTCAAATACTGGAATTATAGTTTTACAACACTGATTTCCAAATCAGTGAGAGCTGGGAAGCTGAGACTGGGGTGGTGCTCTATTTCATGCCCTGGATCATACCATAAAAAACCCTCTCTGACTTATGAATAAGGTGTTTTCCATCTGTCCAAAGTCAGTCTTTTATGATTCTTGGAGTTATTATTAATCAGTGTGACATGCTCAGTGTGACCCATTGCAAAGCACAAGGCGGGGGTGCCCCCAAAATCATTCTTTGCTTCTCAGGTACTGTATATTCTAAACCTTTATAGAGTAAAAGGTTTTAACTCAGTGGAGCGGTCAAGGCGCAGTTTTTCCTCGATTTTTAAAGTGCTCTCTCTTCACCTGTGACCTTCAGCCCTCCCTCCACGTTTCAAAGAGGAGCTGAGGAACGTGGAAGGCACGGAAAAAGGCACGGCCACTTTCCGCTGCGAACTGAACAAGCCCAGAGCCGCCGTGGGGTGGAGGAAAGGAGACACAGCCCTGGGGACAGGTGACAAGTTCACCATGAGATGCCAGGGCACCATTGCTGAGCTGGTGATCCGTGATTTGGATCTGGCAGATGCCGGGGATTACACGTGCTGCTGTGGAGATCAGAGAACCACGGCCGCGCTGAGAGTGAACGGTAAAGAAAAAGGAAATGTGTAACAAATTCAAAGGGGTTGTTTTCAAACAGTTATTTTTCTAAGAGCTTGGTAGTGTCAGCTCTTAAACTTAACAGCCTTATTTCTGATGTATGTAGCAACATGTGCTTGGACATAAATGCCTGAATGCACTGGTCAGTACCGAGCACGGGTCAGGTGTTCAAGGCAAAAATCTGAGATATTCATCTTGGTATTAACTCACTTCTTTGAGGCTCATATTCAGTAGCAGGTGCTAAGAAATGGGAGATCATATTATTGTGATGGTGGTTGTGAAGATTCTAATCCAAAATCCTAAAGCTGGGAGGATAATTTGTTGCCGAGATATTTTTGATGCAGTTTTCAGTGTTTCAGAATAACTTGAGGGTCCAGTTCTGCCTGACCACTGTCTGAGGAGGTACAGAATTCACAGAATAGTTTGTGTTGGAAGGGACATTTAAAGGTCCCTCATGGTCTCAAGGAAAAGAGAAGTTGATGCCTCAGATAAAGTTTCATTTGTGAACTTTTAAAGCAATTAATTGTATTCCAATAGAATGTAGACACTCTGGTTAGGCTTTGTTTTCCATTCTGGCAGGCAAGATCCAAGGAATGTAGGGCTCAGTCTTGCAGGTCTGGAGAAGCTGAGACTTGCTGTGGTTCTCCATTTCATGCCAAGGACTTTATCATAAAAAAAACCCTCCTCATATTGATGAATAAGGTGTTTTCCTGCTTTCCAAAGCCACTCTTTTATGTTTCTCAGAGGGCACATCAATCCTGTTTGTTAGGAAAGGCTTTGCTTGTCACACGTGGCTGACAGACCACAGCTAAGTGGTTGCTTGAACAGCTGCCATGGTCACACTTTGTGCTCATTTTGAACTCCTCAGCCTTGCCTGTGCACTTCAAGAAGGAGATGACAAACGAGGAAGCCACAGAAGGTGGAACAGCCACTCTGCAGTGTGAACTGTCCAGACCTGCCCCCGTGGAGTGGAAAAAGAAGCACAAGGTGCTCAAACCGAGTGAAAAATACACTGTGAGGCAGGAAGGCACCACAGCACAGCTGCTGATCCACGCTCTGGAGGTCAAGGATGCTGGGGAATACACCTGTGTGTGTGGAGAGGAGAAGACAACTGCAGCACTGACAGTGCATGGTAAAGGAAACAGAAATGGGGGATTTTTGTGGCATGTTTCTCCCTTCTCCTCTGGAAGCCTCAGTCTTGACATGCAATGAGTTCTTTCCTTAATCTTGCCATCATTAATTCTGTCGACAAGAGATTTTCTTCTTTTATTGTTGTTTTTATCTAATTCTCACTAGAATTACAGTTCCATTGATTATACTAATATTTTCCCTGTTTTCTTCTCTCTGCTCCTGTTGGTGCACAGCTTTGCACCACACCAAAGGCTGAAGATGCCACATCCTTGCTTTTTTTATTCTGTCTTACTCACTTTTAACTTGGGCTTAGAGAGGTGGAGCAGCAGGAGTATTCATACTTCTTGAAAAGGATGACTAGATTTCAAGCTGTATTAGGATTTGAGAAATAATTTTTGATTTTGGTTCAATGCAACTTTTCTATATAACTCTGACCTAGGATAATGTAGATTTGTATCCAGGTGTTGCAGAATACTCAGCATTATAGTGGAAGAATAATTCACAGTCTTCAGTCAAGTTTATCTACAACTTTCCTTGGAAGAACGGGAAACCTTTTTTTTATTATTAACACAGGACAGTCAGAAGTATTTTCAGCCTCTTTCTCAGCTGGAAATTCAGTAGGTCTGAATTCAGGGAGCTGATTTCTTTGCTTTACTGCCCAGACCTTTTCATCTTTGTATTTACCAATAACACAAGGATTACTTCAGTCTTCAACTTCCAATATAACCATGGAAAATAGAGTTGGAAATGTCGCTTAGTCCATCTTCAAGCCCGAGGTCACCATCATTCCAGCCAGAAAGTTTTTCTTAATTTCAGCAATAGTCTTTCTCGAGCTGGCTTGTCATTTTTCCTGTTTCAAATTTTATAAAAAAATGAGAAATACTTGGGTTTCTTTTTTTTTTTTTTTTTTTTTGAAACTTCCTCTTTTTGAAACTGTTTTACAGGATTGAAAACTTTCCTCATGTCTCCATTTTGTCTTCTCCTTTCTGGGCTGAGAACCTTGAATCCTTTTAGCCTTCCTTCATAGGCCATGTTTGCTAGACTTCAGCTCATCTTTGCTGCTTTCTGGACCACTTTCAGTTAATCCACATCTTTCTGGAAGCGTGGTGGCCGAAAGCAGAACTGCAGCTCTGCACCTGAGGCTTTGCCAGAGGGGGAGCAGGATGGAAGGAATTCCTGTGTCTTGCATGGGACACTCCGTTTTATATATTCCAATTATGATTTCTTTATTTGCATCAGAGTTGCATTTTTCAACTTGCATTTTTTCCAGGATCTCTTGTAATCCCGAATCCCTTCGTGCCTGTTGTTCTCCTCCTTGTATTTGTGTTGTTGATCATCCCTAATTAGGATATTTTCCACCTGCTCTTGCTGAATTGCAGCCTGTTTTTCCACCACTACTTCACTGAGGTTTTCTATATCTTAGTCCACTTTGACCAAGTGCTTTCACCGTCTCTTCTTTCCCGCCTTGGGACCATCTGCAAAATTAATGACAACTCTGCATTTCACTGTCCAAGTCACTAAAGAAAATGCTGAATAATACTGGATTCCAGAGCACTGAGGAACTCGACTCATTCTTTCATTGTGAGTGTAAATCACAGTTGAATATTCTTTGACTGTAGTTTTCAAATTAGTGGCACGTTCCCTCTGTAGTTCCACCTGTACCTGAGTTAAAGTAAGAGCTTTGCTAAATTAATAATGTACAGCATATACTGGGTCTTTCTGTCTGTGAAGCTTAATCTATGCCAAGAAAAAATTGCACTGGTCCACTCCTTCAGGAAGAGAAAAGCTCTTGGCAAATCCAAGTTTTTCAAAGAATTAAGTTGAGATGGATATGATTCCTCAGATCCTCTCTCTGCCATCTCTCTCTTTTTTCCAAGAAGGTGAAGGGGATTCATCTTGTAGGTCAAGACTGATGAGTATTCCTAAATTCCCATTTTTGTCAGTGGAGATCCAGTCAGCACAGTCCATGGAAGACAGGGGTGCATCCAGTTCACCTTATTTAGCAGACATGTGGTCAGCAGATACCTCTGCTGACTCCACTGACTTCACCTGGATCTTTCTTGGCTGCCTGGGAGTTTAGACTCCATTTTGCATGGCAAGAACCAAATGTGTGCGTGTCAATGTGTGAGGCCTTTTTCACCTCTTAGTTTCTGGTTTTTTCCTTATTTGTGGAATGTCATCCATTCATGCTCTTTGATTTCTCCAGTGTAAATGTTGATGTCTGATATTCATTGATCCTGTGCCTTCCATGACGAATTTCATCACCCCAAGGTGCCTTAAGAATAGTCAGACTATTTAAATATTCTCTAATCATATTTTTCTTATCCTAGCCAGAATTCCTATTACTTTCTTCACTATCCTTTACCTTTAATATCAAAGAAGAAGGAACTAAACTCTTCAGCTTTCTCATGTCACTCACAATCAACTTACATTCCTGAAAGAGAGGTAAGCCAACATGGTTTAGTGGTGGCTTTGGCAGTGCTGGGTTAAAGGTTGGACTCACTGACCTTAGAGGGCTTTTCCAAACTAAATAATTCTATGATTCCATGATATCAGCATCATTTTGCAGATCACTTTTAGCCCCTCTTTCATGTTGATCTTTTGTCCAGGAGGTGACAGAGATTGGGAATGGGGAACTGCTCTTGACCTTCTCGAGACACTCAGAGAACCTGCCCTTTCTGGGTTTGTCTCTACATTCAGCAGTATTTCTTCTGCACTCATCTAAACCTCCTGTGTTTTATAGTCCTCTTGAGTTTTGGGACATTGAAAAGTTTGTGCTTCAGATAGACTATTTCTGATAATCCTCGGAGTGAATTACTCTCTAATTATGCTCTTAATATTGTTTGAGAAGTTTGTTTGAAGTTTTCCACTCTCTTAAACTGTCTTGTCCTTTAAGTTGACATCTGCACGATCATAAGTAACAATTCTCAAATTATTGGAGCTTGTTCTCTTGTTACCCACAGAATTTTCTTTCGTTCTTCTCCATCATTACCTGTCCTAAAATCCATGAGCTTTCCTGCTTCGTAATCAATGTCTGCACAATTATCCTCCCCATCCTTATTCTCAAATATTTATTTCTTGTTGGTCAGAGAATGAATTGGAGACCCTTCTCTCCTGTTCTTCATATCTGTTCTATATCCAAATGTAGTTCCTGCCCCATTCCAAGGACTTACCAGGTGTTGTCCCAACCTGCTGCTCCCAGAGTATATATTAGCACATTACTATCCAGTCTTACACTCTGAATTATTCTATTCATTGTTCCTAAAGGGATGGTGTTTTAGGATGCACCTGAACTTCCTGGTGTGAAGGTTATGGCAGATCTCCACACTGGAGACATCATCCTTTTCTTTTTATTGCTACCCAAGCACTTTGAAGAGATCTCTCTACTCTTCATCTTGTTCTAACTCTGGGTTATGCCTATAGGCATCCTTAACACCTCAATTCAAACCTGATCAATTTTTCCTTTATTTTTTTCATGGATGGATTTTCCACGCTGAATTATACTGAGGAAGTTACAGTTTTGATCATACATGAAGTTTGCCCACTCCTGCTGTTTATTCTCCATCCACCTCTAAACCAATCAGAAAACTTGCTTAAAATTTACTTAAAAAAAATGATAAGACTCTTTTTTTTATCTGCAGTACAAATTAGCATCTTCCTTGCGTGGGATGATCCTCACGTCAACAGCCAGGCACGGATAGATAGAAACACCAGGTTCATTTAGTTTGGTGGCCCAGGACTGCATGTCATGAAAACATTTGCTGCTCTGTTTCTCAGCCCTCCCTGCCCTCTTCAAAGAGGAACTGAGAGATGAGGAAGCCGAGGAGGGCACAGCGGTGACTCTGCGCTGCGAGCTGACCAAACCCGCCCCGGTGGAGTGGAGAAAGGGACACACGGTGCTCAGACCTAGTGAGAAGTACAAAATGAGGCAGAAGGATGTCACTGCAGAGCTGGTGATCCAGAGCCTGGCTGAGAGTGATGCTGGTGATTACACCTGTGTGTGTGGGGACAAGGAGTCCACGGCTGCCTTGGCAGTGCACGGTAATGCCCAATTCCACCTGGATGTCCTTGTTAACAAGTTTGAATTACTTTTATCACCCTGTTCCTTGTCATCTGTGCATAGTTCCTGTGAGTCTGACTTTGCATTGAGCCGTCATGAGGATTAATTTTGTGATTTAGGGGTAAAACCTTCCAGCAATTCCATATACAAAGTGGTTTTAGGATCCCTAAAGCAGATGTGAGATCAAGCCTGAGGACAGCCCCCCACTGGCGCCCTCACCTTTCCTTCCCCTCAGCAGGAGGCTGGTTTTCTGCTCCATTTTAACCCTCTTCCCATTGCATCCTCAGTGCTGCCTGCAGGGATCAGGGAGAGCCTGAGGGACCAGGAGGTGACAGAGGGTCAAGGGGCCACTCTGTGCTGTGAGCTGACCAAGGCTGCCCCAGTGGAGTGGAGAAAGGGCAGCACTCTGCTCAGAGCCAATGACAAGTACAAGATGAGGCAGGAGGGCGCAGTCATGAAGCTGCTTATCCATGATGTGGAGCTGAAAGACGCTGGAGAATACACGTGTGTGTGTGGAGAGCAGGAGACAACAGCTGCCTTGATAGTGCATGGTAAAAAAACCCATATACAAATATCTGTATTACTGTGCATTTCTTTGTCAGCTCACTGATATTGGTCGTGGCTGAATTGTTCCTTTACATTTGTAAGCTCTCTGTAAGATCTGGTTGTATCCAGGCTGCTTTTCTCCTCATGTCTGTTGGTTTGTCCCATGTCCCAGAATGAAAACCTCTCACCCTAAAGTGTTGTCTGCCTCTGTACCACCCCATCCCTCCTGTAATCTGTGTGCCACGTGTCATGTTTAACGTCCTCTGTCCACTTTGTGACCTTCAGCCCTGCCAGCACTTTTCAAAGAAGGCCTGAAGGACCTGCAAGCCCTGGAAAGCCAAACAGCCACTCTGCGCTGTGAGCTGACCAAGGCTGCAGCTGTGGCGTGGAAGAAAGGGAATAAAATGCTCAGGGCAAGTGAAAAACACATCATGAGGCAGGAGAGTGGCCTTGCTGAGCTGGAAATCCGTGACCTGGAGCTGCAGGATGCAGGAGATTACACCTGTGTGTGTGGAGACCAGCACACCACGGCGTCTCTGGCAGTGAATGGTAAATGCAGATGAGTGTCCACTTTCTGTTCCTCTGTTTCTGGCTGTGTGAAGTGTCCACCCATCAGCTTTTCCTTAGGGATTAATTTGTGTGCAGGAAAGGAGAGCTTCTCGTCCTGACGTTTAATTTTGGTCTGATATTCCTGAAAAGGAAGCTGAGGATTTGGCTGTTTCTCCATGCAAACTCCAGTGTTGCAGGTTTAAGGGAATAAACACCTAGAAGAGACTCCTGTTAGACCACTGATTTGTCCTGTCCCTGTGATAAATTCTTTAAATTCCACCTTGAATGCATCCAGCCTGTTGTACCTTGAGCTGTCAGCTCAGCACTTCTTTGTCTTACAGTCACTGCTGGATTCAGTTTTCCAGATCATCACAGCAATAACCTCAGCCTCAAAGTCCAAACCCCCTGATCTGGCCAGATTTGAACTTCATCATGCTGATGGCTTAGTTTAAACACGCTATTAACTTTCCATTCCCAGCCTTGCCAGTGCTTTTCAAGGAAGAACTGAAGAGTGAAGAAGTCCAGGAAGGAGCATCAGTCACTCTGAGTTGTGAATTAACCAAAGAAGCTCCAGTGAAGTGGAAAATTGGGCCCAAAGTGCTGAAAGCAAGTGACAAATATCAAATGAGACAGTCTGGCACCACTGCAGAGCTGGTCATTCATGACCTAGAAGTAAAAGATGCTGGAGATTACACCTGTGTGTGTGGTGACCAGAAGACAACAGCAACCTTAACAGTTCATGGTAAAAAGACCTTATTAAAATTGATAAATAACTCTAGAGACAGGCATCATTCTGAAGTTCAGTTGTTTCTTCCCTGGGTTAGTAGCTTGTCTTTTTTTTTTTTTTATCCCTTTCTCTTAATTCTATTTATAACTCATTTCTTGCTGAGAGAGAGTCGCTCATGGCTAATTTTGGGGTCATTTTTTGTCCTTTGAAAAGAGAAAACAAGATGTTTCTTTCTGCCCAAATCCCCTCTTCTTGGATATTTACGTTTTCCAGCTCCAACCCTGTGGTTCACTTCAGTCAACCCCAGTTTTCTCCAAAACACACGGGTATGGTCTGTCAGCACCTGCCCAGGAACCGGACAGAGGAGAAGTGAGGGTTAAATAAACCAACCCATAAATAAATCCTTTTGTTAATAACCTCATTACCTGATCTCTGCTCTCCTCCCATTGATGAATATCCATGTTAATGAAATAACAGTCCTTGACTTTGAGGAACTTGGTCAGAGATTCAGTTCTGCCCCTCCAGATTCTTCCAAAAACAGGGATCTGGGCTTTCCTGAGACATGGACTTTTCCTGAGGCATTTGGGGTGTACCCCTTTACACAAAGCACTTTTGTGGGTAAATGTCAATAATTAGTTTTCCTGAAGGTTGCTTCCTGTAGGTTGTTCTGTCTTTGGGCTGTGATTCCAAAATGGGAAATAGCAAGAATCTGAAATTCTCATTACATGTAATGGCCCTTCAAACTTCAATTTAAAACTAGAACTAGTTTTATTTTTAAATCTGACTGCTTTCAGGTAGGTGAGGCTATAATATTTTAATTTAAAAAAAACCCAGAAAATAACAATATCAGCCTCCAAGAAATGCTACTTGTGTGGGTAAAATAGTCCTGTGTGCAGCAGTGTTATTTGTGAGTGCTGTTGATCTCAGATCTGGGTCTTTCTGTCTTCTTCTTTCACTATGAATAACAACAGACACCCAGGGAACTGCCCCTTAGGGTGACTGAAATCACATCACACTTGAAGTAGGATGCTTTTGGAGTTTCTAAACTTGGTTATGCCTAAGCCTGTCTATAAAAGACTGGGGGGGGGGGAGGGGGAAAGGAAGGCATGAGGGGAAATAATCTCAAGCGTGAAAAAGAAATTGGGATTTTAATTCCGGTTTTCTGCTGACCATCTGTCCGTGTTGCATCCTTCAGCTCTGCCCCCACTCTTTAAGGAAGAGCTCCAGGACAAGGAAGCAGGAGAAGGTGGAGAAGTCGCCCTGCACTGTGAGCTCACCAAGGCTGCTCCAGTGCAGTGGTGGAAGGACCAGAGGATGCTCAAAGCGAGCGAGAAATACAAAATGAGGCAGGAAGGGACCAAGGCAGAGCTGGTGATCCATGAAATAGCTGAGGAGGATGCAGGAGACTACACCTGTGTGTGTGGGGAGCACCGGAGCACAGCTGTCCTGACAGTCCAGGGTAAAGCCATCCTGACCTCCTGTTTTCTGACTGGAAACCTCTGCCCTCTGCTATAACTGTTCAGTTTTACACACCTGTTTGTTCAACCTTATTAACTGAACTCCCATTCATTTGAAAATATTCCCTGCCCCTCCTCACCTGCAGGCTGTGCCAACTGGAAAATCCAAGCCTGTCCTTCTCTGTCCCATCCTCTTGTCTTTTCCTTTCCTTAAACACATGCCTGCTACTCTTTCATCTTTCTCTTCTGCCATTCCTTTACTAACACACAAACCCACTATTCTTTGGTCTTTCCTTTCCTGCATTTATTCTCCAAAGCACAAATCTGTTTATTCTTTGCCATTCCTTTCTGGTATTCTCAATACTGACCATAGTAATATGGGGAAAAAGAAGTATTAGTTAGTTACAATTTCTTCTGTACTGAGCTATGCTTATATTGGGCTTTGTGCCCATAACCTCTGTCCTAATGCACAGATTTCCATTGGGAGACTAATTTTCTAAGGCTGTAGATCTCCTGCCAGCCTTGTTTTGTTGGAAGAACCACTCGCTGTGCAAACAAAACTGGTGTTTCAGCTTCAGAGTGCTGGAGATGGGAAATGTGCCAAATCTGGCTAAACCCGGTTTCTAGCTTGGATATTTTAACTTAGTCTCACTGCTGGGGACACTAAGTTTTTTAGATCTGAGGTATCCAACCTTGTCAAACAGGTGGAATGTCCCATCATCCCACTTACTTAATAGAGGGACATATGTGAAGGTCACCACATTTATTTCAAGGACATGACTTGCAATGGGTTACAGGAACGATGTTCAGTGGGGAAAAACATGTTCTGAGACAAGAACACCGGCTGGGATTCAGCATCTGGAGATTTTCTTTGGGGTCAGGAAGAAACTTTGAGTCCTGGATGAACCTTTTCAAGGATAGCTCAAGGAAGAAGGGATGAGGATGAGTGAGGAGCTGTGCCAACACTCAGAACACAGTAGAACAGCTCAATAAGAGAGCACGAAGATATGAAGTGTGTGGGAGACACCAACACATGGGAACTAAGGAGCTCAGAGATGATATTCTTGGTTTTTCTCTCATGGAAATTGGTAGAAAGCAGGTTGTTGAGGACAGGGCAGTTTTGCCAGTAGGAAACCAGCATAAACCCCAAAGGATTAGGATGTATATTCCCACTAGGATATTTTCACTTCTCTTCCCTCTCTTCTTTGCTGATGCTCGACCTTCCATAACTTTCAGAACTTCCCCCCCTGTCAGTTCCTCACCCATCCCTGGAGAGGTGCTCAGTCTGTAACACTTTTTACCTGCATCCTTCAGCTGTGCCTCCATTTTTCCAAGAAGAAATGACCAGCAAGGAAGCAGTAGAAGGTGGAATGGCCACTTTTCAGTGTGAGCTCAGCAAGGCATCTGCCCCTGTGCAGTGGAAGAAGGGCCACCACGTCCTCACCTCGGGCAAGAAGCACAGCATGAGGCAGGAAGGCCGTGTTGTGGAGCTGGTGGTTCATGACTTGGATCTGGATGACAGTGGAGATTATACCTGTGTGTGTGGAGACAAGAGCACCACAGCTGCCTTAACAGTGCATGGTAAAGTAACCCTTGGGATGGTCCTCCAAGCCTTAGAGCTGCCCAAGCCTCTGTTGTTATGGTCTGTTCCCATTCCCTTTCTGTTTGCTTGGGTTTTCCCGTTCCTTTGGACTTTATGCGCTTCCTCCTTGTGTCAGAATTGGGATAAGAGTTCCCTGTTGGTGTTTGTCCCCCTCAACTGTGTTGGTTCATCTCACCTTCTCAGTGTCCAGGGAAGTTGGGGGAGATTTTCCGTTGTGTCCCACTGACCTGCATCAGGGCTCAGCATTTCACCATCCATCCATCCATCCATCCTCTCCCACGGGACTTTTGCTTTTTAAGGAATATTCACACTCTCTGTGGTACTCTTTTACTCTTCAGCACTGCCTCCAGAATTCAAGAGAGGCCTGAAGGACCTCGAGGCCGTGGAAAACAGCACAGCTGCTCTGCACTGCGAGCTGACTAAACCTGCTGTGGTGGAGTGGAAGAAAGGGCAGGAGGTGCTTAAGGCAAGCAGCAAGTATAAAATGAATCAAGAAGGTGCTGTTGCAAAGCTGATTATCCGTGAGCTGGAAGTGGAGGATGCTGGAGATTACACCTGTGTGTGTGGAGACCAGCAGACAACTGCCACTCTGACAGTCAACGGTAAAAACAAAGGAAAGAAGTTACAAGGTTTTCTGAAATTAAAAATAAGAACGGTGGTTTAGTGTTGCTGAAGGAAAAGACCTGATTGCAAATCGTGAGGTGTGCAGGACAGCGTGGTTTTGTACAGTCTCAGGGACAGGCAGAAAATGGGAACTGCGATGCAAAACAGTGCATTTTTCAGCATGTTACTGTCAGGATAATCATAATCTCTCCTGCAAGTGGCCTGCCTTAAGAGGGAATTAGAACTCCTAAAACTCCCTGCCTTAAGAGGGAATTTGAACTCCTAAAATTCCCTGCCTTAAGAGGGAATTTGAACTCCTAAAATTCCCTGCCTTAAGAGGGAATTTGAACTCTTGCAATTCCCTGCCCTTAGAGGGAGTCTGATCTCTCAAAATTCCCTGCTTTAAGAGGGAATATGAACTCCTAAAATTCCCTGCCTTAAGAGGGAGTCTGAGCTCTTACAACTCCCCGCTGACCTTCAGAACACCTTCAGTGATCAGGGCAACGTGTTGGCTACTTTTGGAGTAGGAAAACGACTGTGCCATTTTTAGATCACAGATTAGATTAAGCTTCCGTACACTTCATGGCAAAATGTAACTTCTTGAAATCCATCTCTTCTTGTTCTGTAGATGTTCCTATTTCATCTCTGGGGAAATAGCCTTGTCCTTTGAGTGTAGGATATGGAGGTTTAGAGATATCAGCAAAACAAGCTCTTTTGGTGCTTTCATTTTCTTTCAACTCCCTCTTTCCCAAGCCCCAGCTGCGGAATGTTGCAAATCATTTTTTCTATTTTATAGCCCTACCAGCACTTTTTAAGCAAGAGCTCCAGGACACCGAGGCAGAGGAAGGTGGCACAGCCACACTGAGGTGTGAGCTGACCAAAGCCAAGGCTCCAGTGGAGTGGAGGAAAGGGGATATCACCCTCTACCCTGGTTTGAAATACGAGATGAAGCAGCAGGGCTGCACCGCTGAACTGGCCATTTCTGACCTAGAACTGGATGATTCAGGAATATACACCTGTGACTCTGGACACCAGCAGACAACAGCTGTGGTGACTGTACATGGTAGGCACAGTGTTGACCCTTGGCTCAACAAATGTGGAGTGGAAGGAGGTTCTCTTGGTGTTCTCTACTTGCTTTGCTGCTGGTCCCTGCCAGAATAAATGTTCTTCTTTGGCACGACAAATGGTCAGGTTAGAAAGGTTGTTCTTGCAGTATCTTGAGTGATTAATGAGCATCAAAGCTTATTAGAATCATAGAATGGCTTGGGTTGGAAGGGACCTCAAAGATCATCTCATTCTAACCCCTTGACATGGGCAGGGACACCTTCCACTAGCCCAGGTTGCTCAGAGCCCTGTCCAACCTGGCCTTGGACATTGTCATGATGTCAAAATATGCTGAACTCTCCTCCCCTGAGTGCAGGGAGTGTGTCTGGGTATGGGAATGGCATAAGGGATGATAAGAGAGGCAACAGTTAGGGGATAAAGGATTTCTCTGACAGATGACTGTGCTCTATTATTAGTGAAGGCTTTGAACTTCAGGTGTAAACGTTCCTCCACCCCTTCTTCTACCATTTAGAGCAAGACCTTGCCTGAAATCTGAATTTCCTCTCCCATTTATCAGTTAATGTGTTTTGAATACCAGTTTGATCACTATATGTTTATACAAGCTCTATTTGGGAGAAAAAATACTCTTTGCTTAGTATTGCAAACTCAGAGACCTCTCTTAAGGAACAAGGGTTTGTGTGAGAGAGAGCGTGTCCCAGGGATCTTTGCCTAAAGCACCTGTAGTTGACATGGAGACACTTCCATGGGAAAGTCTGGCTCCTTCAGACCACAAACCAGGCCACAAACCACTCTCTAAAATCAGATCTTTCCTCACTTCACCTCCAGTCCTCAGCTCTTGGTTCACACAATGGTTCAAGAAAGATGCTGCCGAGACAGGGAGTTGCAGCCCAAGGATTATGGAATCATTTCTGAAGAATGATGGTAGAATTGTGTCCTTCTTGGGCTAAAACACTCTTGAAACGTTTCCCTCTCAAATTTTGCAGCACTGCCTGTCACCTTTAAGCAAGCCCTGCAGAATCAGGAATCCGAGGAGGGAAGCACAGCCACGTTCTGCTGTGAGCTGTCAAAACCCAAAGCTGCTGTGGAGTGGAGGAAAGGAGGAGTGGGGCTGCAGCCCAGCCAGAAATATGAAATGAGGCAGAGGGAATGCCTGGTAGAGCTCTTGATACATAACCTCAAATTAGAAGATACAGGAGAGTACAGCTGTGACACTGGGGATGAGGAAACCAAGGCAGCTTTAAATGTGAAAGGTACGTGGGCTGAGCTGACTCCTAAAGCAGCAGATCCCATCCAACGTGCAAAGCAGCAGTTTCAGTGTGAATATTTTAAGTACATTATTCTTCTTCTCTATAAATATTTTCTTTTTCATCTGATATACTGAGATTTTATTTTGTTCTAATGAGAATGGAAGAGGATGATACTTTGTTCTTCCGGTGCTGCATTTGAGTTTTGGGTTCTAATAAAGAAATATTTTCCAGCTCTGTGGCCAACAAGAAATTAAAGAAAGAACAATAATTTAACATAACATCTGCATATTTCACTTGACACGTTGTTTAAATATTTTTAAAAAGTATTTTCTTCCAAATCCTGTAAGAAGACAGGCAAAGACCTTCCTGATCTGTCAAGGCTGCTCATGGAATTTTGAATTTCTAGCTCTTGAGATCACTGTTAGACCAACTGAAGGATAAATTCACTCAAAGAATTCAACCCTGGGAAGGATTTGAGTCAAGAAACAAAGGAAATAAAGGCAATAAATGTTATGGGTTCTTCTGATGTAACAAGATCTAGTAGCTCCAGGCAAATTAGAAAACATGGATCCTGCCCAGGAATGTCTCACTTGAAAAGCAGAGTATCTTCTCTGGAGTGTCAGTCTGTGTCAACGAGGACTTTACTCAGGTTTCAATAAAAGCTTCTTTTTTTGTCTCCTTTAGCTCTGCCAGTTCTTTTCAAAAAGCAGCTCAAAGATGAGGAGGCAGAAGAAGGAGCTGCGGTGAAATTCCAGTGTGAGCTGACGAAGGATAACGCAGCAGTGGAGTGGAGGAAAGGCACCATGGAACTCTTCCCGTGTGCCAAATATGACATTAAATTAAGTGGTTGCACGGCTGAACTTGTGATTCACAGTGTGGAGCCAGAGGATGCTTCTGATTACACGTGTGACACGGGAGACCAGCAGAGCACTGCAGTCCTCAGAGTGCATGGTTAGCGTTGCATCAGACTGGAACAGAGGAGAGAAGGCATTTGTGGCAATGTGTGAATGGTGTTATTTAATTTACTGGTGAATATGAATCCTTCTAAAAGTTAAGAGATTGAGGAAAACTGCTGTCCAGACATAAACAGAGTACAGAGAAGTGGATCTTGTGGGACAGGGTTCCTATTTCAGCCTGTAAAGCACAGTGTGCAGTGCACTGACACCTTTCTCTGACGTGACAAAAGCAAGAAACTCTGTAGGGACCTTTATATTCTAATAGATCTTTATTTCTAGCACTTTTCATTCATTCCTGGCTCACTTGAATCAAAAACAAATCACGCATCGTTTAAAAAAGCATTTTAAGTTTAACTATATTTAATCTTCCCATGAAAACCCTGAGAATGCTGTGTTTAACTAAACCAGGAATGATGACTGTGATTGATCACAGAATTACAGCATGGCTAAAGTTAGGAGGGACCACAGCAGGTCATTTGGTCCAACCTCCCTGCTCAGGCAGGGCCATCCCAGCACCATCTGTGAAACGTTTGTGGTCATCCCAAACAGTTGGGTGGAACTTGTAGCTTTGATCTAAACCACAGCCTTTCAAACTACATCCTCTGGCTGAACCTGACCCACGAAGCAGCCACAGGGTCAGCTCTGAGTGAGAGAGCCTGTGACTGCTTTCCATGTCTCACAGCAGTGTTTAGACAGAGGAACCACAAGCACTGAGATTCCAGTTTCCCCAGCTGCTCACACACACACACACACACACAGGATATTCCCTTCTAGTTTCCACCCGTTGTCTGAGCAGATTCATGTCCTCTTGATTAAATGTCCATTTGTGCACCATCTGGAAAGACTCACTGGTGCTGGTCCAGGGTCTTGAAAAGATAACTGAGAAACCAGAAAGGAGTTTAAAGCTTTACATCATTTAGGTGTTGGAAATCATGAGTCTTTCTATAAAAATGAAGAAATTTATGCCTGTTTTAATCAGAAAGTACCAGGTTTTGCTTAGTCAAAATCTTTCTGCGTGTGTAAGTTTTCAATCTCCAGAACAGGTGCTTAAAAGGTTTGATGTGGATGCCCTTGACTTTAAGGGAAACATATCTGGGAAGTTTCTGATCCTCTCTTTGTTTGGGTGTACACAATATAAGTCTCTTTGTAGGCAAAAAAGGTGGGTTTATTATCATATAACCCCTTAATGCAAAATTGCCCCGCAGCATCAGAGCCCGGGCGCTTGTGCTGAGCTGTTGCATTCCAGGGAACAGATCCCGTATTATTTATTTCTTCCTCACTTTGCAGCCACCAAACCCCGGCTGAGGCAGCAGCTGAAGAACGAAGAGGTGGAAGTGGGGGGGACAGCCAGGCTGCGCTGCGAGATCTCCATCAGCAAGGCAGAGGTGGAGTGGAGGAAGGACGGAGCTGTCCTGCACCCCAGCTCCAAGTACGAGATGTGGCAGGACGGGACCCTCCGGGAGCTCCGCGTTCACCGCCTGGAGCCTGGAGATGCCGGGGAATATTCCTGCAAGGCTGGAGATGAGATGACCTCTGCCAAACTGACAGTGAAAGGCAAGAGCTGTTTGTTGGGGCGAGGAGGTTTTCGCTTGAGGAGACTGAGGTTTCACCACGTCATCATTTTTACTGTGAGGAACGCAGAGCAGAGAAAGGGTGTCCTAAAAAAAAATCTGGTGCTCAGTGGATGCGCCAAAGCAAAGATTGACGTGGTGGACAGGGGAGGATGAAGCAGCTGTGATTTGTGACTCGTAGCTTGAAATATTTGCTTGACATCATATGCAGGGGGGCGAACAGATGGTCCATCCCCAGCTTCCAGTCACACGGCAGCTGCATCTGGCCTCAATGCCATCACAGAGCTTGGGCCACTAGTGTGGAACAAACACTGCCAGCATCTCTACAGGCTGCTCCATGTTGGAGATCCTCTGCACATTACACCCAGCTGTACCATTTGTCGTGCAGATGGTGACCTCAGTTGTAGGAATATCTGCTGTGTTTGCTCACGTGAAGATTTCACTGCTTTTTTTGATGGTTGGGTTCGACAATCTTAGAGGTGTTTTCCAACCTTAAGGATTCTATGATTCCTTTGGTATTCCCCAGCAGATTTGGGGTACATGTAGATTTGGGGGTATGTTGGGGGGCTGTCTGTGTGATCTTTGCACAGATCTGCAGGAGTTCAGCTGGCCTAGAAGCAGGACTCAAGCCAACTGCGCTCACATTAATCCAATGAGTCCTGCTGAGAGGACAAAGCCAACCAGCTCCTCAAGACATTTGGAGCATCAGCATGGAGTAAATGCAATTCTGTTTGCAAAAAATGATAAAAAGGATCAGGTTTTAATGTTACTTAGTGAAGATATCTAAGTTCAAGTGTAACAAATTTCAAAACCCTCATTTTGGCATCTGGCATTCATGCCTTGTTCACGCAGTTAGAGTATCAAACATTAAATTAAAAAATCAATATGTAATGTATCTCTGAGAAAGGACAAGTGATAAAACCACTATTTGAAAGTTAATTGCCCTTTTACCAAGTACACTGAAAGCGGAATTTGGGATGTGATTTGAGAGGCTGTGCTGTTTCCATCCTTGGAGATACTTGAAGCTCAGCTGGACAAGATGCTGAGCAGCCTGCTGTAAAAGCCGGCCCTGCCTTGAGCAGTGATTGCACCAAGTGACCTCCATAAGTCCCCTATAACCTGTTTCATTAACGATTCGATGATCTGATCCGTGTTTTCCCTTCCATTCCCCGCTCCCGACTCTTTGCAGAGCCCGACGTGACCATCGTGAGCGGCCTGAAGGACACGGAGGTGTTCGAGGGGGACGACGTCACGTTCCGGTGCCAGGTTTCCCACGAGAACGCCAGGGATGTGGAATGGAAGCTGCAGGATGTCGCCCTGCAAAACAACGAGATGAACGAGATCTCGGTGGAAAAAGGGAAGGTTCACACCCTGACCCTGAGGAAGGTGACTGAGCAGGACATTGGCACCGTCACCTTCCGGGTGGGATGTCACACGTCCACGGCAGAGCTCACGGTGAAAGGTAAAGGCTCTGTGTGGGGTGGGACAGGATCAGTGAGGACAGCTGATGTTTTGCTTATGCTGACAGTAAATCCACGTCCATAATTCACCCCTTTTCAGGTCATGTTAGTGCTTCAGAGCACACGTGATGTACTGGTGTGGTCTCATAGGCTGCAATCACCATGGATAGACAGTGAATATGTCACCAGGGTCCTGAAGCTAGCTGGTTCCTAAAGAAATTCCTATGTTGACCTCAGTAGTTGGATTGAAAAACCTGGAATTTTCACTGCTTCCATTCTCCCTTTTAGAAACATAGAATGATTTGGGTTTGAAGGGACCTTTAAAGGTCATCTAGCCCAACCCTCCTGCATTGAGCAGGGACATCTTCAACAGATCAGGTTGCTCAGACCTTTTTTTTCCTTCTTTGGTGTCTTTCTTTCTCCAAACATTATTTATTTGGAGAAATTCTCCACCCAACATCCTTCTCTTTGAAGCTTGTTTTAACCCCTCAGTAGAAATTGAAGTTTTGTTTTGTTTTGTTTTGTTTTTTTTAATAATGCTTAACCATTCAGCTGTGGCTTTAACACCACAGGGAAAAGAGACAAAGACGCCTGGAAATGCCTTTGCTGTGTTTGTAATTTCAGTGCCACCTCCAGTATTTAAGGAGAAACTGCAGAGCCTGGAACTGCAGGAGGAAGACACAGCCGTGCTCAGGTGCCAGGTCTCCCAGCCCAACGCTCAGGTGAAGTGGAAGAAGGGCACTCAGGTGATCTCCCCGAGCTCCAAGTATGAAATCAGGCAGGAAGGAACAGTCCACACCTTAAAGATTTTTCACTTAAATGCGGAAGACTCTGGCAAATACACCTGTGATAATGGAAACGAACAAACGACAGCCACTGTAACTGTTAAAGGTAGGTTGTTTTAAGATGAGAAACTTGCTCCACTTCCTCAGTTTGGCTCCACCAAGAGGGTTCTATCGACTCTCCTTGACTTCAGATGTCCTTTGCTGGCATAAAGCAGCTGAGACCTTTTGCTTTTGGTTAAGTCCTGTGGTGCCCTGAGCAAAGAAAACGGAGGGACCCAAAGTGCAGTAACTACTTCCACAATCTGAGACCCAAGGGCCTCTTTCTGGTCACTCAGAAAACCAAGGCTGGAGCTAAAATTAGAATAAGACCATTTTTGATGTCTCAGCATCCCTTGAGCTGTAGTTCTATCTCAGAAAATGATGCTCAAGCATGAAAGTGTTCCAACTTGGACACTCAACTCCAGTTGACAAGCAGCATTTCTAGTGCCAAGGGTCTGAAAATAGGTGTGATGTGGCAATATATCAGTTTTTCGAAATCTAATCAGATATAAATACAGCACTGAGGTGACTTTTCTGAGATACCAGATCAGCAGAAGCAAAGAGGATCCAGAGTGCTATTGTGAATTACTGTCTTTTGCAATATCCCTTGAGGATTCTCCTGTTAATGACACTCACCTGCCTGCTATCACACTAAAGCCAGGATTTGGTGAGACCAGAATATCAGTGCTCTGAGCAGATCCTCTGGTGGTGGTTGCCTGTTTGTGTCTCTGTGTGTGGCTTCAGCCACTCCAGCACTCCTTGAAAAAAATTCCAAACCCAGGAGGCTGAGGAAGGCTCTACAGTCACCCTCCAGCCTTGATCCAGTTGTTCCCCATACATCTCACAAAATACACCATCCATTCCTACATCACCTGCAGGGACCTTCAGATCTCTCTCCTTTTATAAGTGTCATACACCCAGTTCCTGTGAATTCCCTCTGATTCCTGGAGCCCAACCTCCTCCCCTTGTAAATAACAACTCGTAAATGTGGAGCCACTGAGGTAATTCCAGGCAACTGTACTCAAGGAGCTAAACATGTGGGACATCATAAATCAACCCATCAAAACTCCGTCGTGACCCATCAGTGACAACATCAGTGCAGAGGCTTCCAGGGTTCATTTCTCTGCTGGGTCCAGTTTTCAAACAAGGGGCATTACATAAAGATGTTTCTCCCAGATACCCAAGAACTTAGACCAGGAGTTTGGGCTTTAGTACCCATCTGGAGAGACATGCACTTAGATTCTCAAGACTCTGTATCCATGACCATTCCAGTGTAAGAAGGAGCATAATCCTAGAGGTGCTTGGTGTGTGCAGTGTCCAGTGACTCTCCAGGAGTGCAGAGTGCTTAGAGCTCCTGGAAACCCACCACTTTCTGTCATTTCTTGTTTCAGTTTTGCAGTAATTTTGGAATTGAGTTTGAACCAAATTTGGAATGGCACCAGAGTTTCATTTAACACAAGACTTAGTGACACAGCCATTGAAACATAATTTTTTTTCCCTCTTATTTCTCCTGGTTCAGCTTTGCCTGTAACCTTCACGCAACCACTGCAGAACCAACAGGCTGAAGAAGGTGGCACCATCACTTTGAGCTGTGAGGTGTCGAGATCAAACACCACAGTGCAGTGGAAGAAGGGCGGGACTGTGCTGAGACCAAGCGACAAATACAAGATGCGTCAGGCCGGGCCCGTGGCTGAGCTGACCATCCACAACCTGAGCGGAGCTGATGCTGGGGAATACACCTGTGACACAGGGGACCAGCAAACCACGGCTGTGGTGCACCTGAAAGGTGGGGCTTTGGGTGTGGGAGAGCTGAGCAGAGCTTGGTGTCACAGCAGGGGCGTGTGTATTTAATAATCTGGCAGCTAAACGTTGTCCTGTGCCCGAACTGAATCGTGGGGATGTCAGAGATGAGTGATTTCAGAGGGATAAGAACTGGGTCAGTTATCTCTGGGGAACCAGAAATGGGTCTTTAGTCACTGATTATGATAATGGCACCCACTGAAATTTGTTGACAATGCTTTCCCAATATATAGATTGAATTATAAATATATATGTTATGCATTTGTTACCCCAGAATCAGAGAATATTCTGAGTTGGAAGGGACCCACAAGGATCACAGAGTCCAGCTCTTAAGTGAATGGCTCATAGAGGGATCAAATGCATGACCTTGATGTTATTAGCACCATGCTCTGACCAACTGAGCTAATCTCAGGGTCCTTATATATTTATTATATGCATAATACAGTATAAAATGCATACTTTTTAGACTATATGTGCATAATATATATGCACACATACATAAATCATGGATCTGGAAGGTTGTAACATATTACTACAATGCCTGTGTACCTACATTTCCATGAATTTAGAACCATAGAGCCACAGAATGGTTTGGGTTGGAAGGAACCTTGAAGAACATTTAATTCCAACACCCCTGCAATGGTCAGGGATGGCACCCACTAGATCAGGTTGCTCAGGGCCCCATCCAGCCTTTCCTTGAACACTTCCATGAATGGGGCAGCCACAGCTTCTCTGGGCAACCTGTGCCAGGGCCTCCCCACCCTCACAGGGAAGAATTTCTTTCTAACATCTAATCTAAACCTGTCCTCTTTTGGTTTAAAACCATTGCCCCTTGTCCTGTCACTACCTGCCCATATAAAAAGTCCCTCTCCCTCCTTTTCATGAGCCCCCTTAAGGTCTTAGAAGGCAATGAGGTCTCCTCAGAGCCTTCTCTTCTCCAGGCTGAACACCACCAGATTTAGCACTTAGGGCTTCAAATAACAATAGCATAGTCCTGTCAAAGAAGAGCAGAACTAAATATTTAACCCAGGAAGCATCACTTGAAAGTAGATACCAAACTCTGTTGACCTTTCCATAAAGAACCAGCAGTGACCATAGTGGAGATGCTGAAGGACGTGACCTCGTACGAAGGGGAGGACGCGGTGTTCGAGTGCAGGCTGTCCCGGGAAACAACCCAGGATGCCAAGTGGTTCCTGGGGGATGTGCCCCTGCAATCCAACGAGATGAATGAGATCAGAGTCCAGGGGACACGTCACAGTCTGATCCTGAGGAAGGTGACCCTGGAAGACTGCGGGTCCATCAGCTTCAAAGTCGGGGAGCACACGTCGGCAGCACAGCTGAAGGTCCAAGGTGAGCAATGCCAGAGGGAGAGGGACTGGGCAGATGCTGGTACACTTGCTTTGGCTTCTGGAGAGGTGTATTTAGGATTAGGGGTCCTTGGAAATTTTGGGATATTCTGCTAACCTAATTTAGGCATTTAAGAGTTAGATATGTACATCTGAGCTGGTCATTTGGGTAATTTTTATTGTCCATGGATGAAAATTAATATTAACATCCTTTGGAGACCATCCAGCTAAGCAGCCAATCATATGTTGGAATCAATGCTGAAAGACGTCAGTAATATGCTCTGAATTAATCTCCTACTCATGATGGTTTTAGATCATATTTACTGAAAAAAAAAAAACCTGAAAATTTAAAAAAAAAACTTTCTATTAAGTCACATAGAATGATTTGGAAAGATGATCCACGGCAATATTGTAGGTTCCTCTCTGATCTGGTGCAAAGTATAACCATAGACCCCCAGCTCTGATCTGGGGGTGATGTGGATCAGGCTGTGGCAGAACTGATGCTTCTCTCTTTCCCCACAGCTGCTCCCGTCATCTTTGTGAAGGCGCTCCAGAACCTGGAGCTGCAGGAGGGTGGCACAGCTCACCTGTCCTGCGAGGCGTCCAAGCCTGACGTCCCCGTGGAGTGGAAGAAAGGCACGTCTGTGATCCACTCCAGCCAGAAGTGCAGCATCAAGCAGGAGGGGAAGGTGCACACGCTGGTGATCCGCGATCTGAACCGCGCGGACGCGGGCGAGTACAGCTGCCAGACGGCCGACGGGAGGACCGTGGCCAGGCTGGAGGTTAAAGGTATGGTTTCCTCTCCGTTCAGCAGCAGTGAAAGGAGGACACATCAATTTTCGGAGCTCTCTAGTGCGAGAGAGACAATGATTAGTGGAGCAAGTGCAGCAGAGGCCAACAAGTTTCTCAGGAGGCCGGAGAACATGAAATATGGGGGACAAATTTTTATCAGGGCCTGTTGTGATAAGAAAAAAGGTGATGGATATAAACTGAAAGAAGGACAATTTAGATTAGATATAAGACAGACGTTTTTCACAATGAGGGTGGTGAAGCCCTGGCACAGGTTGCCCAGAGAAGCTGTGGCTGTCCCGTCCCTGGAAACATTCAAGGCCAGGTTGGATGGGCTTGGAGCAACCTGGTCTAGTGGAAGGTGTCCCTGCCCATGGCAGGGGGTTGGAATGGGTTGGTCTTTAAGGTCCCTTCCAATATAAACCATTCTAGGATTCTAAGTAAAAGGAGAGGTAAGGGTGGCTGCATTTGTTAAGAGTGGGGAAGAGAAGGCTGAAGGGGGGACTTCTTTGCTATCTGCAGCTTCTTAATGGAGGCCTACAGAGGAAAGAGAGAATTTTCTTGGAATGCTCAGTAAACAGATGACAGGAAACAGTTGAAAGCTGCAGCAAGAGAAATTAATTTTAGAAAAAAAACAACCTTTCACAATGAAGGGGTGGTCAGACATTGGAACAGAGACCCAGAGGGGTGGAGGAATGTCCATCCATGGAGGACCTCCAGAGGTCCCTTCAGCCTTAATTATTCTGTAATTGATCCCTGGCTGCATGATCCGATGCCTCAGGTCTGCAGATGTGTGTTCTTTGAATGATTTTATCCTTTCCTGTGATTTTTATTTCAAGGATGAAAAGCTATCTGACCTTCTGAAATAATTACTGAAATAATTTGGGAACTCTTTGTGAAAAGAAGGCTGGGATATGGGGACAGAAATGTAGCTCATATAGAACTCAAATTTTTCCTGCTGATTAACTCCCCTTCCTCCTCCTCCTCCTCTGTCTAGCTCAGGCCTAGTCATCCCTGTTCCTGGCAGCTCCCCTTAGGCAAATGCAGCCAGAATCGTGCATGAACTTCATGAATGGCACTGTCAGTACCTTAAAAATCAAACATTCCTATTTTTTTCTATTTTTGCTTCACCCATATTTTTTTCCCCCTCTTTGCAACCATTCCCCCCCTCTCAAGGCCTCCCCGTGCTGTTCAAGCACTGGCTGAAGAACGAGGAGGTGGAGGAAGGTCGCACGGCCCTGTTGTTCTGTGAGCTGACAAAGCCCAACGCGCACGTGGAGTGGAGGAAAGGGGACACTGTTCTGCAGACAGGTGACAAGTACGAGATCCGGCAGGAGGGGACACGTGTCGAGCTCCTCATCTACGATGCTGAGGCTCAGGATGCTGGGGAGTACACGTGTGACTCGGGGGATCAGCAGACCACGGCATCGCTGCAAGTCAAAGGTAGGAGAAGGATTTTTTTGGAGGCAGGGAAGTCGTGGCTGTGACTGTTCTCCACAGGGGTGATCGTGGAATCATCTGGGGCAGGCTGGACAGGGCTCTGAGCAACCTGGTCTAGTAGATGGTTTCCTGCCCATGGGGTTGGAATGAGATGATCTTTAAGGTCCCTTCTGACCCAAACCATTCTGTGATTTAGGTTGGAAAAGACCTCTGTTGAGTTAAGCCAACCATTAACCCAACACTGCTAAGTCCACCACTAAACCATGTCCCCAAGTGTCTAATCCACACAGAACTTTTGTCACTGAATTGCCATCAACACTGTATCTCTGAGTTACAACTGCAGGAAAGGGTCTGATTCACAATCTGTCCTCCAGAGAAGAATTTAGTGCCTTTTAAACCCAGTTCTAATTCTGCAGTTGCAGTTTTCATCTCGCTGTGACAGCTGGGAACAAAACTGCAGCTGCTGCTAGGGAAGGGTATGCACAAGAGCAGTTAGAAAATTTACCTACAACCTGACAAGAAAATGAGGATATTTCACCATATTTAGAATAAACTCACTTTAAATGGAGCCCTTGTACCTATTAGTGCCTGAGCAGCCCAACAGTTGTGGCTCTTGGCCTTTTTCTACTGGCTTTGTTTTTGGATTTTATACTAAGAGTTCTATGTCTTTTGACTTGAACATCAAGACTATATTTTTAGATCTTGAGTTTGGTCACCATAACCCACTCCTGCTCACTGTGAGGTTTCAATGACTAAATGCCCAAAGTTTTATGTCCCAGCTGAAGGAATTGGGGTTTTTTTAACCTGGAGAAAAGCAGGCTCAGGGGAGATGTTATCACTCTCTACAACTACATGAAAGGATGTTGTCATGAGGTAGAGTTTGGTCTCTTCTCCCAAGTGAAAAGCAATAAGACAAGAGGAAATGGCCCCAGGTTGCACCGGGGGGGGTTTAAACTGGATCTAAGGAAAAAATTCTTCACTGGAAGGGTGGTCAGGCATTGGAACAGGCTGCCCAGGGAAGAGGTGGAGTCACCATCCCTGAAAATATTTAAAAGACGTGTTGATGTGGCACTTGGGACATGGTTTAGGAGTAGCCTTGACAGTGCTGGGTTGATGGTTGGACTCGAAGATCTTAAAGGTCTTTTCCAACCTAAACAATTCTCGTTCTCAGTGCTGTGATTAGCACTGTTGTGCCTCTATCTGCTTACACTGAAAATGGTGGCTATGCCCATGTGGAGACCTTTAGAGCCCCTGTGACCTCTAACAACCCTTTATGGAGCAGCAGTGGACACCCTCCCAGCTGATACCTTGAGCATCTGGCTGTGGCACAGCTCAGGGTGTGGCTCAGAATGAAGGGAACAGCCAAGCTTGAGAAGTTACATGCGAGTTCCTCACCTCTGAGAGCTGTCACTGATGCAGTTGCTTCTCCACCACAGTACTGCCAGTGCTGTTTAACAAAGAGCTGAGAAACGTAGAGACTGAAGAAGGGGGAACGGCTGTTTTGCACTGTGAGATCTCCAGGCCGGACGCCCCCGTTGAGTGGAGGAAAGGAGGGGTGGTCATTGAGCCCAGTGACAAGTACGAGATGAAGCTGAAGGGCAGCATAGCTGAGCTGATCATCCATGGTGTAGAGCCTGATGACTGTGGGGATTATACCTGCAGCACTGGATACGAGATCACCACGGGTTCTGTGTACGTGCAAGGTAAGGGGAAGCGTGGTGGAAATGCTCCTGTTTGGCTGCCTGGATTTCTGGCTCCAAAATCTTTGAGAGTAACTGGACAAAATGGTCTCAGATGCAAACAGCTGAAAGGCCATTCATTTCTTTCCAGGCTGAGGTTGGACCAATGTTTTTAAGTAAAACTAGTTCAAAGTGCTGTGCACTGTAACAGGTGGTGGTACTGCTGAAAAACTGCTTGCTTGGAGCAGTGGTCGTAAAAAATACTGACATTCTTGTTATAACTGATTTCAACCTCTATCTTTGTTATTCTTATTACTCTTTTAAAGCACTCAAGTGAACATTTAAATCTTAAGCTACATCTCTGCCTCATACAATGCCACTGCAGACGGCTGCAATGCACAGGCATGACCTGGTCATGGAGTGGAGTTTCCTCCCAATGAAATGGTGCTTGCAGAGACACACACTGCTCCTGGAAGCAGGTGGAGGATGGAAGGTGGTTTCTGACTCCCTTCAAGAAAATTTTATCTCTTTTTAATTTTTTCCCCCTGGAACAATGCTACAAGTTTAACTCTCCAAGGATGACTCACACTTGTGTTAGTTCTGCAGGGAGCCACGTGTATGTGTATGTGTTTATGCTCTCGTTTTCCTTTGGCACCTTCTCTTGCTCTGTCGTGCAGAAGAAGCAGCAGTGGTAGTTTCTGGTTTAAGGAACACAGACGTCTTTGTGGGCGAGTCAGCCACGTTCACCTGCGAGCTCTCGCACCCGGGCGTGAGGAACGTGCAGTGGTGGCTCGATGGGACCCCCCTCCACAACAACCTGGTGACTGAAATCTCTGAGCAGGACGGGAGGATCCACACCCTGACCCTAAATGACGTGGCCTGCCACGACTCAGGCACTGTCACCTTCAGGGCTGGGTCCCTTATATCTTCAGCTAAATTATTAGTCAAAGGTATTTCCTTGTTGGAAAGAAACACACGGCCACCTCTGGACCTGCTCCATGTGCTGGTGCTTCTGCCTTCCAGGCTACCCTTACTAAATCCCTTCACAGCTCTTCTGTGCCCTGCAACCCTCCACTTCTGCAAGTCACCAATACCCAACCCAGAAGTCTTACAGGTACAACCACATCGATTTTTGCAGTGGTTCAGGTGAGGAAGGGTTGCAGGCTCAGGGCTGCTTCTTTCACCTGATGTCAAAGAAGAGATGAACATAAACAACTGTAGTAGCACCTGACTTTGTATCCCCACTTCAACTCTTTTGAATAATACCCCAAAGTCTTGTGGAGCTGGTAATTCACAAAATTATCACAGTCAGGCTACTGCTGCTCAGCTCATCCTGTTCCCAGGACAAGACTTTGAGCTGTCCCTGTAAAGCAAAGGATGTATGACATTGCAGGAACACGGTGACAAAATGAGCCTTGTTTGTTGAATAGTCATCATTGCCCTAGCAGAGCTTTCTGGTCTGTTAAATAACTATTTTTCTCATTTGGTAAGGGTAGCCACAAGCTGCAAATAACACCGAGCTCCAGACTTGATAAAGCAAGTTCCCTCCCAGTCAGTCCTTTTACAGCCATGGGGAAAAGCTGCTATTTTTCAGGCAAAATTAATGCTTGTTCCTTGCTTGGAGAAGGGATTTGTATATACAGAGATATAAAGGGTTAAAAGATCCTTATTTAAATCTACCCCAACAGAAGCGATCCACAATATGGAATTGTAGTCAGTGGTTGATGTCTCCTCTGTATAAAGAGTCCCTTGTACTTTCAGAAAATTTGAATCTCTACGAAGATAAAATGCCAAAGCACTTCTTCCTGATCTCAGAATGGTGCAGCAACAACAGAGTGTGCAAACTCCACACATCCTGTGTCTGCCTGTATCAATTTGAGTTTCAGGTTTTCAGAGACAGAACCTGGTTATGAGCTCTCTAGGGAACAAATGCCAGTGGGTCTAATACATAAATAAAAAATAAATGCATCACTAGGTGTCCTGCTCAGTCAAATAAAAGGCTCCTGAGAAGTTTCCACTTCACAGAATCACAGTATATTTGATATTGGAAAGGACCCTTGGAGATCATCTACAGATGCTACTACACATAGGAATGGGGATATTTTTTGCTGCTGTGAAGGAAAGATTTCTTTATTGTGAGCCTGAATCACAGTAGCATATAATTATAATTGTATTAACAGACACTTTCAGGCACTTTTTGTCCATAAATTTAAAAGTAGATCCGTCTTTGGACTGTATTTCAGTCTACCTGGCTATCCATGGCTTGTCCTTCATCAAGGAGCAAATCAACTTTCTCTCTTTTCCATGTGCCTCGTTCTCCTGCCTTTAGGCATGCTGGTAACTGGATATATTCCATAAAAAGTGAGGTCTCAGCCTTTCTTATTGGGCCTCTACCATATCATTGTCCTACAACTGCACTCGTTCAGTGGCCCAGTGTGACAACATCTTCATGTCTGGGAGGTGGGGAGAATGGGAAAGGGTGAAGGAGCTGCTGCCTTCTTCTGACCCCTTTGGGCAGGTGAGAATTACAGGTCCTGGTGCCCACGTTGGCTCCCAAGTCCCAGGGAGCTTTCTGCTGTTCTGCACGGGTGAATAGGGGCACCAAGGTCCTTTCCCAGCAGTGGCAAAGAGGGAAGGGACAGTGGAACCAGGACATTTCCCTTCTCCAATGCCACAGGCGATATTTGCTGTGAGAGATCTTATGAAAGGAGACGGTGTTGTGCTCCCCATCTGCGCAGATCCCTTCTTCCTTCTTCAGTCCTGATGTCACCAAAACATCTCCATGGTCTTCCATCCAGGCCTCCTCTCCATAAACACACCTGCAGACACAGGGAGTGGCAGAGGGAACCCCAGGGAGCGGCATCAAGCCTTGCTACAAAGTTCCCAAAAGACGTTTGCAAAACTGCCTTTGCTTCCCAAGGTCTGCTTGTAGCGTCCCAAATCCTCAACCTGATGCACCGGTTTCAGGAGGAGCATTCCCAGACTGAGGCCCTGTGTAGTTTATTCTCGCTGGCTTGTGATCAGAACAACTCTTTGAAAGATAAGGGCATACCAAAGAATCATAGAATGTCCTGAGTTGGAAGGGACTCACAGGGATTATCGAACCCAATTCCTGATGGTGTATCAGCTTTCTCTGACTGTCCCTTTGTAACCCTATCAATTTTTTTTGGAAGTTGACATAATTCTGCTGAGAATGATGTTGCAAAGAGACTTCCACTTTCAGACTTCACTGAGGTTTTTCTTTTTAGCATGAGTGGTCCAACCTGAAAACTCAGGAGGGACTCCTTGGCTGCTCTGGAAGCTCATAATATTTTAGATTAGATATATCTACAGTGCCCTACAGCTGCCTGACAAGAAACAAAACCAGTATTTTAAAAGAAAGAATGGATGCTCAAAAGCAGCCTCACAGATCTCACATTCTTCAGAGGAGCTGCATATCCAGCAGCATTTTATGAGCTCTCAGTCTGAGATGTCAGTGGTTCATGGTGCATCTCTAGATGAGCTGCTGTAAAGGAAATCATATTGATTTTCCCCCATCTATGTGTCTGCTGCAGAGGAACACGTGGCTAATCAAAACAATGTGTACCTGCCCCTGTGGAATGCCCTTTTTTGTCACAGTTATGCTGGATCTTTGCTCCTCACGCTGCCAATGACTCTTGGCAGCCCAGGACAGGAATGGGTGTTTGCATTAGAGGACTGGGTTTCTTTCCCGTGGGTAGTTGCAGTTTACTCATACAAGGAGCCTCCAGTAGAGTTTGGGATGTGTTGCTATTTCTCTGTGAGGCTGAGAGTTACAGGGAACCGCTCCCAGCAGCCCACCCACTGCTCTCTCCTCTGTCTTACCCTTGTGCTCCACCTCCGGGAGGCAGAACTGTTTCACACCCAGTGCTTCCCAATCTGGAAGATCTCAGGGATTCTGGGAGAAAAACTAAGCCCAGTGGTGAATCCCCCCAGATTCTCTGCTCAGAAGTCCTCATTCAGGAGTTTTAAAGCACGAGCCTTAATTGCTGGTGGCCCGTTTTCCAGTGTGGTGGTCATGTCCTAACATACCAGTTTGGCTTCAACCCTGCTTGATGCTGACACAAGCACAGACTAAACTGCTAATTCCCAGCTTGCACTGACGCTCTGCCTGCTCCTCACGAGCTCCGTGCTTGTCAAAAACTTTCCGAGTTGCCATTTCCGTGGGGATCCACTAATGCATGTCCTTCCTGACGTGTTGGTTAACAGATCCCACCATTGAAGTGGTCAGTCCCATGCAGGACATAACTGTTGATGAAGATGGCCCAGCAGAGTTCATATGCCAATATTCTAGGCCAGTGCACGCCATCTGGAAGAAAAATGATCAGGAAATACATGCAGATGGGCAGCGAGTGATTATCGATCAGGACTGGAATGTGAGCATGCTAAAAATTAACCCTACGGTCCCAGAAGACACTGGCATCTATTCTTGTGAAGCTGGAGGCACTAAAGTGATGGCTACACTTGATGTTCAAGGTGAGGCCTTCCAGCCAAAGAGGGAGACTGTCATGGTTTCCAAATAAAAGAGGTAGAAAAATCATGGCAGCACTTCGGAACACATCAGATACCTGCTCTTGGTGTTCACTCCAGTACTGATAATAAACTGGGAATTGGTGGGAATTGCATATGAAAATGCAGCATTAGCTCAGTTCTAATTAACTCTCACTTATGACACCACTCGCCTGTTGCACCTCTTCTGCAAAGAACTGGAACATTGGTGTGATGGTTTGTGTCCTGCTGAATTATTGTGAAACCACAGATGCAATCTTTGTCCAAAGGAATAATAAGAATTTTTTTTGCTCTTAAAAAGCGCTTTTTACACCCAGTGTGCCTTAAAATCAGTAAATAATGGATAGTGTGGAATTCTGTTTGATTTCTGCTGAGCTAAGGTAATTTACTTTTTCAAATAGTGATCCTTCTCACTTGGCATCAGCATTTGGGAAGGCCCCAAGGAACAGTAAATAAAAACATTAAAACTAAATTTAGGATTTTCCATGGATGTCTTATTTTTTTTTTCTGCTGCATATGGAATTACTGTGTTTGCTTTACCAAGTGAATTACTGTGATCAGCAAGAGCAGTGGTTCTGATTTACGAATATTTGTGGCTGTTTTGCCTTCTTGCTTAACTGGAACTGTTAGTGCAGAAGAACAGGGTATTATAGATGTTTTCTGCATCTATAAGCACTTTCCATTTTAGGGATTTAAAAGGATCTTAATGAATAAAAGCATCCCAGAGGAGGTAGACTTAGCAATTGGCTGCTTTCCATAATTAGGGAAACCAGCACTTCAAAAGATAACCAGCTTGGATTTGTTCTAAGAAAATGATGCATTCTCCAAGAAGGATTTTCAAACACCTCATTGTTCTCCATAAATATGAATATTATAAAAATATAGGATTCTTTTACTATCATAGAATCCTAGAGTGGTTTGGGTTGGAAGGGACCTTAAAGATCATCCAGTTCCACCCCTCTGCCTTGGGCAGGGACACCTTCCACTAATCCCAGGTTGCTCCAAGCTCCATCCAACCTGGCTTTGAACACTTCCAGGGATGGGGAGCCCACACACAATCTCTCTGGGCAACTTGTAATTAGCAATAAGCTAATCAATAGCTAGTAACTTTTCTTTTTCTTTTTGCTATTAAATTAATTGTTCAGTCTGTTGGTATTTTTAAATTTTATTTATTTTTACTAATTTTTTTTTGCTTAGCACACTTCCAGATAATGGCTGTAGGAACCTAAACAGGAATGTCTGTTGGGTTATATCACAGATCATTCTGACCATTGGATGGTATTTGTGTGAACTGTATTTACTCAGCTGTGTGTCCCCACCCCTGTGCATGTCACTTGTCCCTGTAGCTGCTGCAATACAGGTTATATCCCTCACACCAGCCCACGTTTAATTTTGCATCAGGCTGATTGTTCATGTCCAGGTGCCAACTGATGCATGACCGTGTAGGAAAATGGAGTTTGGAGGTTTTTGCATGTTTCTGACCTCACAATTCACCCCACAAGTGTGGGAAAATCAACCTAATTGTCACAAGGCTTTTGTGATAATTCAGAAATTTCTGTTCAGAGTACCCTTAATACAGATTTTAACTTTCTGTGTGTTTCCTAGAGGCAGAATTAGCTCGGATGACAGTCACTTTAGCTTTGCTAGCCATAATATTCTTTTATATTTGCTTTGCAAGAAAAGTAGTAAGATTTTACCATGAACTGTCAGTGGATTCAAAGCTCTCAAGTTATGATGATAATTGTGCTGTCTGGGAGATCTTTGGGAAATGTTTCCTGCCGTGGGACAGAAGGAATTTGGTTCTACTTTGTCTTCCTGGGCTATCCCTTCCTAACAATTGTTGGCCTGTTTTATACAAACACCACTTTTTTTCTTAATTTTTGAAGAAAAGTCAGGTATTTGGAGGAAAGACAGATGAAATACTAGAGGTCTTAGAGTTTTATTGTTATTTTTAAACTGTCTCACTAGTTTAAATTTTTTTAATTTTAGTTAGAGTGTGGTTGAAGTCAATTAAACCTACGAGCACACTTTATCACATCCATGTTTTTCCATCAGCTTTCCAGCAGTGGGAATCGTCCAGCTCTCCGAGGCTTGTTAACATTCAGATATGCATGGCCAAATAATTAATGCTGTTCATTGTCCTTATTTTCCAGCCAAGAACAGCATCGTCCAGGGCTTGGAGAACGTGGAAGCCGTGGAAGGAGGGGAAGCCCTGTTCGAGTGTTACCTCTCCAAGCCCGAGACCTACAATTACAACTGGCTGATTGACGACGAACCTGCCAAGACCACAGAGAACACCGAGATGGTTTACTTTGAAAATGGGCTCAGGCACATCCTGCTGCTGAAGAACCTCACCCCCCAGGACAGCTGCAGGGTGACTTTCATGTGCAGCGACGCGGTGACCTCGGCCTTCCTGACGGTGAAAGGTAACTCGAGCGCTCGGGCGTGGGGGAGTCCTCAACTTCTGGTTGGAAAGAGGAGAGAAACCAGGAGGATGAGATGAGTAGAAGGGAGGAAAAGTTGCATTTGTTGCCTGCTTCTTACCTAAATTTTCTTCCTGCATAATAAATCATAGAATCATTAAGGTTGGAAAGGATCTCTTGGATCGTTGAGTCCAACCGTTAACCCAACACTGCCAAGCAACCACTAAACCAAAGAATCACAGAACCATAAAATCAAAGAATGGTTTGGGTTGGAAGGGACCTTAAAGATCACCTAGTTTTAACCCCCTTGCCATGGGCAGGGACACCTTCCACTATCCCACGTTGCTCCAACCTGGCCTTGGACACTTCCAGGGATGGGGTAGCCATAGCTTCTCTGGGCAACCTGTGCCAGGGCCTCCCCACCCTCACAGGGAAGAATTTCTTACTAATATCCAATCCAAATCTACTCTCTTTCAGTTGAAACCCTTTCCTCTTTGTTCTATCATTACAGGCTCTTATAAAAAGTCTCTCTCCATTTTTCTTGTAGCTCCTTTCAAGTACTGGAAGGCCTCAATTAAGTGTCATCCCGAAACCTTCTCTCTGCCAGGCTGAACAAACCCAATTCTCTCTTCCTTTAATGGATGATGTTTTACAGTTTTCATATTTTCTTGTTCTGTAAGATATGACATGGTTAAAAGCAACCACACCTGGCACTGAGTGAGCAGCAAATGACTGTCTCACAGCTGTCATTATTCTGATGAGTTGGGTTGTGTTTATTTGTTCTCCAGGGCTTTAGAGATGAGAGTGGTATCAACAATGATATTATCTCTGTGTCCTTGTACTTTATGCTATTACTGGAGACTCCTGTGGGATCAGGACCCCTTTCAGAGTACAAGAACAGCCATCAGTCTCCAGTTTTGAGTTGGATGAGGCTTTGAACTTGGTCTAGTGGGAGATGTCCTTGCCCATGGCAGGGGGGTTGGAACGAGACGATCTTTAAAGTCCCTTCCAACTCAAACCATTCTGTGATTCTATACCTTCTGTTCTGGTGATAACCATAACTTCTCTTTTGATGACCTCCTTGGTCTCCAAGGCCTGACTGCCCAGAGCTTCAACATAAATATTCCCAGCATCTCTTGATTGTTTCTGTAACAGGGGCCTTGATTCCCGATTTTAATCTACAGGATGGCGCCTGCAGTTCTTGCAGCCTCTCAAGGATGTGGAAGTCTCTGTGGGGGAGAAAGCCACATTTAGCTGTGTTCTGAGTGAAGCTGTGCCCATTAATGAAGTGGCCTGGTATAGCAATGACGTAGAGATCCAGTTGGGTGAGGACTGGGAGGTACAAGCAGATGGAAACAAATACAAACTTATTCTGAAAAAAGCCCAGCTGCACCATTCTGGAGAGGTGACCTTTGCTTCCAGGGAAGCAATTTCATCAGCCAAGCTTTCTGTGATAGGTAAGTGTCTGTTGTTCCAGCCCGGTGGCACCTGGAATCTCAAAATCTGGTATTGAGCTACAGCATTGAAATTTCTGATCTTTGCTCCAATTCTTTTCCCTTTGCCTCACACATCCCAAAATGGTGTTCTTAGTCTGAGAAGATGCTGCTGGGCAACCTGTTCTTTGACCAGAAATAGTCTACCCCATCAGGCTGGTGATGGTAGAGATGTTCACCAACTTTCTTTAGCTGCAATCTTTCGTAAAATGTAACATAGGCTCCAACGAAAATCAATTTTCTCAGAGTGCAACATCACCCTGAGCAACTGTGGGTGTAGGAGGGATCTGAACTGGAATTCACATGGAAAAATTATCCAGGATAGCAAAGAAGTCTTTGTAATCTGTTAATCAGCTCAAGACCCCTGCAGGGGGGTGGGCAGTGTTGTCTTCTTCGCCCATCTTTCTCTTTTGTTGCATTATTTGTGTATATTTTTCAATAATCTCCTCGAAGAAATGCTGGGGGACGCAGTGCCTTTGCTGCCCGAGGGTGGAACTTTGGAAGCTCCAGTGGGATGGGGAGTTGCTCCCTCAGTCTTTCTTTTCTTGCAACTCTTTCTGTGAAAGCTGAATGCCAAAAAAATTCCTCAGACTGAGAATAGTAACCTAAAAATCCTCTTTTACTTAAGGCTCAGACACACGATGATGGTTTTGTCACATAATTGCTGCCAGTGCCGGACTCTGATGACTCTGCACATGCTGACTTTGTCTGCGAGAAACCCAAGGCATTTTGGGCAGGGCTTCCCTCTCCCTGGTGAAATGTGCAGAGGTGCAGATCATGCTCAGGAATGTGCTGATTTTGGGAATTTAGCAGTGCTTTACATCCCAGTCAAACCCTCCATGTTTAATGCACTTGCCACAACTTTATTTTGAGTATCACTGTCGTACAAACACCCTTCCATTGGCAGGTCTCTTTCCTAAGTAAAGCATTTTTATTTTTAAATTCTTTATGCTTTTTGGTAATTTTTACTCCTCCTAAGCTAGTCTAAATATATATTTTTTTATTATTTTCAAGGCTGGGATGAATGCTGCTTTGAATAATTTCTTTTTTATTCTTTTTACTGTTTCTTTCTCGCCTCACTTCGGAACTGCCTCACTTCTAAACATTTAGGATCTCCCAAAAATCTGTAGAACTGCTTGAATACTGGGGAGGGGTAAATGAAGACCAGCAAATAAACACAGGAATGTGAAAAATGCAAAGACTTCTGCATGTATATATTTAAATGGAGACGGGTTAATCACTGGAAAAGCTTGGAAAGTTGTTTTGATATTGTCTTAGGAATTGCAAACTTTGGATGCTGCAGGTCTTTTTATTATTTTCCTTTGGTTGTCTACAACAGCTGATGAATCTATAAATGATGGATAGGATGCTTGGAGTGATGTAGAGTGATCTGCAGTGCCTGGAGCCAGATTATGATTTGTTCTTTGCATTAATTCACTTTATTTTTGTCCTTGCAGAGCCTCCAGTTACAGTCACCCAGCCTTTGGTGGGAGGATCAGTCACGGAAGGGGGGGTGGCTCGCTTGGAGTGCACATTATCCAGCAAAACTGAGGAAAAAGTGACGTGGTTCAAAGGAAAAGAACAAATAAAAGCTGGAGGGAGATACGAGATCCTCTCTGACGGGAAAAAGCAGACGCTCATTATTCATGGGTTCAGACCTGAAGACCAGGACACCTACACCTGCATGGCTTCCCCTGAAGTCAAATCTGTTGCCAGCCTGAGCCTTGAAGGTACAGAGTGTGCATTCCTGTGGTGTTAAATCAGTTCTGTTTACGGACAGCCAGGACCATCTCCACAACTTGGACTGGAATTTGCTTTCTTTCACAAGCCCTGATAACAATCCACAAACAATTGTTATTTTCCTTTTTTTTTTTTATTCCCCAGTACGTTTCTGTGTCCCAAATACTTTTGAGTTGCTCAGCTAAGAGTTTTCTCCATCAGAAATATAAGGTGTGACACCATTGTCTCTACATGGGGTTGTGGTGCCTTTTGAGATGCCTTAGGGTATTCCGTGGGTGTCCCAGACAACCTGGAGCATCTCTAAAGGCACTGGGCACTGTGGAGAGGCAAGTGAACGTGTCTCAGAGACTGAGGCACAACCTTCAGACTCAGACACATCCAAACAGGCAGGTGAGGTGTGTCCATGGGAGGTGGGAGTCTCAGCTCCCAGCATAGCCACTGGAGGTCTATTAAAATCCGTCAGTGAAGCTCTGTCTAAATGTAAGAGAGGATGAGCCTGAGGAGCTTTCCAGCCTGTACTGTCAGTCTTAATTAGGTGTTCATCAACTGCAACATTAAAAGGGAGCAAAAATTTATTTATTTGGTTTAAAAATGCAAGGAATAATAACCAAAAAAACCTTGCTTTTTGGCTATGTTTAAAGTGAATAGAATCGCAGGGTAGTTGAATTTGGAAAGGACTTCTGAAGACAGTGTGGTCCAACCCCCTGCTCAAGGAACAAGTTTCCCTGGGCCATGTCCAGCCATATTCACCTCCCAGAGAGGTTGTGGAGTCTCCTCTGGAGATTTTCAAAAGCCATCTGGACACTGTCCTGAGCAACGTGCTCCCTACTTGAGCAGGGAGGTTGGGCTAGGGGACCTCCAGTGGTCCCTTCCAACCTTCCCTGTTCTGTGTGATTCTGTAAATCCACATTTTGTCCCCAACGGAATGCTTAGTTAAACACCACCGATACTCTTGTGCTCAGGCTTTAGGGTGACATTTCCACGTTTCTCAAAGCTCAATCACAGTCTTTGTCTTTCAACGTCTCACCAATTTGATTCTCCCCAGTGCCCACGGTGATGATGCTAAAGGAGATTGCCAGGGAAGCACCCCCTGCAAGCCAGCCAGGGGAGCTGGTGGATGGCCAAGTCCAGCCCAGCTTGCCCCCCGAGGCTGCTCAGGAGGGAGATCTTCACCTCCTGTGGGAAGCCCTGGCCAAGAAGCGCCGGATGAGCCGGGAGCCCACCTTGGATTCCATCAGCGAGGTGCCTGAAGAGGACCTCGAGAGGCTGCAGAAGCTGAGGAAGGAGGAAGCAGAGATGTCCCACTACTACTCAGAGGAGTATTCCACGTGTGACGAGCTGGCCAGGACGGGAGAAGCCGATTTCTCTTTCACCAGCTCAGATGATGAGTCCAGAGCTGGGACACCCTCACTGGTGAACTACCTGAAAAAGAAAGCTGGGAAGACGAGTATCAGTGTTACCAGCAAGGTTCAGTCCACCTCCACAGGCAAATTATGGAAGCAGTGGGAGAAATCCAGTGTGGAGACTGCTGTGACCACCACAGCTGCCAAACCAGCTGAACCAGAGCTGCCAGACTTAGATGACCCTTCCATGAACAAGGCTGCCGTGAAGATCCAAGCCGCTTTCAAAGGCTACAAAGTCAGGAAGGAGATCAAGCAGCAAGAGTGCCCCGTGTTTGCCGAGACCTTCAAAGACTTCTCTGGCGAGCCTGGAAGCACTCTGCACCTGGAGTGTGTGGCCCACAGCAAATCTGACATGAAGGTCCGGTGGCTGAAAGACGGGCAGGAGCTTTCGGACGGCCGCTACTACCACATAGACAACTACAGCGACGGGACCTGCTCGCTGATCATCGCCGGCCTGGACAGGAAGGACGCGGGAAAATACACCTGCGAGGCATCCAACAAATTCGGCAAGGTTTCCCACAGCGCCAACGTGGTGGTTGGCGCTCAGGAGGCTCAGGTGCTTCCTAAGAAGCAGGCGAAGCAGAGCACGGACAGTGAGACGGAGAGCTCGTCCGGCAGCGAGCTGGACGACGCTTTCCGTAAGGCAGGGAGGAGACTCCACAGGCTCTTCAGGGCCAAGATCTCCACGGAGATCTCTGACGTGGAGGAGGAGCTCTTTGTCAGCGCGGACGAGGGGGACATCGACGTGGTGGACCACCAGACGTACCGGGAGGACGACCAGTACATCTACATCAAGTTCGAAGTCTTGTCCGAGGCCAAAACGGCCGCCACTCGGTTCAGGGAGATGTTTGGGGCCCTGGGGATCCCCGTGGAGATCGATATTTTGGAGCAAGGCCCTAAAAAGGTTGAACTGCGCATTGGGAAGGCCTCACCACCCACCTTCGGGAAGTTTGCACCACCCATTGCGAGACCTCCGCCGCCTTTGCTGACTTCTGACACAGGTAGGGGAAGCAAACCTTGAGGATTCCTTTTTTGTTCATGGAAAAGACAGCTGGACTAGGTCAAAATATTATCTTTTCACTCTCAAACAACTGAAAAAAACACCGTTTTATTTTTTTTCCTTCATTTGGTGCAGATATTTTTCTGGAAACTTCGCACTTTTGGAAAAAAAAATGAATTTTTTATTTAGAGAGAGAGAAGGGACATTAGTGCTGAAGGAGGGGGTTGTAAAATATCAACTTATCTATGAAGCTGCTTCTCATGATATAAATGTCTCCTATTACAATAATATAGCCATAAATGCTGTGATTATTATACTTAAATGAACGAAACAGTTTTTAGGAAGGTCTTGAGGGAGACAAGACATTTTGGCAAGGAGAGGAAGAGAGGAAATGCATAGCTGGCAACTGTGCTTATGGAGGACCTTCATGGTGTTTGTCAGGGAGTTCCTTCTTGACTGTTTTCACAGACGTCACTCTGAAAATAAAAACCCAGAAACCAGAAGTCTTCAGGCATTGGGCACCTCAAATAACATCTTTTAACACAAGTTTTTCCCTTTCTCCTCTCCGACCACGCCCACTTTAGCTCCCATGTTCATGACTGAGCTCCAGAACCAGGAGGTCCAGGATGGGTACCCGGTGAGCTTTGACTGCATCGTCATCGGCAAACCGCTGCCCACGGTCCGCTGGTTCAAGGATGGGAAAGCTATCGAGGAGAACGACCACTACATGATCAATGAGGACCAGGAGGGGTGTCACCAGCTCATCATCACCGCCGTGGTCCCCACTGACATGGGCGTTTACCGTTGCCTGGCTGAGAACAACATGGGAGTGGCTTCAACCAAGGCTGAGCTTCGGGTGGACTGTGAGTCTCAAAATCGCCATAGGAAAAAACAAGGGAAAGGGTCCTTTGGGGAGGTGGATAATTTTATTTTTTTTTTCCCCCATGAAAAGCACAATTTACGTCAGAAAAAAAGAAGTATGTGTTGCCCGCAAAATGTTTCACTTGTAAAACTATAAAGTTTCTTAGGCCCAGCTGGGTTTTGCCTCTTGAGTTCAGGTGGGTTTTGCCAACTCCAAGGCAAGACTCAGAGCAAAGCTTTTCAGGTAAGCAGACGTGTTTCCCATAATCCAGGGTCATGTGGGATCCTGCTGCAGGGAAATCTTAGTGGGAAATCTACATACCAATCACTCGAATTAGCAAAGCAACTTATTTTTCTTTTAAATTCCCCTACTTACTTATTAGAGCAAGAATTATAATAAATAAAAAAAAAGGAAAATAGTTTAAAGCTCAGATTATAGAAAACACATCTTTTTCCATTTAACAGTGACCAGCACTGACTATGAGACAGCAGCAGATGCAACAGAGACATCCTCTTACTACAGTGCCAAAGAATATATTTCAAGGTAAAATATCAAACTCTCGCTCCAATTTCTGACTTGATGAGATCAATGCATGTATTTATGTCAAGGCTGGTTTCGCCCTGTCTAGCAGGACCAGTTTAATGTCACAAAGGAGCAGCCAGACCAGCTGAGATGCAAAAACTGCAGCAGCTGGACATTTATCACATGCACATTTGTTCTGGCTGCCCTCAAGCAAGCCTGGATATTTCTTCGTGGTGTCACTCTATTACTTTAGTCTCAGATGGTGCTGAATCTGCTGTCATGCTGACAAAACCCACAGTCCGAATTAACCTAAAATAGGCCATTCTGATTCCTAACTCTTACCTGCCTTGCTGACTTCCTTCTTTCTGATTCTCATTGTTTCTTAGCCGAGAGCAGGAGGAATCCACCACCGAGGAGGAGCAACTGCCCCAGATCTTTGATGAGCTTCATGACATTCATGTGGCACCTGGAGCATCACTGGCTAAATTTCACCTGAAGGTCAAAGGTGAGTGGATCCCACAGTTTTCCAGGTTTGATGTCAGGTTGAAGAGCTGGACAAGGTTTTCCAAGGTGCTCTTCCGCAGCTGTGACCCCAGTTTGTGCATCTTGCACCACGAGTGCACAAACCAGCCCGGAGAACATGTTCATGCTGATGAACATTGATGAACATTGACTTTTGCAGCAGATAAAGTGTCTCCAAGCATAATGGCAGGCAGATGTTTCTGAAAACTGAGTTCTGTCTTTCTCTGAGCACAGGAGCAATAAGGAATGATAATAATAATAATAATAATAATAATAATTATTATTATTATTATTATTATATTATAATATAATATATTATAATATATAATATATTATATATAATATATAATAATATATAATATATAATATATTATTATAATAAAGCAAGGGTGTCCTTTGTCCTCTTAAATAAATTAAACAGTTGTGGACTTGCCTTATTCTAGGTTGCTGCCACAACCTAAAAACTGCAAAAACATCATCCTAGTGTTGACTGTGGCAGGGATAGGTGGGGATTTTCCTGTTTTCTCATATTGCTGTCTATAAAAATTATAAGAACTGATTTGGCTTCAGCTTTTCTCCTTTGGTGTATGTTTCAAATCAGACCCAGGTGTCGTTTTTCCAACCTTCAAGGCATTTGCACTTGCAGCCAATATGGGGAGCACCAGAAACTGAGGAGACAGGAAAGAACTTCAACAGATAAATAGAATTTAATTAATTTTTAGCCATTCCTAGTTGAGTGAACCCTTGAAACAGCAGCCCAGGGCAGAGCTGGGGGCGCATCACCTCCTGCCTGTTTGGAGTTGCTTCCAAAGGGATGTTGTCAAGGAATTCTGTTCTCCATGTCACAGGGTACCCACAGCCTCGTCTCTACTGGTTCAAGAATGGGCAGCCCCTGAAGGCCTCTGATCGCATCCTGAAGACTGACAGGCAGGAATTCCACTCACTGGAAATTCGGGATGTCACCAAGGCAGATGCTGGGCAGTACCTGACCTTCGTCATCAACTCTGCTGGCTCTGCCTATTCCTCAGCCAGGCTGGTGGTCAAAGGTGGGCATTGCACTGTTTTGGGCACTTACTTTGCTCTATTCCAGTGTCTTTTTCCATTTGATAAAGTTATTTTTCTTGAGAAAGCCTACCAAGGTAGCTCAGGCGAGGTGGGGAAGTCTGTAGGTAAAAGATGATGTGCTTTGATTTTAGTTCACCAATAAATTTACTGATTAGGAAGATGAGACATGTCACTTCTCCAGGCTCTTACAAACATGCATTTTATTCCTGCTCAACCTCATTAACTTTCAAAGCTTATTTTATTAAACTGAAGGCCTCTTATGAATCATACCAATATTTTTGTGTAATATCTCCAGCAAGGAATAATCTCCTGGAGTCGCCTTTGGAGTATTTTTTCTGCAACTCATGGGTTGAAAGTTATTTATATTTTTCATTTTGTTTTTTCTCCTTTCATTACAGATCCTTATGAGAAAGAGGAGCCATCTAAAACAGGTGAGAGAAGCCACAGAGGGACATAACAGAACCCCAGGAATCTTTCAGTCTAAACTCACCATGTTTCATCAATAACATTATTTTCAGATTCCCATGAGCAGCTGATACCACCGAGGTTCCTTGAAAGATTTACTAATAAAAAGGTGAAAAAAGGTGCAAGCATCACATTATCTGTGAAAGTGGAAGGTAAGTGGGTTGATACCTTGTCTCTCTGCACAAAAAATTGTGTAACTTCATGACACATTCTGGACTCTCTCTGCCCCAAGTCATTGTAACCTCATCTCCTGTATCTCAAGTCTGGGATTCCACTCCCAGTTTACATCTCTTACAAAGAGACTTTGCACAAAATCATCTTATTCATCTTCACCTCCATCTTCTTGTATGTGACAACTGGGATAACAAAATTTATTAGTCTTATGAAGATTTATTAACAGTTTTGGTTTTACAGAAAGACTAAATGTCTTTTCTGAGGGGGCTGTAAAATGATTTATGATCCTTTATTACATATTATGCCTGTTATTGTTGGAAAAATGTCAGGAAATGGATCAAAACAACATTTATTCACAGCATGGCTCATATCTGTGAGGAAGGAACACAATTAGGAGGATTAAAGCTCATTGCTTCGCTCTTCCTTTAGGACATCCACCCCCAAGTATTACTTGGATGAAAGAGGAGTCCCGGAAAGACATCCTGTGGATCAAACCAGACACCCCTGGGTATAAACTTGCCAGTTCCAACATGCACCACAGCCTGATCCTGCTGGATGTGAAGAAGAAGTACAGTGGAGCTTACACGTGCATTGCCACCAACAAGGCTGGCCAGTCCATCTGCACGGCCAACCTGGAGGTTGCAGATGGTAAATCTTTGTTGCAGCACAAGCACATTCTCTGTATTTCCCTTTTATGCAGTGCCCAAGAGAAAAAAAACAAATGTGACTGATGAGGAAATTATCAAATCATGCACAAAGAAAAGCACTTTCTCAAGATTAGCCATGACTTCTCTGATCTTGTAAATGATTTCATTCTTTACTTCTATAATATTTTGGATTTTTGACTCTATTTTGTATTAACAGCAGCACCTTTTCTATATAAACAGGGGACAAGTCTAAGAAGCAAGCAAATTAAACACAAATTAGAGAGAAAGAGAGAGACAGAAAGAGAGAGAAAGAGAAAGAGAGAGAGAGAAAGAAAGAGAAAAAGAGAGAAAGAAAAAGAGAGAGAAAGAGAGAGAAAGAAAGAGAGAGAAAGAGAGAGAGAAAGAAAGAGAGAGAGAGAGAGAAAGAAAGAGAGAGAGAAAGAAAGAGAGAGAGAGAGAGAAAGAAAGAGAGAGAAAGAAAGAGAAAGAAAGAGAGAGAGAAAGAAAGAAAAAGGGAAAGAAAGAGAGAAAGAAAAAGGGAAAGAAGAGAGAAAGAAAAAGGGAAAGAAAGAGGGAAAGAAAGAGAGAGAGAGAAAGAGAGAGAGAAAGAAAGAAAGGCAATGTAACATAAAAGGCATCATTTAAAAAATTAGTTTGAGTCCTTCACTCTGTTATTTTGCAATGTAAAATTGCCTTAAGGCAGCTAAAATTACTTGACTTCCCTTTTACAGAGCTTTCCAGGGCCTCTTTTGACACTATTCCTTCAGTAAAATGGAGGAAAAGCAAATATAGGCTGGGAGTAAGGGCAGCACTGTAGAGGACCCCATTTTTCTGTTATCCTTCCTTGCATCCCACATTTTTGCTGTACCAAGAGCCACAGGAGCAGAGCTTGGGCAGTGTAGAGAAATGGGGCAGTCCTGTGAACATGACCAGGGAGAGGAGGAAACTCTCAGCAACAGAGGAGTGGGAATAAATATTCCCTGCCTTCTGTCCTCTAATGGCAAACCCTAATCTTGCAGTGAAAGAGGCTGAAGTTCTGACCCAGGAGCGGGTGATGGTGTCCGAAGCCATCATGACCACACTGGGGTAAGTGCTTGGCCAGCCAGGGATGGAAAGTGCTGTAAATACTCTGATATTGAGGTCAGACATTTATTCCTGATGATCAGGGAGGATGGGGAAGAGGGATCAAAAGAATGAATGAGTTTGGGTAGCTCATGTAAAACTCTTGCGACTTTTTTCATCTCCTGAGCAGAATGCAAAGAAAATTCACGGGGTCAAGGTCTGGTTGTTACTTGCCAATACTGAAATACATAGAAAAAGTAGGTGAAAAGGGTCTACTGCACAAATTTCTTGTTCATAAGTGCGTCTGAAGATTAACCTCCTCAATTCACTGTTCTTGGTTTGGACATTAGGCAGATACAGTCTGGAAAGTGGCATCACCTGAACACAAATTAGCTTCTGGAACATGTCTGGCTTAAAAAAGCTTGGCCAGTTTTCCTCTGAAATGTGAAGGAATGGAAGAAAGCTGCAGTGTGACTTTACCTATTCCACTGCAGCCTCTCCCAGTGATGTGTGGTTTATCATTTATCAAGTGGGATGAGCTTCCTCTTGCTTCCTTTGTGCTAACAGAGAATTAGGGATGATCAGCTTTTGCAATGGAAATTTATATCCTCTTTCCAAAAAACTGAGGCATAGCAGAAATGTTGACATCAGGATATTAATTTTTACAGAGCTTTACTCTTGGGAAATGCCACAAGTTCTCTTCAAGGGACCCAAGCAAATGCTGGTAGTTCTTCACATCTGTGAAAAAATCTGCCCTTTCCCTGCTGACATGAATTAATTTTGTGCTGGTAAAAGCTGAGAGTGTAAGAAAGGACTTTTTGGACCTCAAAACTGTGGCAGTACCACTAAGTCACCTTGTTTCCCAACACACGGGCATCCTGATGTGATGGGAGCAGATCATGTTATCCAGCCTTTGGTTTCCTGATGAAATCACTGGAAATTGTTGAGAATTACTTTATTGAAAAATGACTAATGACTAACACCACAGATCCCACCTGACATAATGTCTCTGACTGCAGAAGTTTTATTGCAGTGTCAGCTGGAGAGAAAGTCCCAGCAGCACCAGGGAGATGGAGCCTACTCTGTTCTGCAACCCATTCCTGGTCTTCTCAAGCTCTAGGCTGAAATGAAAATCAGGAATAAGGAGACTTCTCAGATGGGTTTTGGCTCCAAGTCTAAAACACCCCTTTTTTTTGTGTGTCCATATGAGCCAGGTGCCACAATTCTCATTTCTCACAGTGACCCTGGTGTGTGTCAACTCCCAGCACCTGCAGCCCAAACCAGAGCCCTAACTTAGATATTCCCTTTATATCCAAGGTGGGAGAAGGGGGAATGTTTTCTCGTTTAGCTCTCCTTACTACCCATTTCATTTTAACTTTTAATTCTGCTTTACTTTATTTTTCAGAGCTATTCATCCCTCTGAAGCAAGAGAAGGTAAGAGAAGATATTTTCTCTCTCCCTACTCCTGCCTGTCATATCTACAGCTGAGGTTGTCCATGTATTTAATGATTGCCACCCACTTTTGTCCCATTTTCTTGAAACTGTCTGAAATTTTGGAACTTTTCAGTTCTCAGGCCGCTCTCTGTTCAAGACTGAATTAATTGGGTGGACTGTGAGCAAGCATAATTTTAAAAACAGGGGAAGAGAAGAAAATCAGACCTTCCTTCCACGGCAGCTTTTATTACTCAAAAAAAAGATTACTTCCCAATTCCCATCTTAATAGCATAACTTCTCTTTTCCAGGAGACCTTGAAGGAAAGGAAGGTGTTCCCAAAAGCCCTATTTCATTAGCTGATGTTGGCTCAGAAGAGTTCTTCCAGAAACTCACCTCACGGATCTCGGAAATGGTGTCTGCAAAAATAACTCAGGGTAAGGAACCTGCCAAACACAGTTTAATTTGTGTAGAAAAAAAATGAAGTCACCTTTTTTAGGTGCTATTTAATTAAAAGTGAGATTTATAGCAGCAGGTTTTGAGCCAAGCATCCCACATAAGCTCAGGATTAAGAAATTTTAGTGGGAGTCCATCCAAACTGTGTCTTAGTTTACAGTTTGGAACTAGGGGGAAAAAAAAGCTATTTTATTAAGTTCTAAAAATAGCAGCGTATTTTTCCCATCTTAGGTATTTCAGTTTCCTCAGATATTCAACCCTCCTGAGTTGGAAAACAATCCTGCTTTCAAGACTTCACACACCTTCAAGTTTTAGCTCACAATGGGATTTTAAAATCGAGCTAAGGCTGAAAACTCTGTGCAATGAGTTGCACTCTCAGCAACAACTTGTTGAATTACATGAAAACCCTTGTTTGTGTTTGTCCTGCTTATCTGGTGGAAAAATTTTGATTTGAAATGAAAATAGAGGCATTATTTCTCCAAGAAATATTCTTGCAGTGCCGTGGCAATACATGCAGTAGGCATTCAACATCTTGTATTAAAACATCCCAAATTTTTATTTAACCCTAAATATCCATAGGAAATAACACTAAATACTACTACAAATACTCTTCCTAGGGAATGTTTGCTTTAAAGAAATTGAAAACTATTATAGATTTATCCTTATATATCACACTTTGCTTTCCTTCTGAGTCTGAAGATGGGGATTCCAGAGGAGAGGTACAATATCTTTGTGGGCAAGTTTGACACCAGGGGAAAACTTTACTCAGAATAACCAGTTTTCTACAGTTTAAGGACGTCCACTCCCTTTTAGGGCTGTAATTCACTTTAGAGGGTGTGTTTAATAGTTAAATATTGGGTCTGTGATACAGAGAATCAAATTCTGATGAGCAGCTTGAACAACAAGTTGTTCAAGTCAACGTGGTCAAAACTCATCCATCATTTGGCACCTCTTGATTTCGTGGCTGAGCTTCATGAAGTCAGAGCTTGATTTTCTGTGGGGCTTGAAGAGAGTTGACCAGGAGAATTTTGTTGCAGAGTTCTTTGTGACAAAAATGAGAATGCTGTGAAAATTAGAAATTAGAATTTTTGAGGTGATCATGTCAAAAACGCTTCCTAAAAAAAAAAAAAAAAATAATTAATTAAAACTTTTGAAACGGTAACTTATTTTGACATTTTCAGGACCACTGGTTTTGGGGTTTTTTTGGGGTGGGTTTTTTTTGCCTTTGGAGAAAAACTCTGTTTCGTGGCGTAAATATGAACCACCTCAAACAGACAGTTCTGAAAATACCTGAAAGCCTCCAAGAGATTTAGTCTTCCACTTACAAAAAGCAAACAGTGGTTTTTCTTTGCCGTACAAAGGCTGGAGAATGAAACATTAAATGGAGATAAGCACTTTGACCCCGCTGGTGTTGCTCTACTCCATTTCCAGAGCAGAAAATAACTGTTGTTTCATCCCTGCAGATCTTTGATGTCTACATGGTCACTGCTGACTATGTCCCTGCTGCACCTGACAGGGAAACCATCACCCTGAAGGAAGGACAATACGTGGAAGTCCTTGATTCAGCTCATCCTCTCAAGTGGCTGGTCAGGACTAAACCCACGAAATCGAGTCCCTCTCGGCAGGGTTGGGTGTCTCCAGCTTATCTGGACAAGAAATTAAAGGTGACTGATCGTCCTTGGTTATTTTTCATTCAAAGTTCCTCGCCCCTGTTGCAGTTTGGAGCCATCCCTTTTGCAAGGAGCGGTGGATGAGGAAGTTGTCGAAGGGATCTGTAACGTGGTCAGGCTTTTTCATGTTTTTGATTAGACAGTAACTCTGGTGTGTGCAGAGGTGCTTGGGTTGGAAAGGCCAAATCACCCTCCAGCAAAATAGAAATTTCACACTGGCTTAGGGATTCTTGAAAGGGACTGTGAGCACGTGAGGGATGTTCCTCAGTGTGTATTGGTAAAAGCACTGCAAAGAAATAAAGAAATAAAGTGATAAAGATGCTTAAAAGAAAAACGTTTCCTTTTTCTTGTACTGCAGTTGTCACCAGAGTGGGGGACAACAGAAATCCCCGAGTTCCCTGGAGAGTTTGTTTCTGAAGATGAATATAAAAGGAAGCTGAGGTGAGCTTGTGTCTTTTGGTATTTGCACCTTTGAGTTTTCCTGCCTTTTGAACTAACAAGAGTGTTGACCTCTGGGTCCCTCCTGTCAGAGTCACTGGTTTTGTTCTGTTCAGTCCTGCCCCCTTCCCTTTCCCAGGGTCAAGCAAACCCTGGATTAGATCACACTTGTATTTTGGGATATTTGATTGGGTTTTGCCATTGATTTCAGCCTAGGAAAAATTCCAGGCAATCCCAGAACAGTGTGGTTTGGAAGGGACCTTCAAGATCATCCAGTTCCAACCCCCTGCCGTGGGCAGGGACACCTTCCACTAGCCCAGGTTGCTTCAACCTGGCCTTGGACACTTCCAGGGATAAGGCAGCCACAGCTTCTCTGGGCAACCTGTGCCAGGGCTCCTCACTCTCTCAGCCAAGAATTCCTACCCAATACCCCACCTGACCCTGCCCTCTGGCAGTGGGAAGCCATTCCCCCTTGTCCTGTCCCTCCATCCCTTGTCCCAAGTCCCTCTCCAGCTCTCCTGGAGCCCCTTTAGGCCCTGGAAGGGGCTCTAAGTTGTCCCCAGAACCTTTTTTTCACGTTGGATAACTTTAAAGGAGGGTTTTACAAGACATAATCCTGGAATATCTCTGATTTCACGAAATCCTGAACTGCAGTACCTCTGCACTTTGGGTTGCCCCCTGTCTGAGGATGCATCTCAAGGGCAATTGTGATGATTTTTCTGTGATTTCTTTTTGCCTCTTCGTCTTCCCCTCAGTGTTCTCATCCAGGAGCTGCTGATCTCAGAGGAGGATTACATTCAAGACCTGCAGTTCCTCCTGACTCATCACCTCAAGTACACAGAGACCTGTCCCAACGTCCCAGGAGCTGTAGCCAGTCAGAAATCCACCATCTTCAGGAATATTGATGACATTGGTCACTTCCATTCCAGGTGGGCATTCCCATGTGCCTTCATTTGAGACCGAGGAGTGGTTCACATACAAGGTGTCAGAGCCACACTATAATAACAATAACAATAACAACAACAACAATAATTATTATTATCATCATAACAATCACTATTATTAATATTTTATTATATTATTATATCGATATATTATTACATAAATATTATTGGTTTTATATATTATAATAATAATAGTATTAATGTGAAGCACTGACAATACTGAGGTGCAAGGGAATTGATGATCCTTTCAGGATGATAAATGATGCCATGCTTTCAATCAGAGCACAGGGTTGGGACTTCCATAATACCCTTCAGTGCTTCAAGGCTTATTTCTTGCCCTTTTAAGTGAATTTAACTGAAAAATAGTGAATTGTTATAAAAAAGGCAACAGAGTCTTACAGGGACTTCAGTGGTATCTTCACAGATACATTCATTCATCTAAAACTGAACATCCACGCAATCCAAACACATCCAGCTATGGCAGGCTGCCCACATGGCACAGTGATTCTGCCTTCTCCAAGGATTTACTGCAGATCTGGGCCAAGAAAATAGATTTCTCTTCTCTTTCCCCCTTCAGCTTTGTACATGTGAACCTACCACAACACCCCTCAAGAAACAGAGTGAGGATCTCTATTTTCACTCCTGTGGGTGGCTCAAAGATCATTATACTCAGGGTTTAACTTCCCAGCTTGAGCTAAGGCCTTAAAAGTTCTCCCTACCTTCCTTGCAGGGCATTTCATAGAATCATGGAATGGTTTGGGTTGGAAAGGACCTTAAAGCTCATCCAGCTCCAACCCCCTGCCATGAGCAGGGACACCTTCCACTATCCCAGGTTGCTCCAAGCCCTGTCCAACCTGGCCTTGGACACTTCCAGGGATGGGGCAGCCACAGCTTCTCTGGGAAATCCATTCCAGTCCCTCCCCACCCTCACAGGGAAGAACTTCTTCCTAATATCCAGTCTAACCCTGCCTTCTGTCAGTTTAAAACCATTCTCCCTTGTCCTGTCACTCCATGCCCTTGTAAAAACTTCCCACACCTCCATCCAAGCTGAGAGGTTCAGCATCCTGCTGGGTGAGGGGGCACTGAGATGTTTGATGCTAATGTGGCAGCATCCCTCATGCCCCCCAGTCATTTCCTCTGACCTGATTCAAAAGCCTGGCTGCTGGGGCTGTGTTCCAGCCTCATTCCAGCACCTTCTCCTCAGCTGTCCTCTTTCCTTTGCCTCCACAGTGTCTTCCTCCGGAGCCTGCAGGGCTGTGACACTGATGATGACGTGGCCATGTGCTTTATCAAGCACGAGGCAGAGTTTAACAGGTACATCCAGTACCTGGTGGGAAGGGTACAGGCTGAGTCTGTTGTTGTCAGCAAAGCTGTCCAGGACTTCTACAAGGTAAGGCAGTAAGCAGAGTACCTGTGGGAAGTGCATCCTATAACCCACTGCATGGAGAAATGTAGTTATTCATCACAAATGTGATCCTTGAAAGGATTGTTAATATCTTTTGTAATGTTTGCTAAATATGACAGTTTTTAGTTCACTGTCTTGCTCTTCTTTGTAGGTATAATCAATATAGGAACATACTTTTGTATGCTTATGCATTTATTAATCTTATAAAGATCATACAGAAACGAATTTGGCTCTGCTGATGTGACTGTAAGGGGGGTTTTAAGGGCCACCACATTATAAGACCAAGTGAACTCACAGAAATCATAAGTACAGATAATAAATATATAATAGACAAATCCTCCTTCTCTGCTCCAGCTGCTCAGGATTGAAGTTCACTGGTGAAAACACACACACAGAGCTCCAGATCCACGAGCACATGGGTGGTTGTGGATCCCTTGAGTAGCAAGGATGGTTCCTCTGCCCATCCAATACCCAAACCCAGATCCTGCACTTTTACCCTCTCCCAGCCTCTTACTTTTAGGGTAAAAGTAGTAGGTACTTTTTTTAGTACCTACTCAGCAGTTACTCCAGCCTGATGCTCACTAGAAAACAAATGCCCGTGTTCACACTCACCCCACATTCCCATGAGCATTTTCCAAGGAGTCATTTTTTATCTTGTCCTTTTTGAAAACCTTTCCTCATTTCTCTATGTATTTTTTCCAGAGATACACAGATGAATTTGAAACTAATGAAGATCCTTCACAGCCACTTATCCCACCACTGCAGCACTACCTGGAAAAACCCATAAACAGGATCCAGCAGTATCAGACAATAATTAAGGTAAGGAGGTATTGTTCTATCTGACAGGTTTATGTTCTGCTCTGTGCAGCTTGTGGAGAAAAAGATTTTATTTTTATTTCCTATTTCTTGGCTTCCTCCTGGTGCAAATACAACTGAGAGCTGATTGTCTAAATAAGAGAGTAACCACCACCAGGGGTGAATTTTTCTAAATAGTTCTGTACATGTAAATGCAGGTAGAGGTTCACAATCTCCAACCCCTTAAAGTTCTGTGAGCTTTGTATGAATGATCTTTAAATAGGTGAATACATATGCGTAAAAATATGTGGGTTTATATATATATATATATGAATATTTGTATATATATATCCATGACAAGTATCAATTTGCTTCAAACTAAGCAACGCTTACGTTATAAAAATAAGCATTTTCCAAAGTGTAAGATATTGGCTTACCACTTTTTTAACTTGTGTTTTATGTTGACATTGTAGTAAGATGGAGTTTTTTATTTTCTGAAAAGCCTTGCCCCGTTCTACCACCCTGAAATATTTAACCTTTCAAGCTTTCATCTGTCCTACTGTCTCAGGTTCTAGCCCAGGCCATGAGCAAACATTTCAGAGCAGCATTTTAAACAGCATTTTCTTGGGAAATAGCATTAGGGTGTCCAGGAAGAAGACAGTCATGCCAAAATATTTCTGTGTTCTAGTGTTACATAAATGAGCAATTGGAATAGTCTGAAGAGCTTTCTAATTTTGAACACCTTCTTGGACACCAAAATTTTTAAGGGTCTCTTGGAGGAGTGAAAGCACTTTCCCTGCCTTCATTGCTGAAAGAGAGGAACAGGAACAAATTTGAGAAGAGCAGGAAAACTGGCATTTCATATTTCTCCCAACCTCTCTTTTTATTAATCTCATGCTGACTCTCAGCTCTGTCACTTGAATTGCTTGTTCTGTGGTGTTGTGAGGGTAAGCAGAAGAGAAATGCAATGGATACATTTTGCTTTGGATTTTTTGGGTTTCAATCGCTTTCTGGTATTTGTTTCAACTTTGTTTAATATTAATGGATGCAAGGAAAAGCCAAACTGGCTAGTCATTAAGGCTGTAGGAAAGAAAATACTTTATTATCTAAGCAGCATATGGTGAAAAAAAATGGGATAAAAGCTACTCAGGTGAAAGAATTGGAAGAGATATTGAGAAACTCTTTGGCTCCGGAGAAAATGTGGGGTTTTTCTCTGATTGCCCTTCATTCATCTGCAGGAATTAATCCGAAACAAAGCAAGAAACAGCCAAAACTGCACCTTGCTGGAACAGGCTTATGCTGTGGTGTCTGCACTGACCCGGAGGGCAGAGAACAACCTCCATGTCTCCCTGATTGAGAATTATCCAGGGACCCTGGAGAGCCTTGGTGAACCCATCCGGCAGGTAACTGGGATTTCTCAGTGGTGCTGGTGCCACCTGTGCCTCCACTGGGTCCTGAGTAGCCCTAATTCCTACAAGAAGCCCCTTTAGACGCCGTGCCTGAAAGAGAGTTTTTGCTTCTCCCATTTCTTGCTGCTTCAGAGCAGCCCTGGCTGGACTAAGGTTTGGAGCAGCAGAGCAGAGGCACTGATGGAGCAGCTCACACAGAATGGAGTTATTTGTCTTTCTGATCCACTCATCAAACAGGAAGAGATTTGTTCTGGGATCCCACGTGATTTTAAAGCATTTTGTTTTTTCTTCCTCCTCCTCCTCTCTTATTATTCCCAAGCTACATAGGCCAACTCCTGAATATTGTCATATCAAGACCTGATTCTCCTCCAGGTCTCTCTCGTGAACCAGATTTGGGATTTAGGATCACAGAGGAAAGATGGCAGCTATTAGGACACCAGCCTGGGACTTTCAACACCTTTACTCAAATTCCTGTTTCTTTATAGACTTAACTTGCCATGCTGGGCAAGTCATTTATTGTGTCTGTTTGTATCCAATGTTTTCCATGGGAATCACGGTGTATTCCTGAGTGGAATTGTAAGGCTGAATTACAGCGATGGGGATTCATCTGTCCACATTTAGACATTCAAAAAAAAAGAGTCCAATCACACTCTCAAGAGTGTTTACTTTTTCCTAGTGGTGCCAAGGGGCAACCCCTGTCACTAACTGAGCTGTGTCTGAAGGTATGTGAAATTAATGTCCTGCTCTGGTAAAAGCAACCAAATCATCACATAAATTGTCTGTATAACACATAAAATGCAATTTTCCGTTAGTATTTCCAAGAGTGCTCCTACCTGACAAGTGCTCTGTATTTTTCTGGCAACAAACCACACCTTTGAAAGCACAATGTGATGACAACCCCTGCGCGTGCCCCCGGTGGTTCTGTCAGTCTGATGGGTCACCTTTAGGATTAAAAACCATCTGCTGTGCTGTAATTAAACCAGAGACAAACCAGGTGATGATGTAACAGGAAACATTTATTTGCTCATTGAAAAATTATGGTGAATCATCATTTTTTATTACCTATTTTTATTATATTACTATTATTATATTATAATATTACTATTATTTATTAATTATTCCAGATGCATCACGATGTGCTCTTCCTTCTTTTTCCTATCAGGGCCACTTCATTGTGTGGGAAGGAGCTCCAGGAGCTAGAATGGCATGGAAAGGACACAAAAGACACGTTTTCCTCTTCAAAAATTACCTTGTGATCTGCAAACCAAAGCGAGACACAAAGACAGACACCTACAGTTACATCTTCAAGAACATCATGAAGGTCTGATCACTTTATCCTCTCTGTCACTTCACACTTGTATCCAGCTTGGACGTTTCTCTAATCCTTTTGAGCTATTCCTTTGTTTCAAAACCTCTTTGAAGCCCAAGTAGAATCCACATTTATACCAAAATATCATTGTCAGAATTGACAGAAATATGTCAGAAATAATCAGAACCTGGATGCAGCAATGAAATTACAAGTATTAATTCATCCCTCTTACCTCATTGAGTTAACACCATAAATATATTATATTGAGGTGAATTTTGATGTTTATAGTATTTACTAGCATTTGGAAATCTTTGGTTTTGGCAGTCTCTAATATTGGAAGTGAACTGGAAGAAATGTTATGGTTATATGCTGCATTCCATGGGGTTCTCTCTGCTGGTTACACCCTTTCCAGACACAAATTCCTGCTTAGAAATGAAAAAAAAATTCAGAGAATTTGACCAACTCATCCTCAGACATTGAAGGTTAAGACTAAAAGAAATTGAGGAAAGAGTTTTCATGAGGCAAGAGATGCTCAACTCCAGTCAAAAACACCAACCAAAAAAACCCATGGAGTTCTTGACCAAGCTCAGTCGGGACATCCTGAAAGTCCTGATCTCTGTCTTAATTGATATTCATGGGCAGATATTGCATTATTTTCCTGAAATGGGATTATTATTCCCGTTAAAATGTCAGTTGGGGAACCAGAAAGTCAAGTATACTCGGGAAAATGGCTCTCAAAGTACCTCTGATTGCTGTTCACCAAAGCCGCGCCGCGTTGCTCACGCAATTCAAAAAATGTCTTTGGAAGCCGTTGAGAATTCCTTTTGCTGCTGGGAATTCCTGAGAACTTGGGATGTGTGCTGAGTTCCTTGTCCTTCTGCCACACAGCTGAACAACATAGATGTGAACGACCTGGTGGAAGGGGACGACCGGGCGTTTGAGATCTGGCACGAGCGGGAGGACCTGGTCCGCAAGTACCTGCTCCAGGCACGGACCGTGAACATCAAGAACTCCTGGGTGAAGGAGATCTGTGGAATACAGCAGCGGATCAGCGAGCCCATCTGGAGTAAGCGTGGCCCAAGATAGCCCAATCCCTCTATTTTTTGGGGTTTTTTTTGGATGGTTTCCTTGGTTCAGGAGGGAAATGAGCAGACAAGGGGAGAGGAACCGTTCGTGGTGATCCAAACACCGCGCGGGCAGAATTGAGGGAGGTGGATCCGCCCCTCTGCTCTGCTCTTGTGAGACTCCACCTCCAGTGTTGTATCCACCCCTGGGATCCCCAACATCAGGAGGATGTGGAGCTGCTGCAGCAAGTCCAGAGGTGGCCATAAGGGAGATCAGAGGGTTGAAACACCTATTCCATAAGAAAAGGTGGAGACAGTCAGGGTTGGACTCTGATCCAGAGTCCTGCACTCACCAACGTAAATCCCTCTGTGACTTTTTTGGGTATCAGACCCTCTATTTGACTTCTGGCTTACACTGCTGTTATCTGTGCTCTTGGGTTTGCTTTGGAATTTTCTCTAGTCATTCAGGCTGCATCATCCTCAGTGTCTTTAGAGATTCCACTAATTTTCTATCCACAACATTTATGAGCGGGGATATTAAATCTTTGTTTTCCAAGCATAAGCTACAAATGGTGTCCACTACAGTGTAAGGATATTTGGCATCTTAAAATGCTAGAAGAGGATTGTATTTAATCTATATATTCTGAAAACAAGCCTGGGCATTTAATTTTTGTGCCTTTAGTGAGGTGTTTTAATGAGGAAGACTATCAGAATAATTTTGCATTGTTTCATATGGTAATAATGGGTTAAAATAAAAGTCCCTTGACAAAGGAACAAGTTGCCCAGAGAACATGTGGATGTCTGGAAGTGTTCAAGAACAGATTGGATAGGGCTTAGAGCAACCTGGTCTAGTGGAAGGTCCCTGCCCATGGCAGCAGGTTGAAACTAAGGGATCTTTAAGATCCCTTCCAACCCAAACCACTCTAGGATTCTCTGATTCTAGAAAGCATGGATTTTATTGTATGGAGACCAACAGAATACTAGTTTGGATATCCAGGGTACATTTTATTTGAGGAATTATGGTAATGGTGACATCTGTGTGGTGCCTGAACAAAGGATGTGCTCATTAAAAATCATGGTCAGCAACAAATCCCTTTTTTTTTTAATATGACCTAACTTTATGGCCAACAACAGACATTTGATGGACTGAATTTAGCCTCAGATAAGCAAGGACAGCACTTCACCCGGAAAATCTTGACCTGCTAAAATTTCCTTTCAGCTTTCCATTCTGAACCTCACAGATTTGCAGATCTGTTCTTACCTCACATAGCAGCAGCCACTCTTGGGCAGGGCCGCCCTCCTCCAGACTAACACGACTTATCCTGATGTTTCAGTACCTCCAGACTTCGAGGAAGAACTGGCGGATTGCACGGCTGAGCTGGGAGAGACAGTCAAGCTGGCCTGCAAAGTGGTGGGAGCTCCCAAACCATCCATCAGCTGGTACAAAGGTACGGGCAGGAAGCCGTGAAATGCCTCCTCCAAGTTCGTCCCCTGTCTGTATTGTTTGATGGTTGGTTGGTGGGTAACCAAAGAGCTGATCCCCTCGAGATACCCAAGTCTAATGAACGTGTTTATGGTCACTTTGGAGGTGTTCCTTTGGCTGGCAAACCAGAGCTGTGGCTGCACAGCACATACTCTGGAAAAATGTCACTGTTCAGTGAGGATTGGTGACGTATGAGGTCCCTCAACAGTGCTTTGCCCCGAGGATATTCTGTGGGGAGCTGGACAAAAAGATGAGGAGCTCATTTCCCGGCTACCAACATCAGCTGGAATAAAGCAAATACAGCTCTCAGTCCTCTCAAGTGGAAAAGTTGGATAAATCCAAAGAAGAAAACATAACATACTAAGATATTGCAAAAAAATCACTTGCCTTTGCCTTTCAGATGGAAAGCCAGTGGAGGTGGATCCCCATCACATTATAATAGAAGATCCCGACGGTTCCTGCACGTTGATCTTGGACAACCTGACAGGTGCTGACACAGGACAGTACATGTGCTTTGCTTCCAGTCCTGCTGGAAATGCCAGTACCTTGGGAAAGATCCTTGTTCAAGGTAAAGTCCTGCACAGGTGCATTATTTTAAAGGGGTCTGCTATGTGATACTTTAAACTTGTGTCAGCAATAGTGTGGCCAGAAGGACCAGGGCAGGGATTGTCTGTGTTTCTATGATGAGGGTCTGTATAACACCTACTGGATAATGTTTTAAAATAGTTATTTTATGTACAAGTGCAGTCAACTGTTCTTAGGGCAAAAAATGTGGTCTTTAGTGTCCTGTGTGCAGACACCGTGAGAATTACCTGGTTAGGGACACATCCTTCATTCCTGGTCCTATTTCCAGCTACTATTTGATTTACCTTTGCTTTGCAGTGCCACCAAGGTTTGTGAACAAGGTCAGAAATGCTTATTTTGTGGAGGGTGAAGATGCCCAGTTCACCTGTACTGTGGAAGGAGCACCAAGGCCTCAAATCAGGTCAGTCCTACAAGTCACACTGGAACAAATCCTGGTTTCCCACTTGGCAGAGCCAGAAAAGTCTTTCGAGGTTATGACCCTTTCTTCTCTGTGTCTTCCACCTTTAACCCATCCCAATCCTGGGTCTTCCCAATCCCAACATTCCTGAGATTCTCAGCCATTTATTGTAGCTAGGATCTGAAAAAAAACACCTACAGATGATCCCTGGCTGTATCAGATCTAACATTTTATCATTCCTTTGTCCTCCCTGCCTTACACCTGAACTGATTTTATCACCAACCAGTATTCAGACAAAAAGCTCAGCAAATCTTTGCAGCATTTAAAACCCTTTTCCTGCATTGGCTGATGAGATTGCTTGAGAAGAATCTTGTGTAGTTTAGTATCCACATGTGACCCACTCACCTGCAACCAACCTTCCAAGCTGGTTGCAGGTGAGTGGCTCACACATGTTTAAAATTAACTATTGAGTTGGTTGATAGGTGGGTCAGTGAGATGGGCATCTCTTGACACTGGTTGTATTTTTCCTGGCTTATACCCCGTGTTTTCCACACGCAGATGGTACAAAGATGGGGTGCTGATAAAGGACACAAGTAAATACCAGGCTTTCAGTGAACCACGGAGTGGCATCGTGGTCCTGGTGGTCAAGAACCCTTCCAATGAAGACATGGGACACTATGAATGTGAGGTGAGTTCAGAGAGATTTAAATACCTGTCATGTGCAATGATATAAGTAGAAGAATTCATTTTACTGGAGCAGACCCATGGCATGAGATCAGAGGCAGAGTAACTGCTGCCACCTGGGATATAAAACAATTATATAGAAAGTCAGGCTGAACTGATCCGGATTGTGAACATCCAGAAGTTTCAGAATATCCTGATCTGGGAGTTTGCTGGTTCAAGTAATAATCAGCTGAGCTTGTTCTGTAGCTCAAACTCATATCCAGATCTCTAGAGTTAACTCTTACAAAGTTTAGGGACACTCTGATGTGACATTTTGTTTCCAAACTGTCTTTAAATTATGACACGTTCACGCTGCTACTAAGAAATCATCCAAAGCTAAAAGAAAGAAATTAAATCTAAGTAGAAGGATAAACCACTGAAACACACAAACAAATTCCTGTTTGTTTAGCAAGTATACGTGGAAGTATCTAATAAATTAAAATAAATGCAAAATATTTTCTGAAAATTAGTCATAGCCTATGCATTTATTGTAATAAAATAGTAATAAGCTCTGAGGCCTTGGCGATAAAAATAATTGATCTTGGTTTAGGAAATTAATGGGTCAGTTGCCCCTTGGTAAATGGTTTGGCTCATGGAAGTGTTTAGGATGTTTGCCATAATTTAAAGACTTCTATTAGAATTTTAGCAAAACCAGGCTACTTTGCATTTGCCATTAACTAAGACCCCAAGGTCCAATATCCCCTTGGATGAGTAAAACCCCATAGATTAATGGATGATGAACAAACAAACCCTTCTTTATTTACCACCCAAGGGCACAGAGCAAAAGCTGTGCCTGTTGGTAGAGACAGAGCTAAGCCAGGACCGAGCCACAGGCTGCAAACTGCAAATAACTAAGTAAATAACTAAGTTTGCTGATGTCAGTTTGCTGTGATTTGTCTGTGTGGGGTCATTTGTGGTAAAATATCATCAAGAACTCCACTGAGCAGCAAAGTGTCCCTTCAAACCCCAGCATTGGGGTCAGACCTTCACCCACTCCCGTTGTCATTTAAATGCATCGAGTTGTTTAACGTAGCGTAGGAAGCTTTTGTTGTCATCAAACCCCCCGTGTTTCACTGGGCACTGCCCAATTCTCTTCAGCTGATGAACAGATTAGGGTCTGCAAAAAGTGGAGCAGAGCTTTACCACCACAGTGCTGCAGCCCTGACCCAGGAGAGGAGAGGAGACCAAGCCATCACCATCGAAGGTACGGTCCTTGCCCAGCTCCGTAAGTAGGTCCCCGAATTCCTCCAAAACCACCTCGCTGAGGGTCGAATATATTTGCCATCTTATCCATGTTGGTTGTTGGTGTTCCTGTATCTGTATGTCTACCCAGATGTGCATGGGCAGAGTGCAGCTCAGCTCTGGACCCATCACCATCTGTTGATTTCCAAACCTGGCAAATCAACTTCATATAATGCTCGTCAAGGCATTATATGAGAAAGGAGGAGCAAATGAAGGGTATGTCACACCTCTAGTGCAAGAAAAATGTCCTATATTCTGTTGGAATACTTGAAAATGTGTGTCAGCCTGGCAGAATGTGAGTTACAGGGGCCAGCAAGTAAAGCTGGAGGCATATTGTGATTATATCTGAAATGCCACTGAAGAACATCAGGAATGATTGAGAAAGCAGAACTGACAGCAGCAAATCCTGAGCAATATTGGTTCATCCATGATTTAAGGTTGTTCTGGGGTAGTCATAGAGTCTATTCTTTCTTTTTCCACAAGTTTACCCTGGATTGAAGGGTCATAGGAATTGATTTTACACCCATCCAACAACACATCTCTTTCTTGACACCTTTGGGTATTTCTGCCTATAGTTACCTTCTCATCCAAGGGATTTCCACACACAGTGTTAGACAGGCTTGCTACAGACCCATCACAACCCACTTTCAATCTATGGGTACATCTGTGTAAGGAACTTTTCCTGGCATAGGAAATTGGTTCTTTGTACATCTTGGAAGTGTCCTTGGCTGGCTGAGCGTGGACCAGCCAGTGCTGCCTTTCTTGAATAGCTCAGGGGATAATACAGCCAAGGGACCACCTTCAGTAGGTAATAGATGATGATTTGGGGGGTAAGAGAGAGGACTAGGGCAGGCACAGGCCTTTCCATGCCAGCAAACCTTGGTTCCAGAGACCTCTCCCAGATGTGGTTGGTGGAGACATGGTCAACAAAAGCCAGAGGTTTGCCAACAGCTGTAGAACCTTCTTTCCTCATCTTCAGTGATTCCACATTGTCTTGTGATACTAACAGGAGTTCAAGTGCCTGTTTGATAGGAGATAATTGGTATTATCAATATCCACTAAGGACATTTTAATTCAAGAAGCTACCAGGCAGAAAATGCTGGAGAATCTGGAAAAATATTCAGGGAAAGTGGTCCTCTATTCCTATTTTCTTCATCACTTTCTATATTACTCTGTTGTTGGCCCTGTCTGAGACAGGGTCCTGGTCTGGATGGACCTATAGGCCAGCCCCTTGGAGACACTAATGTTTTGTTGTTGCATTAAGAGGATTCCCTCACAATAAGCTATTAAGATTAGTATCCTCATCTATGGACTTGCTTGACTTCATTTTAATCTTGTTTTCCCTTTATTCCTTTCCTGGAGTCCCATCAGAAAGCATTACAGGGAGAATGTTGTTAGTGTAGAAACACTGTGTTTTTCAGCAGAATAAACCTTCAAGTATTTGAATGTTTTGTCTTTGCTGTGCCCTAAAGAGAGAAAAATAAGTGGTATGCAGGATGCAGAGGAACATAAACAAAGCACTGTTAGGGTGGTGTATCTTGATGAAGTTCCCTTCAGGCAGAAGATGTTATAAAGGAAAACAAGGGTTGTAAAAAGTGTTAGGAGCATTTTCAGCTCTTGGGGTTGCAAATGTATATATTCAGCCCCAAATTACTCATCTGCTGTTATTCCTGCAGTCACAAACAAAACAAATTTTGCGCTTGATTGAAGAAATAGAATTGGAGTTTGCCTGGAAGCTTCAGAAATGTTTGAAATAGGTTTTCTCTGCGATGTGCAATTGCTTGAATTTGGTAATAGGGAAGGAAATAGATCCCTGAGTCACCTCCAGGGAGAAACAGAGGGAGAGCTGCTTCAGGCCAGTGGAGAAAACAGGCTCATCCATGGAGCAAGTGGATTGTTGTGAGCAGAATCCCAGCAGGGATGAATTTTGACGTGATGCATTTGACCAAGGAGGGAACTTGTTGCTTTCCTGAGAATCAATAACCAGCCTTGATCTGCCTGTGCTGTGGAAAAATCAGGTTCATCTGGCAAAGAACTGGAGGATGGATGGATCTCATGAAGGCTTTCTCTTTCCATCCTTACCCTATATTTGTGAATAATGGGATTGCTTGTAACTTCACCAAGAGGACAACATTACTGCTGGCACCACAGGACAGAGATACCGTGTCTGCTCCCTCGCTCACCTGCACTGTGGGTCTGAGTTTTACCTCATTTATCCTTGGTTCTGTGAAATGACCATTGCCTGGGTCTCCTGAGGCACCCGAGGGGCTTTAGAGGCAAATATTTTAGTTTGTATCCTCCTGCCTTTGTGTACTGTACTGAACCAAACCCACTGTCACACTTTGGGACACCTTTAGTCCAGCGGTTTGTGAGCCCTGACCTGCAGCTGGTGACGACCCACAGCCCAACACCACAGGTCTCACAACTGAAATTCTCATTTAAATTCACGCTGGGGGAATTTGCAGGCCCTTTGGAAGGACCAAATCCCAAAAAAAGGATGGAAACCACTGGACTAAGGGGTCCCCTTGTGAGCTGAGACCTGTCTTCAGCCACATCTGGTCGCTGCACTGAAGTCAATGGAGAGTTGCTTTAAAAATTCCTCTTTCTGTGCATATTGGAAGTGTTTTAAACACTTTAAAAAAAGTGTAACAGAAGAAGATCCTTCTCTTTGACTTCAAGCTTGTTGTCTGCTTTGCACCTTGTTGCTTTAACCTACACATGGCAGATCTGGGCTGTTGTGCTCTGGTGTGCCTTTTTAACATGTCAATGTTGTGATTCCCTCATCTCAGGCTCCCTAATGGTCATTTTTAAAGAAAAGCCCAGCTTTTGAAAGGTGTTGCATTTTCCTATGAGTGGGCAGGTCCAGGAATGAGCCGGTAGCAAGGGGAGGAGTCGGGTAAACAGATGGAATAAGCAAAGCCATAAATAAAAATTCCAATGCAGTTACAGCCAGGGAACAGGAATTTCTCCATGGTTTTGCCATAGATCTTATGCAGAGCTTTGGGCATGTTTGGTTGCCCTATTTAGTAATACCCACCTTTCAGGGAAAAGCTAAATATTCCACGACTCTCCCATGGAAGATTGTTTTAAAACACAGGAACAAGTAGATCTCCTGGTGTCACCCTTTTACTGAAGAAATAGGGCACAGGATTTTTTTCCCCTGACCACTTGGAAGTTCACTGTTTAGGGTGATGATCAGGGTATTTATCTCATTATTTTTATTCTGTTGTCACCACGGGTTAGTGACATTTTTAGGCTGACCACCTGGTTCTCAGAGCAAATTCAATCTGCCTTTGCAACCGTGTCAGTCATTGCAGGAGTGGGGCCTTTTGGTTGGTTTGGTTTAGGGTTGGTTTTGTTTTTTTTTTGTTTTGTTTTTTTTTTTTTTTTTTGTTTTTTTTTGGTTTTGTTGTTTTTTGTTTGTTTTTTGTTTTGTTTTGTTTTTTTTTGGTTTTGTTTTGTTTTGTTTTTTTTTTGGTTTTTTTTTTGAGAGAGAGAGAGAGAGATCAAAACACTTGAATTTCATTCACACAGTTTAGGAAACTGTTGTCTCCATAAATTGAGTCACCAATATTTTGAAGACCCGTAGATGTGGCACTTGGGGACATGGTGGCAGTGCTGGCTGAGCAGTTGGACTCGATGATTTTAAGAGTCTTTTCCAGCATTAATGGTCCTGTGATTGTGTGAATTGCTCATTTTAGGTTTAGCTTCAGCAGTTCATGTCAGGTTTGTGCATCCTCTCCTGCTGATTAATCTCCAAAGTGTAGCAGAGAGGGGTGAAAGTGGAGCAGTGCTCCCGTGGTTCACGTCAGGAAAAATAGGTTTATGCTCCTGTGAGTGGAGAAAACAGACTTAGAAGTTGTAATAAAGGCCATAAAGCACCTTTCATCCATTCAGAATTCGCTTATCCTAAATGTTTCATCACTTGTAAGTCAATGTTTTAATCTATTAACCGAGGAGGAGTCTGGTCCTGTAGAAGCACTGGCTGATCCTAATGCTTCCAGCTTTTAACCTGCTTATCAGGGGCTCCTGCTTTGCAAAGCTGTTTTTTTCCTAAAACGCTCTTGAAAAGTTGAAATGATAAATCCGGTGCTAAAATGGAATGCAGAATATTTTCCTCTCGGGGGGAAAAAAAAACCAAAACGAAACAAAACAACAAAAACAACAACCTAAAACCAAAAGAGAAACCCAAATTCTCTCATCCTACTTTCATGTGGTTCTATCCTTCACATAGGATTGCTCAAATCCTCCCTCACACCTTGGATAACACATAAAAAATTTGACTTTATTTTCAGCTTTCTCATCCCAGGCCTGCTGAACTTTTGAACATTGAAGCCCTTTGACACCTGTTACATATAAAAATATTGTGCTCAGGGTAATTTGGGAGGCCTGCAGGAGCGGGCATTAATAAACATTAAAGAGACTTTTTCTCACAGACATTTTGAGATTTCATTAAATTTATCCAATTATTTGATTTGTATTATTTAATTCTCACCTCAACACAGTTGCTGTTAAAATAACTGTATGAACCACCTATTTTCAGGTGTATAATCAAATTAATTAACACTTATTTACATCAGAACTCTTCACTCTTAAAGAGTCTTTACTCAGATACCGCTTATGGGTTAATTTTGTGATATTATTTGATGAGATTTTCTAAAAGTTGTGTAAAAATTGCACGATATTATTTGAAAATTCAGTGAAAATCTCAAACCTGGGTGCAGCGAGTTTTTTGAGCGCTCAGTTCATCTCCCACCGTTGTATAATTATCATTCCACCATTTAAAAAAGGGTTTGAATTATACAAAAAAAATAAATATGAATTAAGGATAGGTAAATGGTCATATTGTAATTGTGTTCAGGGATAAATATTTGAAAACAATTTTGCCCTTTGCTTACCCAGGAAGCGTAAAGTCAAAATTCCCAAACGGATTTCGTTTAAACCCACCCGATTCTGCAGCAA